CGATAAGTCATCAATTTTTTACTGCAAACCATCTGATTACAATATGATCACAGTCGCTCTCCTGTTTGTTACTTTTACAATCAATCCCTACTCTTTGCACTTTTATGTTATACTACCTGTTTGCGAATTCTGCTGCGAGTTCCTTTCAATTACCGAGTTAAAAGCATAAATCATGATCAAAAAATTTCCTCGAAACGATTTCAACTGAAAAAATTCAATTTGAAAGGGTAAAGTAATTATTTTTCCCAGTTTTGATCAGTTTCAAAGCCCTCATTCGAGGAAAAAAGATTTACTTGCAACTTGCACTAATGAAGATAATCTCTTGCACTAAATATTATGCAGATTCAGCAGGTTTTGGCGATTGATAATTTGACCGTTTATTTATCAGATCAACAACCAAATTTTCTAAGAGGATAATTTTGAACAAGATGTTTTTAAGGGAGGAAAGAGCGAGATTTTGTATTTTAAAAGTTCTTGGAAAGGACAAGTGTCAATTTGATGGTAATTGGGGGATACTGTAACGGAGTTGCAATTAGAAATCCGGCTGTATGGCAAAGGAAATAGAAAAAGAAGAAAATTTAATTAGATAATATTCTATTGTAAGCTTTTGCTGGTCATTGTTGAAGGGTTAAAGAAAATGTCTCACGGTGAATTAGAGAAACTGTAACTGGATTACAATATGAACTCTTGAGTTAGCGAGACAAGCGAAGAAATCAATTAAATTTAGAAATTTTTTTTATCAAAAACTGGTAGTCTAGCCTCTGCCTAACGCGGAGAAACACGCTGAAAAATCAGGAGAATATTATAGTTTCCTGGCCTTGTCATTAATTCTGTTTCCTCATAATACACTTAAGACATCCCCGTTAAAATACATATATGAGAAAAATTTGCAAAGCAACTTTTTTCAAATTATTCGTGGCCGTTTTTTCGAATGGTAACTTTATCTCACAATTAATTCTAACACCTTATACTTTCAGCCCACTTACAACCCATCAATCTCCCCAACTCAATCTTTATCAGCCCACGGTTTAGCCGGACGGATCAGCTTTTCCCCCCTCCCGATCATTGACCGGCTGAATGCAGAACGAGTAATAGTTTTTTTCCCATAGAAGGGTTCCGCTGCTACCACAAAAAACGGTTGTTTAATTGGCTCCCTTTGTTTGGAATTCGGGGAAACACGGTGAACGAAGCGCTGACCTTGTTATTCTTCTGATCTCGTGTTTACAGCGCCCGCGTCCAGACTTCCGTGTTCGCTAAAGCAAATATTTTTGGGTCGCGTTTACAGTTATCAATGTCGTTAAGAGTTTAATGTTAAAGCCGCCGCTGTTTTGATAGTCTTATTGTTAGGGCATTATTTCCGACTTTCAAAGGTGATAAGGTATTTTGTAATGCAAATTCCATAAAAAGTTCATTTTGACTGGGTGTAAAGAGTATAATGATCGTTTTTCTGGTATTTGACATGTTTTATTTCGAAAGGAGTTGTTTAGGGTTCCGGGTAACATTTATCATAATTCTTTTTGATGACAAAAGAAATGAATTTTGTTCCTATTGAACCCCACTTTTTCTCCATTTTCTTGTCATCGCAAATCTACAGTACCTGTAACACATCAAGTATCGGTCAATTTGCATTTACACTCTTTCAAATTTCTACTGTAGTCCGCCTACATCGCACATTTCGGGGCGGAGTCTTTCGCTTTTCTTCCGGATTTATCGGATTTCCCCTCCCTTGTTATATTCAATAATTATTCCTGTCATTGCCTACGGTAAAAATTGGTTTAAGTTTGACGCAAAGGGCGGAGCTAATGCGACGGGTGTTTGGGTTGATATAAAGGTGCGACGGGGCCGATCACTTATTATTTTTGTTCCCGATTCAGACGAGGGGTGTTACTTTTAGCATGGCATGAAAGTTGAAGGGATTACGAGAGGTGGGACGAGGATAAGGGGAGGATACGGCGGGTAGGGCTTCGGATTTTTATATCCTTAATTCGGCCAGTAGTTTCTGAAAGAGCAACGACATTTTTGAAAGATAAAGTGATGCCGGCTGTAGTCTAATTTGGGGCTTTGTCTGAGCGCATTTTTCCCCCATTTACTGCATCTAAAAGCTGTTATTTAGTCAGAACCCCATTAATTTCTGGTTCCAAGGATGTTCCGCCGTACAGTAGCGTGTTCAAGGTCTTCTCCTCGGCCTCCTCCTTCCTTATTTACTCCTTATTTTTACCTCTTCTACTTCCATTTTCCGACTTCTGTACTGCCAAAACGATCAAAGCCCATGCCTTTCTGCTACCGTAGCTCGGCGAACTTCCTCAGACAATGTTTCAAAATGTCGGACGATAAAAAGAAAAAAGTAAATTTTGTTCCGCAATCGGATCAACAACCGTCTCAATTACCGCTTATCAAGCTCCTTATGATCAGGCATGGGACGGTGCGGCCGCACAAAAGGACGCAATTCGATACTTCTTATCACCTTGTTTGTGGACCGCGATTTCGTCGACATGCAGTGTCTCTTCCAGCGAGGCCCTTTTAAGCGATTACAAGCGATCGTAATTTGCTCGAGGAAAGAAACCCGAGTTGGCGGGCTTTGGACTTGGATGGGTGCCCTGAGGGAGTCAAGGGGAAGTTGTAAAAATGCTGATAATGCGGAATTAGTCCTTGGCTTGCTGGAGTTGTAAAAGTCGTAAGGGTGGTCTTCGGAATAGTGATCTTTAAAGACAACATCTATAGACTGTGCTTTATGTCTTAATAGGATCAACATCGAAAAAGTTGCTTTTCAATCATTCAAAGTCAAGGTCTTTAAAACTTTTCCATAAATTAAGGAGTGCCCCCGTAATTTTTCCATTGTGATCTTCATCTTTTACACTGTGTTCTCGCCTCTGTAGTCATAGTACATTGCCCTTTACGGCCTCGTAAATACGGTCACATCTTCCGAGTATCTCCCATTGTAAAGTCGCTCTGTAAACGGATTACTATTACAATGACCACATCATCCGATGCTATTACACTTCCGTGCACTGTCTACCGTAATCTCCACGAGTAACATAGTTATAATCCGGATGTTGTAAAAAAGGGGCGGAGTCCGCCGCGACTCCGCCCCCTTCTCTTTGTTAATATTTTCACTGTAAAAATAATTGCGCTTTAAGTGCTAAAAGCGGATTCATTTCCCTTTCTTTTCGGCCCTCAGGGTTTAATGTGGACGTCTACGGTAAGCAGGAAGTGTTTTTGCGGAATAATCGAATATATGTTTGGGTCATTGAGCATGTGGAACATTTCGGGTTTGTGCCTCATTGCCAGCCTTTTTTGTGGCCCACAAATTGGCCAAGAACTCTAATTTTGCTGGTAGAAAATCTGAAATCATCGTTTGACTAAATCAGGCTGTGGCTGTATTAAAAAGTACTGTTATGGCATTTATAAACCGCCGTTTTTCGCAGTTTCGTGCGTTCTCCAGGTGTCTTTTGATTATTTCACAATTACCATGTGATTTAATAATAATTTAAAGTTCAATTTTAACTCATTTGACATCAGTTCGTGTCCAGTGAACGCTACAATTGTGGCCTCTTCCGTGTTCTCGATATTATTGCCAGTAGCCGAGCAACTAACTCGTTATCACGCAAGCTTCCTTCAGAGTTCACTCATCGAGTGTAATATCCTTTAAAGAACTCGGTAATAATGGGGTTTAATAACTGTTTTCTGCATAATTGCGTAGCTGGAAGTCCTCTGCATTGTTCGGGAATGCTCCCTTTAATGGGCGGATGGCAATACCTCAGGGAATAAGGACTTTCGGACCCTACACTTGAATTCCATTTCCTTATTTTGTTTCGTATAAGTTTCCGAAAGTTGAGGGAGTTGCATTCCGCTGACCACACTTACACGAATAACATGGCCCAGCACAAAGTGTTTTGCTCCAGGCGCGCCTCGACTTTTTGGCAGAGGACGCTCTCCTTCCGCAAGACAAGGGGGCGCTTTGCAAGACGGCCCCGGGGCCAAACAGCATTCCGTTTTTTAGTTCCGTGTTTTTGCCGCGTCCCGGGAACGTTGCTCCCGGAAGAACGCGTGGATGCGCTTTAATGCCTTACGCTCTCGCCTCTCCATTCGGCACGCTCTCTCGTGGGCCTCTCGCTGATTGCCAGCGGGCGCTTTTCGTCCCGCCCTTATTTACACACAGCGAAGAGAGAGAGAGCGGAATTTCCTTGCGGATTCGGTTTTTGGACACTTGATGTTGGTATGTTTTGTCTTCGGCGCTGGCAACAATTCATTGTCCAGAGCAGCACGTTAAACTTCCTACTTCCGCCTTTCCCCCGGACCTTCGATAAAAGCCCGGGGGCACTTTCCGGACAAGGGGCCGCCTTCCATGGGCTGAGGGGACACTTTCAGGGGAGGGGGCTCGAAGAGGCGTCTGTTTTCCTCTCTTTTGGGCCGAACCCGGAACATTTTTTCGTGGCTTGGTGCACGTTGCTTCCATTTCCAGAGATCTTTTGTCACTTTTCCTAACATTTCACTTGAGTGCCGGCGGTTCGCTTCTTTTTCGAGTTGTTTTATTCTTGAACCGAAGGTATTAAATGGTATGTTAAATGTTTTATAGTGTAGTAACTACATTCGTTCGCTACCCTACATACATTTCAGCCTTTCTTTTTTCCCTTTCCTTACAGTTTAGTCCTTTATTCGACGAGAACTTTGATTTTTTTCTCGAATTCTCTTTGAATTCCCAATGTTTTTTACTTGTTTTATTATTGATTGACTCTTGAATAGCATATAAACTCTTTTGAAAACACTTTTTACAAATTCTACTTCCTTATTTGTCTCGAATGAATGGAATTACTGTACCAGAACACTGTAAATAACGTCGGCCTTGCCTCTCTCTCGCGTCCCTCTTGACGTCCCCGTTCCCCATTCCGAGGCCGTCCATATAAACGCGATTGCACAAATAGACGAAAAACGAAAATTTCATATTTGTTTGTGAGTTTACTTCCTCCTTTTCCAGAATCCAGCCGCATCTCCAAAAAAGGATGGAGTCCGCACAGGGTCTGCTCATTGAACAATTGAAACAAAAGGAATTCAACGCCTGTCAGAGTGAGTTGTTGCATCATGGAGGAAGTGGGGTGATCAGCGAATCGGAGAAGCCCATTTTATTGGATATAATAATTGCTTTGCAATCCGAAATTTTTGATTTCTTCGGGGATTTGCAGATTTTCTCCGATTTCTGATCGCTCAAGCTGGATTTTCCCAAATTTAAAAGCTTTTAAAATTATTTTGTATGTGTTCTTCTGTCAGATTGATTTTTAAGAATGTTTTTTACGCAAATTTACCCTTGATTTTTCAGATATCCTCCTCTCTTTGATGAATCAACACATGATCCAGCCCCAAACTTCTCAAGAAGTCAACATCTCCTCTCTCTTCAATCTCCCCGCTCTCTCGCCCCTCACAACTTCGCCCACTTCACCGTCGCCCGCTTCGACCGTACTCCCATCGTCGTCGATTTCGCCGGTAGCGTCGCCGTCCAGTTCGGTGGATAGTGGGATCGACGGGGATGATGACAAACGACCTCACCAATGTCCGGAATGCCTGAAGCGTTTTCGGTTCAAGTCGAATCTGTTCGAGCACAAGACCCTTCATCAACGCTCCACGCCGTTCGTTTGCCCCTTCTGTGCCAAGACCTGTCGGCTGAAGGGGAATTTGAAGAAGCATTTGCAAGTCCACGTCAACTCATCACAGGAGCTGGAAGAGTTGTGGAAGCAGAGATTCTCGAGGTCTTCGGGGCGTCCACGAAAACACCCGTTGCCTCAGCAAACCCCTGAGGGCATGCGACAACAACAGGCACTGAATACTTTCAATCTGTTCAGCTTGCCACCTCTTGTACAGATCTAATCCGACATATTTCCACTTTAACATGGCCAAAGTGTGTTCTCGACTCAATCCAAGGACGTCAACTTCCCCCAAGTCATTGCCAACGGCCATGTCAACGATGTGTCAATGTTCAGGTCAAGTCTAGTTACAGTAGTTAGCGAGAATCTAATTCCTATTTATTCTAATGCCTCAACCGAATGCGACGTCGTTTTTGCTCAATTTTTTCACCAAGGTATTCCACTAGTAATTGTGTACAAATTGTACGTAGAACTAGATATTTATTCTTTTTTTTTTCTTGTCGCAACTGTTGTTAAGTATCTCATTTGCATCAACTATATGTGTATCATGGTTTCATGGCATTGTATTTGAATCTAAGTCAACGTTTCTTTGAATATAACCGGTCTACGAATTCAAAGTGTTTAATAAATATATATAATATAATAAAATTTGCAGAAATGATTTGATCAAGGGGAACCGGGGGTGTAGGTTTTGTAAATATTATTCATTTTTTAGTAATTTTAAACTTGAAGCAGTTTCTAAGCAGTATTTTTTTAAATTCTCAAAAAAATTGAAAATTTCTCAAAAAAATTGAAAAATTTGGGAAATTAAAAAAAAGACTACAATTTTCTGCTTATTTTTTGGCTGTGTTTTATACCTCGAAGCGTTTTTGATGACTTTCCAAAAATTGCTGCCATTTTTTGCCTGAAATGTAAAAAAAATATCAGCGTAAATTTGGAAAAAATGTAATAAATTCTTGCGTATTTCACTTTTTACAGCAAGCCTTATAATTTTCTTCTCTTCGACCAAATTTTTTTCGGATTTCTTTAATCAAAAATCACAGAAAAATCTTTCACAAAAATCTACAAAAGTCTTCCTCATAGCCCGCAGCTAATCCGTCTCCATACGTGACATTAAAAACATTAACAATTTCTTTGACTAGTTAAGAAGATTTGTCCGTTTCGAACACGAGAGTGACATCACTCCCATGTGCTCAAAAGCCGGATGATTTCACATAAGTTTATGTGGCTTTCATGACACCCAGAGCTTTGTATTCTAAAAGCTGTAGGCTAAAAACAACGCTGAATGAAAGTATAAATTAAGCCCTTTGAAAAAAATATTTTACATGCGTTAGAAAGATGCCTACATGTTTTTTAAAAATTTCCATGGCCGGGTTGTGATCTGGATCATGCGTTTCCACAGCCGATTTACAAAAGGAACATGGCTTATGCGGCTGTAAATTTTTTACGGGGCTTAGGATCTGACGATTCTTATAAGCCGATATTAAGCATGAGCGTTGAGAAAAATTCGCTATCTTTATTTTCAAAATGAAAAATTTTTATATTAAAACAAGATGCCTCATGGTCATGTGCCACACTTTGATTTTACAAAATTTTTCGCCGTTTTAGCGGTTAGTAATGCTTCGCAAAATCGAAGTTTCTGAATGCTTTGTGTTTTCAAAACTTCGACCAAAAAATCGGTCTAAAAGTATACCCTTTTATACATATATGTGCATAACCCACTCGTATCTCCCCTCCTTAAATTTGGCATTTTCAGAAAAGGGAGTTTAGCCGGATTAAACTAATATCTTTACACTCTCTCAACTACCTCAGTTGTGATGCCCGCAAGACTTCGAACTTCAGATTAACTAATGCCTTTCTCATTCATTACGCACTATGTTCATCATGGTTTCAGTTTCCAACAATTCAAACTTCAGCTGTTTTATTTTTGCAAAATTTGCTAGGAAATTTATTGGAACTCCGAATTTTTATTGGAACTCCGAATTACTTTCACGAAAACGCAAATTTAAATATTTCCAGACAGACTCCATTACACCTGTCAAAGAGGGAAATAGCTGCGGCCGAATTACGGTATTAGGCAACATGTGACTTGAGCTTTGTAAACATAGACATGTGGCTTGTGATTCCCTCCTCGCAATGCGGGATTTCCTGAAGGGATTTACGAGCAAATGTAAATAATTGTAAGAAGAATTTTCGAGATAACATTTAGGGTAAAATACGCCTTAGGCAAAGAAATTATCATTCGGTTTAGTATTTAGTCGTTTTCTCCCATATATCCACCACAAAAGTTCCAAAATGATTGGACAAAACTATTTCCCAAAGGTACCTCAAATCTCGACCAACTCAATGACGAATTTCCCCATGTATTGCCAGACGGTCAAAGACGTTAGAATCCCAAATTTCCTTTCATAAATGCATCTTAATCCTGCTCCGTGGGGGTGTTGATCGGAATCGTGTCCGCAGGGCATTTACGTGCCCAAGGCTTAATCCGAACTACGCATTCAAAACAACTACACCCTCTGGCGGCGGGAATACCAAATTTGCCTTTCCAAAATTATAAAGAATTCTTTTGTCGGATTAAAATGAACCCTGTTTGGACCGGGAACATGAACCCAGCCATTCAAATACCATCCAAATTAATTACTTTTACAGTAATTTTATACGACGACGCGGCGGATCCCGGAAGTTTAATTAACACGGACCAACAGTTGCTTTTACTGTCCCTAAAATGTAATAAAACGTTTTGAAATGGGAGAAAACTAAAGATTGATGAGGCGATTTACATATACATTTCAAAGTACAGAAGTGTAATTTAGAGTGGAAGGGTCAAAAACCAGCGTATTTAGAGGACGAGTGCCTGCAAAAAATTGAGAGGATTTTTGGATTTTCATGAGAAACTTCCATTTTTTGCGCATAATAAAAATTTCATAGGTTTTGTTTGATTCTAAAAAACCGAGATGTTTCAATTTTTGGTTTTATATTTTTATAATTCTTGCAAATTCGAATGAAAAAACCAATATCGTATTCTGTTAATTCATATTTTTTTCCAATTCCAATCATAAATCGAAAAAAGTATTTTCCGGAAAAAATATTCATAAATATTTATGTATAACTATATAATCGAACAAAAAATTGCAACCAACAAGAGTTTCGTCGTAAAATGATATTATCCTAACCCGCAAAACAGACTGAGCGTCGCCTTAAATGGTCGCAAAACCAACGGTTCCGCAATGCTATGATATGAATCTCTGAACTTGTCCCAACGAACTCTTGCAATCAACGAAACAGTGATTGAAGTTGCGTTTTTCAAACTGAAAATCACATCGCCATTAAATTCCAGGTCGGCCAATTTGGATGGCTCTTTTTTGTCAGATTCTTTGACTTTTTGCCCGTCTTTTGGATAACGAATTCCCAATCTGGCTTGCCAATTGATCGTGAACGGAGAGACTGATTTGAGGAGTTGCTCCGCTTTTGGCCACACAACATTTTCCACGCAGGAAGGGCGAATGCTGGTGGTCTCTTTGAAGGCAGCTTCCAATTTATCCTGAAATATTTTAAGAGTATATTCTGGACAACTAAGAGTTGCTCAAATCCTCTTGAACACTAAACGCTAGTTGGCCTTTTAAAATAATTTTAGCTTTACTATATAGTTAATAAAGTTAATCGGGATTAAGAAAAACTATAGTACATATAATTGTTAACCTACACTTTTAAGTTTATAATTAGACAACTAAAGAACACCTAATTATACGTGGGACATGATGATCTAGTTTAATCCAATTGTGGGATCGTATTAGAAAGCCTTACAAACGCACAGAAAGAAGAATTTTCAAACGTTTTATGGCTTTTCTAAATTTATATTTTTATCCAAAAAACGCGCAAATTTGAAAGGTTTTTGAGACGCCAAAATTAAGTCTTATTCGGACAGTGCAATAAGGTTCATGTAACATTTTTTTTTACCAATATCATATAAGTGAGTTTTTATAATAAAAACCCAAACTTATTGGATCATTATTATCGTATTATGTATACGTATTATACTTTTAAACCGTCCTGTTCTACTTGAAAGTGCCTAGCAATTCGTCTAATTACAATAATTCCATGCACTTTCTGCTACAAATATCAGAATTGTTTGATGGTTTGATGTTTTATACATCAGATACCATTCCAAGAACCGTTACAACAAAAAATTTTTGTCCTTTTTCGACATTTACTTGAAAAGTTCATGGACAATCCCCAAAGTGTTTGTAAAGGGCAAATGGAGGGGAAACCCGATTAAATTATGGCAAAAGATGACTTCAGGTCCAAAAAAGGATGCTTTAATTATTTTAATGAGCAGAGTTTGAGTCACAATTTTACGTTGTTGTTAGTCTCTTTTCCAGCTTGCAGATTGGATTACAGTTTAATGTGTAATACTCTTGCAAAACTGGCTGTTGTCAAACATGGTCAAAAGATTGCAGTACGATTTTCTTATTGGCATTAATGAAAAAAGGTAAGCCAAATCCCCTGAGGCGTTGGTTTATTGTAGACCGCACCGAAGGGATTAGAATATCGAAATGTTACAAAGACGGCTGCAATAAAGTTTTTTGTTGTTTATTACACCAAACCGATAAGACAAACATTGGCCAAACCCGACGGGATGACTACTTGTTAGGCTAATATACTGGATATTAGGATATGGGAGTAAAAGGGGGCTTAATTTGTTCTTTGTGCAATATTTTGAGCATAAGGTGGCGTTGAGTAAAAGAAGTGTTTGGGGATTTATGTCGAGCTATGAATAAGAAAGTATCTAAATTAGACTCTAATACTTTCGTTAAAGTTAAGACTCTGGTTAGAATTACTTATGAAGTTTCCTTGGTTCTTTTGCAAATTTCTAATTCTGTCACAAGATAGACTGTATTTTGGCTTATCTTTATTCACCGTTTTCCGATAAAAACTTCCTGTGCAAAATATTCTGCACCTGGCGAATAAAGCAACCTGAACAACTCACATATTCGTATGATATATTGATTCCGAGAACTGTGTAAAAAAGTGCTCCTTGACGAAGTGACGAGACTGTATGTTGAAAAGGGTTCAAGCAAAACAGGTGTAAAATGCGAGACCTTCCGTGTTGGCAAGAATATTAAGGACTGTAAAAAAAAGATTTTTGGTTCTTTTGCTCTAAATAAAAGGTAATTGCATTCTTATTGTAGTCAGAAACGAATACACAGATCTGTGTTACAGTATGCAAATTAAAAAAATCGAAAAGATACCTTCATGTGACAATTGTCACAACGAGATCCCCCAACGGCTTAGTAATCCTCCGGAAGGCCTAAAAAAGTCATTTTATTACTCAATTGGCCCCAGCGGAACTCCAATAAATCTCTTTTCGTAAACAGCGGGATATCCCGAACTAATTATTGTTAATCGCCCTAAAATTCTTGAGTCATCCACAGACAGAATTGTATTATTACATTTGTGTGATGTTTCTAATCATTTATGCGATTTTCCGGTTAAATTAAGCGCCGGATGTGAAGGGATTTACTGAGCCGGAACTCAGAGCAATATTGACTTTCAAAACAATTAGGGAGATATCATGAGGAATTAGTCAAGAATGAAATCAATTTTTAATGAGGGGAAATTAGTGGTGGGTTAAAACGGTAAGGAATATTTTAAAAAACAGTCCACACCCGAAGCCCTCTGATTTTGGTAAAAATTTTTACGTTAGCTCTAAAGTTACAGCCCAGTGACAGTAGTGGAAGTTGAGATCCTTGTAAAGCTGGGATTTTCGGTTGTGCAATGCTGGGCAAAAGCGTTTTGATTCAATCTACCAAAAATGAGATTGTCATCTCTGAATAGGTATACGAGATCTCTGGGTTGTGATTGACACTCTCAACAAAGCTACTTTCAACTTCACCGTCAAACAATTGCGATCAGACGTCACCGTCTTGTTCAATGCTTGCTTTTGTGACCCCCTTCTATTCTAAAGACAACAATAGATTTATTGTTAGAACTTTAAGCATCATCTGACTTAGTATTAATTGAACTAATGTATGGAAGTGCATTCGGAAAAGGGATCCGAAGTCTTGAATGACTGATGACATCTGCAATACCCATTCCATCTGCTACAATAAACGCCCGCAGTTTCTAACTCTTTAAAACTTCTCTGTCAAACAAGTCCGTTTGGTTTTCACCTGTCCGTCTACGGTATATAAAGACGTCAGCGACCAAACATTAATTTATAGTACTGTAAAGTCCATCGAGTACAATTTTCAGAGAGTCCTTCTTGCTCCGTAATCCAAAAAATGTGACAGCCAATTATTTAAAATTACAAATGTAACAGTGCACTTTTATAAAGCGATTATTTCGTCGACACGAGACGGCCTAAACCTAATTTGTCTGCCAGAGTTCGCAGAGGTTTTAAACCGTTGAATGAAACATCAAATAGTGCGTTGAAAGGACTGTAAAGGGGATCGCAAAGTCGCACAATGCAACTGGCTAGTGCTGAGTCCCGAGACGAAACCTACGACTACGTTATTGGCATTCCGTTTCATCCGAAGCTTCTCAAAGCATGGAAGGAAAAGGGATCTCAGTTGTTACATTTATCCAGCGAATGTTTGGTGTGATGGTACGTATTATTACTTTTACTGATAATAAATCTATCCTTATTATCCTTTCTACATCTGGCTGACTTCGTACCTTCACCACCACCAGTTAACATACAACAACTGGCGCGTGAAGGAGACAACAGCCAGCCACTGGAGATGGCATCTCCTCCTCTTTTGTATGTTCGTTTTATTAGTCCTTCCAGAAAGTAACCGTACTGAAATCGGCGATAATGTGAGGAAACCGAATCTCCGCATTCTAAGTGCTCTGTCGTAGCCGCTCCAAAAACCCGTGAGGTAGGATTTTCTGGGTGTGTAATGTGTCCTATTTAGATTAAATGTTAAAAAATTTATGGAATTATCTGTTATCTTTCTCAGCTGTTTTAAGTTGCCCTTGATTTCATCTATGCTGATTTTTAACCTGTTTGTTACTGTTCAATAACCTTTCCACATCCTTCTTCAGTAACCAGTCACGCCAATTTGAACTTCCGCCTTCGCTTCGAACATTCCGGGCGAAAGAAGCCGGAAGGGCGGTAATTTCAAATTCTTCGTTTCTTATTTTTGGTAATAAACAAAATAAATCTCATTTGCGTAGTTCGAGAAGAAGGAAATCCCCCATTGACACCGTGATCGGTAAACAGGCGGATTAGGGACCGTTTGGCATAATTAATTACTCTCCCAAACAAAAGGATTCAAGTTACATCCCATGGTGTGGTGCTAACGTGTTTACACACTGCTACCGTAACCCGAAAGGGTGTCAAAAAGTGTGGGTTTCGTGAGGAGAGGATTGCGGTGCATTCTCCGCGTCCTCGCTAATCTTTAATCAGCCAAACGCGGGTGTAATTTTGATCATTCTAGGGATTCGGAGGGTCATTTTAATTCGCGGCGGAAATGAGGACATAATTCGACTATCATAAAACTGGAAGACTTATTATCCTGCGTCGTGTACCTGTACTATAAAGACAATTGTAAAGTTAAAAAGATTGGTGTCTACACATAAAAAGTGCAATATAAGAAAGCTGGGGGTACGTAACAACATAAAAATACAACAGTGAAAAGGAAGTTCACTGTAAAAGGAAGGAAGTACCTTACCCACTATCTTTATGCCAAACGCCAAAGATTTTAGCTTGCGAGTTCTCACAGCGTCATCATGAGAACTGTTCAGGCAAAAAACATTTTCTGGGATTCGGGTAGCTACTTTTTTACTTTTCAGCGCAAAGAATTTGTTTGTATAAATGTGGCACACCCCACTGTAAACATTCAAATCGTAAAAGAACGCTCTATATATTTTTTCATGAGGTAGTACTTGCAACTCACAAGTTCAATTTGTCCCATGAATTAACCGATATGTTAAGTATTTCAAAATTAAATTTGCGCCAACTTCATTGAAGTCGAAATCCCAACATTTCAACGCTTCTTTCGCCAGCCCCAGTAACCTACCATAACCGAAACTTTAAACAATAAGCATAATCTAAACAATAGGTTTAGTTTGCTCAACAATTTTACGGAAACCAAAAGTCGGTTTGTAGGCATAAACCTACAATAATCCTACAACCATTAACAACTTTCTTGATGATTTTTGGATGATTCAACATTTACTCACATGGTTTTTAATTAAAACTTTTAAATCCGTTACATTGTGACGAAAAAATAATAATAACTTGATAACCAGTAAAAGGAACGAAAAAACAACGCAAATTACTTTTCGGCCGAGATCTCATTGGCCAAATGAACAGTGGCCAAAACAAGATGAACGGAGGAGGTTTTGAGTGGATGAAACTTTTGATTTCCGGAAAAAAGCCGAGGAACGGAAGGGTAGACATATGAGAAATTATTGTCAATTAATAATTTTAATATCAAGCAAGTTTTTACAATGATCTTTAAAACTCGGTAACTTAAAATTTGGAGGTCAAAATTTTCTTTTTTCGTTTTTTTAGATTTTTACGACAGTCCGAAAGTTGGCCTAATTGTAAGCTCTACACTCCAGCTTGACTAAATAATAAAATAAAAGGGCTTACAGTCTCCACGTCCTTCAACCAATCTGGACCGGCGTTTTCCATGCATACACAAAAGTTCTCGGGGACATGGGCCGCTTTACAATTTCGGTTTGTGGGCACTTCTTTGAAGAGAGATTGACCAACTGGACCTCCGGAGTGCTCGGGGAGACCGAGGATTTCCCGAAGAGTGTCGTGGAGATCAAAATTGGAGGTAAGGCGGTTCTGAAACCCGGATGTTTAGAGGGTTTTTGTAGGTTGAAAATTTTTGAGGGTCTAATTTGTAGAGTTATGACCTCAAGGTAAAAAAACTCATGTTTGAGGCTAATAAGGCCAAAACGGGCGGGCACAGGCCATACCGACCCGGTAGCCATGCTTGCCGACCATGTTTTATTATAAAAAAATTTTTTGCCATCTCGTTTACGCCATAGAAAGCGCGATTTATAAATAGCTCTACTGGCCTTATGGAAGCTTTCACTGCCAATACAAAGAGTTCTGGAAAAAGCGATCACATTCGTCCCGGTTTTGAAAACCTAGCTTTTATTTCTCCTCTTACAATACCACTTCCGTTCTTTCTCTCTCCCTTGAAATCGATCGTACCCTTTGATACGACGTAAACTTCCGATTCTTGAAATCTCTAATTACGGTAATCCCCATTTCTTTTTACGTCCCTCAATGTTCAGAGACGACCTTTGAGGGGTCCGCGAAACAGCAGCGGTGCTTCGGATTAGCGCTAGCCGTCTAGACTGTGGTTCCTCCTGCGATTCGCGTTTACAGTAATCGCTTCCGGTGATCTTTGCATAATTTTTCTTCAATCCCCCTTTCTAAGAAACATCCTAAACGTTTTTTGGAAACTTTGTTGACAATGTGAGTTAATCCAAGCCACGTGTTGAATGTCACTCAGATAAATCACATCATCGTTCGGTTGTTTGCGGCCCTAATTATCCATTAATACATTCCACACCCACCAATATTTTTAGCGCGTGTAATGCTGAGGGGACAATGGTATGACCTCGGGGCAAAAACCCACAGACAAGATCGCATTTTCCGGCCATTGTTCCGGACTTAATCAGTCATGAGCGAAACGGAAGATAACTAAAGGATAATGAACCCAGAAATCCACAAATCTGGTCGTGTTTTTCGGAGAAAACAAGCCAAAGAAATTATTACAAAAATTAACAATTTGGAAATAAGATCATGCACAGAGGAGGTGAAAGAGAAGAGCTTAAAAAAACTGTAGTCACGAGGAGGAAGAGGGATTTGAAGGTCTTCCTAGAATTCTCATATCGCTTTTTTAGAAATGGATACCGCGAACTAAAGGGATTAAAAAAGTTGCGGGAAATTCGTGAAGTTTCCATTTTTTTATTTTTTCCATAAACCCTTATTGTTTACCTGATTTCTGACCAGATTTTGATATTTTTCCGGCTGCGTTTCTCTGAATTTCTGCGGCACAAAAATCCCGACCATTGGCATTCTCTCTTCAATTCTTCCGGTGTATTTTCGTTGTATTGGCTCCTAAAAATTCCAATTTAGCGGATTAAAGCAACGTCTTTTATCAATTGTTTTGCTGTGATAGTAAAAACAGTGTTTTTCAATCTAACAACCTACAATCCGTTGCCCATGATCGCCCATTACAAAGACGAAAGAGTTCTGGAAAAGTTCCGAGGACGAGGCCAAACGTGCAAAACTATTGGCCAAAGGTCGATCGTACAGCTCCAGATCCGATGCTTTGTTGTGAGTCAAAGCGGTAAAGAAATTGAAGGCAAAATGACAATTCTTATGGAACCTGGAGGCAAATCGTTCCCAAATCTCAATGTATCGACGTCCAAGGAAATCATGTTCGATACAGGTGTGAGCGGTCTTGAAAGAGTTGTAGATCTGGGCGTAAAAAGGCCTGAAATTGATGACTTTGGTTATCACAGTGATAATTGGGAGTCTATGTTGCCAATTTTTGTAAATTTTATAGAATTTGGCAGAGCCTTCCTTAATTTGTAACCCTTATTACGTTTTTCAAGCTATGACTTTCAGTTTAAGCCTACATACTATCCATTTCTGATTATTGCCTTGAGAACTTCCTTCTTGGGCAATTGAAAGTTGTCGTCAAACTTTTGGTTTTAAAAGTTCAATTCCCCTTCAAAACCCATCAAAACTCTACGCATAGCTTTTTTTAGCCACACTAAAGCTCTTTCGTCTTGTTAAAATACGAACGTAATTGGATTATCATAAATCTCTCTACCAAACTATAATTAACCGATTTCTTGGACTTCCAGAAACGCTTAATTCTCGCGGAAATCACAAACTAGAGGAACTACTTCAGATACTCCGGGTTCTTCAAAATTGCGAAAGAAATAGTCCTCCGGATAATATGGAGATCTAAGTGAATAAAGTCGTGTAGGCAAATATCTTGGACACTTTTCGGTGGGTAATGAACCACTTGTTATGACCTGTTTTCCCCGAATATGTCTTCAGAAAGTTCCTGAATCTCCAGTGAAAACAGATTTTATGACAATTGTTAATTCTACTCTATGATATTACAATGTAAGCTACCGCTAAGGCTTAGCAAAATCGGATTATTCCTCCAAATTTGGAAGGCCGCAAGCCAAAGATCAAATACTATTGACTCAAAGAGTTAAAACCAAAATATTTGCAGATTATCATCTCCCCTGCAGCCTCCAAAATCCTCTGACGTTACTCGGATTTCGCGGATTTACCTGTAATAATACTCGGCGGGGGGTTTTGCAAAGCCATTGAACTGGTAGTAGTTGAGGAGACCGTAATTCTTGTTGCCAATATCGTCGTTCCACAGCGTTGCACAGCCAGCATCGCGCATCTGCTGGATCAGGAACTCGGATTTCTCCCAATAATCTTGCTTTAGTTGATTCGAAGGGATCTCCTGGTCGGGGCGGACCCGATCCTCAAGCCCGCGACTGGCAGCATGGAAAACGCGGCCGGACAAAAGGGGGACGAGGTTGATTGCTGAGTTGTCACCAACCTGGAAGGAGAATTACACTGAAAAGCATATAAAAAAAATTTCAAGGACAGAAAAGACCTGTCAAGAGGTAGCTTTCTGACATAACTCATGGAATTGCCTTTTCAGAACAACCTAGGCTCATTTTGTTGTTTCACATTTTCTATTTTTCTGGGATCCTCCGAAAAAAAAATTCGTGCAACAAATTTAACTTCAATCCGCCGCAAAGCCCATGAACTACACTACCGTGTCCAGTAGACTCTCTAAAGGTCGTCTGGTCTATTATTATCCGGCTATCAATTTGATTCCCCGTGTTCCGTGCGAATTGCCATTTCTGGACCGGATTAGTTCTAACCGACCAATATTTAATTACCCCCAAGTAGCTTTAGATCCATTTTAACGAGTTTCTAATCACACAGATAAAAGGCAACTCGTCATCGCCCCCACAGGGCACACGGCGGCTATCTTTAACCTACGTTTTTTTCGGCTAGCTCCTAATCCAGTCTCGCCCCCTCGGCCTGACCGTCCATCCAAAATCTGATCCACTTTCACTCTCTCCTTTCTCCCTTCGCCCTCAGGGTCTCTCAGCTAATCCCATCGCAATTTAGGTATTAAGCCAATTTGGGAGTCCTAACCGTTGATATCCGACCCTTTGTTTGAGATATCCCCCTCAAAACGGGGGCCTAAATTAAAAAAGGAAGGTGCCTAAATCTGAGCACGGTTTTGGTAATCCTTGGCCGCTTTTCCGGCAAATTTAATTGACTGAATACATTTTCGAAACAGATAAGCCGATGGGCCTAATTTCTATTATTAGTGGCCTGAGGTATTGTCGAAAAGGAGCAAGATTACAGTAGACAAATTAGAGGGACTTGAGTAATCATTGCGAATAAAATCAAAAAGGCCACGTAAAATGCAATATGGTTACTTAAAGATGTCAGAGAAACCATAAAATACTATATATCCTATAATCTTGGTTTTCAAGCCATTTCGAATTTAAACAACCAAGAATAGGCCACTATGATCTGTCCATAGAATTGAAAATCAGGCACAATCTCACCTTAGTGTGTCCATAAAGCACGGAAAAGTTGTACCGTTTCATAAATTCCACACTCTCGGGCATATGTCGAAGGAATTGAGCTCTGGCAGTACTGTCAAACACAAGAATGTTCACACCAAATCGGTTTGGATTCTCGGAAGCCAGCCTTGGCGGATTCTCCGGCTCTTTTACTCCAGCGTACACATTTTTGAAGACCTCTGGAAAACTTTTTGGATTGTTTGAAGCGGTAAGAAAAAATAAAAGATTTCTCTGTTTTATCAGGTCAAAGGCTCCACCACGTTTTAATTACTGTACATTGCCCCCCATTTTTATCGAGATTTAAACCAACCGCTTTCTTGAATCCTCAGTTGTAAGATGTTATTGGGAACGACGTTTCCAAATGTGCAAAATAATAATACGTTTTCTATCGCGTAAAACTTCCCGAATCCACTTGAACGTTAAGCAACGTTTTTTCAACAGAATTTTGTGTTAAAAATGTACCAAGCTTTCGTTTTGATACGCTACAATTTTCACTGTAATTATACAATTTGAAAATTGGGAAATATTTTTCATATGTCAAGACCTGCCAGAAACGTTGTCAATGATTCCAAAAACTACAATTTCTTTCATAGAGATCGTTGTAATAGAAGGTCTATAAACTATGGCATTGGTTTACACGGAGAGTGGTAAAGGTGCTGTGGTTTTATTGAACTTGGTAAGACTGTATTCGGTAAGACTGTAAACATTTTTGAGATTTCTACAAAACTTTTTTTATGTTTTTCACAACAACAAATGATTCCAGCTTTCCCAAAAAAAAAATAATTTTTAATTTCCACCCTCTTTTCGGCCATCATAACTCCCATGTTTTTGTCGGATAAATTCAGTCATTTTGAAAAGAATCTTTGTATCCCGATAGCGGATATCGGCTTTAACAGTCTGTTATTGAAGCCTAAACCCCCAGCGTTTCGTTGTTGAGCGGCTTAGAGTCAGGGGGAGGGTTTGTAGCTTCTTTAAAGTCACCTTGTGGCTCAAACCCTACCGTTGTCGTTCTTGTCTACGCATTTGACCATAAAATTGTTTTTGTTCACCGTAATCCGTTCGTTGAAGGGAATCTGCAACCAACAAGAAGGGGGTGTAAATTTAATCATCTCTCTAGACAAAGAGTTGGTTCTCTACGCGGAAATACTTACATCCATCCAAGGGCCCTCCATTTTGACTTTCCCCCGGTCCCTTTTCAGTGTCCCGGATAACTCGATGAGTCGACATTTGAGACCTTTGTGATGTTTAGAGCCATGAGGACAGCTGGCAATTATATCACCGGAAATTAGTTGCTCGACGATCACGCCGGACGAGTTGTGTTTGCAATCGATGCGGCGGTAATGTCTTACATTGGGCTCAATGTCTGGCTCGACTTAAAGTCATAGGAATAAAGCAATACATAAAAAAACATCTATTCTGGTAAAAAATGCATGCTAAAACCAAGCCTTATTGTCAGATTGAAAAAAGTGCTTAGAAATTTTAAAAAACCCCCGTAACACTCCTTGTATCGCTGCCTAAATCTCAAGTGGTCATCTAAATCCCACGTCAGATCAAAAAACCAGTCAGTATTGCAGAAAAGCTACTTATGATTCAACATGCGTCTACTAGCCAGAGCAAATGTTCTGTTTTTTAACGAAGTTTTATTTTACCGCCCTAAATAAAAGCATCACTCCTAATTTATTTTACAAATTAACTTACCCGGCAAGAGAAATGGATATTTACAATCATTCTCGAACGGATGTGTCAAACTGAAGTTGTAAAATTCATGGTACTTCACAATCTTCAATTCCTGCCCGGAATCCACCGTAATATCTTTGCTTAACTTGTCATTTTCATATTCAGGCGCTGCTATCGTATACGTCACCGGAACTGTTGGGTCGTCTTTTTTTGGAGGTTCTAAATTCAAGATTCTCATGATATTGCTGTTAAGGAAAATCTGACCTGTAACAAGAGTAAAGCTGCCAGGAAACCCCGTATAAACCGATACTGTCAACGCTACGCCAATGAGAACTAGCTGAAAGCAATTTTAGAGTTACAGAGTCAATACATTAAACATTTTTTCCTAATTAATCGATATAACTCACCACAAATCCTACAAAAACCTGCTGAAGACTTTTTAATCTAGGCATACTTGAAGGCTATCTTGTCGGCATCTGCTTTCATATGTGGATCATGTGCAACATCAGCCACAGAAGAATACCCTGAAAACATTGAATTTTTTTCAATAGTGACTTCAAATTAATTCAAATATGCCAGAGTTCCAGGAAATAAAAAATATGAATATGTAAAGCGTAAAACGTAAAAGTTTCGAAATAAACCTTGGTATCTCAATATCCCGAAATTCGTAAAACGCGCTTCCGTAGTACTTGAAAGGTCAACGGCGAGACTCCAAGGTATGTCAAATATAATAATTATTCACCACAAGTAAAAAAAAACGGTTATATTGAAATAAAAAATTTTAAAATCTGGGAATATAACGTCCAGATGCGAAGTAAGCTTTTATTTTTGCACAGTGCATGTGGCAGAAATCACTCCAGCGGCTTTGCGAACGGACTAGTTTCGAAAGCAATCCGTCCACGTTAAATAATACAAATCTTTTCAAAGCACAAGCTATGCTTCTTGCAAATACAAAAAGTCTACAAGAAAGTCCGCAGAATTGCATAAGAAAGCATTGCCCACGGTCTTCTGAATTGTTTAGTAATCTGAAAGGCCCCAAAAGGTCATGCGAAGAAAGGGGAGACGGGGGATATCACCGCTCTATCCCTCTCTTTTCGGATTCTCACTGTCACAAAATCGGAAACTCACCATGGTAGCGTTTGAAACAAAAGCCCGCACTGGTGTTTTGTTTCCTAAACGGTTTTGTAGCGACAAATAATAGAATCGCGGCCAGTTTTGTTACTAATAAGTCTGCGTAAACGATATACTGCATAGGCAGTTTGTTTATTTACAAAAATGACCTGTCCGCAAGTCAAGGTCTTATGAATAACGTGAGGTGTTTCAGTTACAAGTTTGAGTTTTTCCGTTTTTGAAAATCTCCGATTAAATACGGTTAGCTGTTTAGATTGTGATGAAAAGTAACCGACAAAAATTATTTTTTACTTTACAATGATGACTTGTCCGCAATAGGTAGACTTCTGGCATTAAGACTTCATCACCGAACGTTGAAAAAATTCGATATAGTTTTTGAGATCTTCTGGGATATAAAACATTTTACTTGAAGACGCTATAAAAATGAGGATTTCGTTGGGCGAATCCCAAAATACATATAAAAAAGCATATTCCAGACTCCTCGCTCGCACTTTGCGTATCGCAATAATTTGCATAATAAAGTCTCTTGTAACCCTCCAACAACCTTTGCCGAATCTTCCCTCAAAATATCACGTTCCCATAATCAAAGACGCCACGATCGTGCGGCATGACACATTTTAAAACTTTACCAATAACGTTGCACATGTGGATACGGGATTTTATACATAATCGAAAATTATAAATGCTCAATTTTTGTTTCTAAATAAACATGATTTTTGTCGACGCCCTTTTTTATATTCTTAATTACTACAGCAAAGTTTACTGATTTGTATAATCACGAAATGTCATTCGTTATTTATTCCGGAAGGTCTTTAATGTCTTCCGCCTCCCTCATGAATGGTGTACAATCTTTTTGTCGGCGGAAAACCCTCCGAAAGGCCGTATACAAAACTCGGCCGGTCCCATCTGCCCATTTGGTGGCTCGACTATCCACAACAACACATCGAGGAAGCTCTGGAGAAGGTGGTGGGATGCAATGAAGGTCATTGTCACATTGAAATTTCTGAGCTCTCATATCAGCTCGACATTTGGACATCTTTTTCTCATAGATTCGTTCGTTCGAGAGCTTATGGAATCGCTGAAAAAAGGATCACAGTTACAGTGGTAATGGTTTACCAAATAAGTCTCTTTGTTCTCCTTGATTTTGGTTTGAAATATCCTTTCGGCTGTTGAAATAAGTCCGCTTCGGCTGTCATGATACGAAGGAATGGCTAGCTATAATTACGGCAAGATCAAGAATATGCTTTTTTATCACTTACGTCTCTCAGCCTCGGGTTAAAATAAGGGAAATGAAATTTGAACGCCCAGGCGTCATCTTTGGTCATCAACTTGTGGTCATTGTCTCCAATGTCTAAGCTGATCAATGGATTGTGAAGAAATGGGCGTTCTGTTCGATTTGCAATGACTGCCGGAATTCCAAATGGAGCGACTTGTTGAACAAGGGCTGTCTTTGCAAACTCTTGGATACGAAAGTGCTGAGGGCTTTGGTCTGAAAGTTGTGGAGTGAAGCGTTGACACTCATCTTACACTGATTAGCCGAAGCAGTGGCCAACCTAAATTCAAACGATGCAACACTTGGGTATTGCCTTGATAATGCCCACAACTCTTCGTAAAGATGGTTTGAGAATCTTGGAATAATTAGTTCATCATAATCAGCAAAAATTATAAATTCAGCGGCCCTTCTGTAAACGTAAAGACATTCGTTGGCGCTGAGAAGCCAACCGGCCTTCTCTATTTGAGAACTAACGTCAAATCCAAGTTCCGGCTGAAAAATGAAATAAAATTGCTTCAAATTAGTGACGCTTTTACGGACTGCAGTATCAGCCTTATATATTGCTTACGATATTCGGCAAAACAGGCGCTGTATCAATCCGAATTCCGTCCATTCGTTTTTCAAAATATTCAAGAACGTCGTACAGCTCTTCAATTACACTGTGAATCGGAATGACCAATGCACTCGCACCATACGCTTGGTATAATTGTAAGACAGCCAGGGCTGTTTGCCACCGCTCAAACATATACATTTGATTAAAGCACACTGTGACTGGCAACTTTTCGGACACGAGTGCTCTTGCATCCACTGCCATATTCTTCTCTCCATCTGGAGTTCGCCGACGCTTCACTTCAAACTGATCAACACTTGATGCGAAAGTGCAATCAAGAAAGTAAGGGCGCCAGTTGCAATTGTCATCATGATTGGCGGAAATCCATTTGACTGGGACCTCTTCCTTCTCCGTGGCGCAGACTAAATCGTTGTCCACAGTGTCTTTAGTGCCCACAGCGAGCATTCGAATAGTTCGTGGACCAGTGATATCATAGCTAAAACTTATAATAAAATCTTTCATTTTCCCTACTCCAATATAAATAATATGGCACAAATATGTACATTCAAAGTCAAAACTCTCACTCTAACTCCAAGTTCACAGCAACGGTAACGAAGAGGTGATAACTTTTGAAGGATTTTCGATATTGACTAACCGCCAATAATATAAGTAACAGAAATACACCACTTTTTCTTTTTAAATTCCGGAAAGGCAGAGCAAGTAGATGCCGCAAACTGATCTTCATGCCGACCACAATAAATACAAAAATAGAATCCTCGGCGGGAAAACTGTCTTGGAGCCCACAAAAAGTCAGAGATAAGATCAGATCCGCAAATGTGATCATTTTTCATTGGATTTAGTAAAACTTGTCAATTTTAATTTATAAATTTGCAAATTTTTTTATTTTTGCACAACTCATTTTTTTGGTAACCGTGACCTTTTCTATCGTAACCTGTAAATACTAAATTGTCCCACCCTCCCTATTTGAAACGAAATGCCAAGAAATTTCCAAAAATAGGCAGCTTGCGCCCACCTTGTTCTTGAGATTTTTATTTTTTTACCAAAGAAAATTCGTTTGGCCCTTCATTGTTTGATTAGTTGTTAGATTGTCAGAATGACACCAGCTGCAGATTTCACATCAAAGAAATGCATTGGATTGGAATGCGCTAAGCCAGCTAAACTCAGATGCCCTACTTGTATCAAGTTGGAGCTTCCTGATGCTTTCTTCTGCAGTCAGGTGAGAGGTTTTTTATTCTCTGGGGTTTTCTGAAGATTACAACTGTTGGATAGACCCGGAAATAGACCTGGAACAAAGCTCAAGTTATATTTACCTTTATATAATTGATGTTGACCACGACTTTTGTGTCTTTAATGTACAAAGTCAATTTCAGGACTGTTTTAAAAGCAACTGGGAAATCCACAAGTTTTACCACAAGCCCCAGGACAAGGTTTACAACCCATTCCCTGGGTACACCTTCAGTGGTCCCCTCCGTCCATTCCCTCAGACTCCAAAACGGGCTGTTCCAGAGACGATTCCTTATCCAGATTATGCTCTTCATCCAGAAGGTGTCTCTCTGGAGGAGAGGAACTCCAAAATGGCGGGTCAGATTGTGGTACGTTGTCGTTTCGAGTTTAGTTTATTTGTCTTTAGGTGAATGGTGAAGAAGAAATTGAAGGCGTTCGTTTGGCTGGAAGATTGGGTCGCGAAGTCCTTGACGAAGCTGCCGCGGCTGTAGACGTTGGGGTGACGACCGACGAACTCGACAGAATTGTCCACGAAGCATGTATTGAGCGTGAATGTTATCCATCACCTCTCGGCTACTACAAATTTCCGAAAAGTTGCTGTACTTCAGTGAATGAAGTAATTTGCCATGGGATTCCTGACCTGCGGCCTTTGGAGAACGGAGATCTTTGCAACAGTAAGTGTTCAATTGGTTTTTGTTTTAATTTTAAGGATTTTCTCGATGGAAAATGTAATTTGAAACTAAATGTTTATTTTTTAGTTGATATTACGGTGTATCACCGAGGATTCCATGGAGATCTCAATGAAACCATTTTGGTTGGCGATAAAGTATCAAAGGAAGACCGTGATTTGGTTCGAGTGACTTGGGAATGTCTTCAACAAGCTATTGCCACAGTCCGTCCTGGTGTGAAGTACCGTGACCTGGGCAATGTGATCTCGAAGCACGCTTCAGCCCATGGCTTGTCAGTTGTTCGGCGTTTTACTGGTCATGGAATCCATCGGTTATTCCACACGGCTCCTAATGTTCCCCATTATGCAAGTAAGTGGTTTTGATTCTCGTGGATAATAAACAGAAAGTTGGTTGAGACGGTTTTCAAGGTTGTGGGCATTGTAATTGTAATACCTTAACTTCAGAGAACAAAGCGGTCGGTGTCATGAAGCCTGGTCATATCTTCACGATCGAACCCATGATCAATATCGGCTCTTGGCACGATGAAATGTGGCCCGATGACTGGACTGCTGTTACTGTAAGCAACACAACCTAGTTTTTTTAAACCTTTCCTTCCTTTTTTTACATGTTGGAAATGTTTGACCTTTTAATTGCAACATTTTTTTCATATTGCAATAGATAACTGATCAATTTTCAGCGTGATGGCAAGAAGTCAGCTCAGTTCGAACAAACCATGGTTGTAACCGACGACGGAGTGGAAGTTCTGACCGAGCGCCCTTCAAAACGCCCATGGTTCATGGATCAAATCGACGAAAAATACAAAAATAAGACATAATCTCGAGGTCAGGTTGTTATCCAGATTTATTACCGTTTTTGTTCTTGTTAGTGTCATCAATCCAGGTTAGCTTTTTTGCCGCCCAATGAAGATAAATAAGATAATTATTAGCCTGTTTATGACATTTTTTATGTTATTAATGAGATTAAGCGGCTTCTCCATTCTCCGGGAACACCAATCCCAATTCATCGGCGTACTTTACCGCCTCATACGAGAAAAGGTCTCCCAACTTTGCCCATTCTCTTCTCGCCTCCTCACTTATTGTTGTTTTGGTGGCCATCCAATCCACGAGAATGTCGAAGAAACCTCTGAACATTCGAGGAGAGACCTTGCGAGAAATATGTCGAAGAACATGTTCCCGTGCATAGGCCTTCAGTGTCTCCGGCTGATCAGCCAGATTGGCCAGAATGTGAGTCGCCAGCGCCAATTTGCAGCCGAGTTTTTGGAACCGGTCACTGGTTATTGTGCTGTCCGCAGTGAAGCCGTCGGCCAAGTGATAGAAGGGCATCATCGCGGGCATGTTAGCAAAAGAGCTGGAAAATAAAGGTTTTTGGAGGGAAAGGCAGACAAGGTTTTTGGGAAGGCGTCTTTTATTTTAAAATCTACCTAGTAAAACTTACTACTTGTAGATCTCGACTCCCTGTTTCTCCCCATCTCTCGTTAAGGGCATAAATTCCAAAGATTTGAGCAAAATCTGTCTATCAGCCATCGTTTCCCTCCTTTACAGCAACTTGAAAACAAGTAATCGGAGTTTAAATAGGCCCTTACAAAAGTGCAGTCACGCGTCCCTTTTCTTAGTGTTTAATAATCACTCAACCAGAGCCTCTCAAAGGCCTCGATCTTACAACTAATGGACAAGAGTCAAAACCGATTAGACTTCGAAAGGGAGCTACAAGTTTGACAGTCCAGTTCCTGCTCTGAAACAACGTGGAAGAGGCGTTGATATCGTCGAAGAGTCCTGGGAAGGAACTGTAATCGTGTGGAGCACAGAATAGAGCGGTCGAAATGATAAAATCTCATCAAATTATTTGATGATGATATCATTTTTTTGTATTTTAGTGATCACAAAAACGTCATGCTTGTCAAGGAAGTCTTTGGGAAAATAACTTTTAAAAAACATTTTGATGATTTTTATTGAAGAAAAAAATATGTTGATCTTTGAAATTTTGGGATCTTTTGTGTTTTTTTTTAAATTTCTGGGATGATTTTGATGATATAATTTCATACTTTTGCACTTATGGTAATTTTTATTAAAAACCTTGAATAAATATGCATATTTTAAGGCAAAGACGGACCGAAAATAACACGAGACTAAGCGAGATCGAAGCTTAGTCAGCTGGGACGTCGAGAGGGCTTTATGTGCAATAGAGAGCATTATATTACACTTGAGATTACAGTAAAATTATATCATTTGGGAGAATTTGGCAAAACACAAAGGGAAAGACCGTAGCTGGGAGATCCTTGGGAAAACAAAGAGATGATTCGAACAATTTGAGACTTGACATTTCCGATAGTAAATAATATGCAAAAATGGAGATTTGAACATTCAGATTTTACAAAATTTTTTTTTGCAATTCAACGCATAAATAAACAATGCTAGTGATATTACAAAACGAAATAGAAAATTCATGCAAATAACTTCTGGAAAAGCCGCGGTAAAGATTATAACTCCAGATGTAAATACTCGAGATGTCTAGGCTTTATTTTTAGCCACTATTTTTACTAAAATTAGATTTGAAAAGTTTCCCGGAAGTGACGCAGAAAAGTGGAACACCCACACCGCAAAAGTTTAATGACTTTAGTGAGGGCGTGGAGGAAGAGTGGACTATTTACTAGGCCTGTTTTTCATTGCAACAACCTTCAAAAACGATGTCCTAGTGTCATAGAAGCTTTTTCTCAGCCTTCAGTACCAATATCAACGTATTTTACCCTTACATTTGAAGCTATGACCTCAGAGACTTTTCCATTACGTATGTGTAATACAAAACATAAAAAACCGGTGTCCTAAAAGTGAAGGAAGAAGTTTTGTACAACGCGATGAATAAATTATGTTTAGTACCAGCTGCACGGTCGTTCACACTTCCACCGGCATCGAGACTCCACTCGAAGTTCGCATTCGGATACCCGTCGTGGAATGTCCCTGAAGGAATCGAATGGTTAAAATCATCAAAAATTAAATAAAATGCTATTTGAATTTAAAATTTTTCAATTATTCGGGTTCTCTGCATAATTTCGTTGAAATTAGAGTACCTTTTTGCAGGCAATGATGATGAATTTTATTCAAATTATACGAAATTAAACTATGCGCAAGTACGAATTCTAAAGAATTTAGAAATCTTTAGAAAACATATAAATTAGGAATGATTTTGACATATGCAATTCTAAAGGGCCTTTTTCATAGAACATTTTGATGTGATATTCTTACAATCAACTGTCTATTTAAATATTTTTATGAAAAATGCGACTTATTGAGTTTTTATGAAACCGGGTCGTTATAACTCAATTTTAAACTGTTTTTTGTCGTGTTTTCAACATTTAAAGTGCTCTATAATAGGCTGGGGAGCAGAAACTCACACCAAACACAGGTACACAAGCCAGTGAAATTCGCTGCGTTGTCTGCGTAAACGATTTGCAATTGTCATCAAAGCGTAAAACAGGGACATCGTACATCATGGGCTCGCAGGAGACGTCTGGGAAACGATTGAGAATCCCCATTTTTGTCGGCTTTTGACACACGCATTGGACTTCAGGTATCGTTTGAGGAAGTCGCTGAAAATTTTGGAAAAATTACAGAGAAGTTTGTAAAAGTGTACTTTTAAAAACCTCAACAACTTTTCGCTGGACTGTTAGTTTAAGAGCCTTCACTATACCGTGTTATTTTTTTCGAAAATCTAGACATTGCTGTTGAAAACACGTGTAATTCTATACAATTATTAAAGAGGAACTACGAACATGTTGCGTCATCATAATGAGGAAGACGTAATTGATTACACATGCCCATATTTTGTCATTAACTCACCTTGTTATCAAAGTTCTCGACGTATTGGAAGCCGCAGACAGCCCGATCTCGGATAGGCATGTCCGGCGAGATGTCCTCGTCCTTCTCCTCTTCACACATGTCTTTGTTGATTTCGGGCTTTACAAAGCTGAGATGAGGAGTCTTCATCAGATATCCTTTGGCGTCATTGCCCGTTATCATCCTAGTTATGGCCTCTTGGAGTTCGGGGTTTAATTTGGCCTCATTCGAGCAGTCAGACTCCATTCGACGTATTCGTGAGAATCTGGAATTGTAAAACGGTGGTTAGTCGTCGTAACATATAATTTGAACTTTGAGTCTTCAGACTACATCTTCGTAAATTTCAAAATTTATATCTTGTCTCCAAACTACCCTTTTTGAACTCACTTTGGTCTCTGTAAAAACAACATATCCGGCTCGATGGGCCTCCGATTTGCCGTCCGATATGCCGACGAGAGTCTGTTGAAACACAAGAGAATCTAAAAACAGTTTGTTTGGATTCGGAAAACGTTAACTTACAAGAAATAAGTAGATCGTAATCAGCGTGCTGAATCCCCGACTTGTTCCATCCATTCTGAGATTATTTGCACTGGAATCGATAAATAATTTACATATGAAATTGCAACCGGATGACATTGACATTGTCATATCGAAGAAAGGCGAAGTGTTTTGCGTGGGAAGGGGCAAACAAAAATACAGTAGTAACAGCCAAAAAAATTTTTGGGCCAAAAACGGAAAAGAAAAGCAAAATTTTTGAGCCAAAAAGGGCTAACATACGAAAGCTCTGGTGATCTAAGGTCACTATTTTGAAAGTTGTAACCTATGAAAGAATAAGTAAGCTGACAGAAAAACACCGGGAACAAATCTTTTATACAGCCCGAAAATAAGGGCGATGCAAGAAGACGCAATGGCCAGGTGAACTTTACCGTCTTGAACTTCTTTGAGGTTTTGAAATGCTGCAGGAACAGTTATGAACAACGGGCGGAAATGTCGCAAGGTAAAAAATTTAATAAAAGTGCACATTAGTCGAATTGGTTACGCATAGATGCCTAAATCGGAACCACAAATATAGCAGATTTGAATAAATTTTGCTCTCTAATGTCTTAAATCCCCAAATTTTGACTTACAATTAGCCACACAAAATGATATTAAAAACACCTGGAAGTTCAAATTTTCACTTGTCCAGAAGCACTTTAAACATATCTAAATAGATTTTTGATTAATAGACCGTCTTTTCAGAGACGTTTTTTTCAAGAAAAAATCCTATTTATAAAACAAAGTACAATCAACAGTAATAGAAGACAAATAGAGACAGCTTCCGATAATTTATGAGATGGTTTAGGCAGTTCAATGGCCACAGACTAATGCAGATCGCGGAAGTAAGGAGTTTACCGCCTACCGTAGAGTAAGTAATGTCATTTAGAGGGAAACGATCAAAGACTTTAGACCAGCTAGCTCTTAAATAGGCTAGAATCGTGCTGTAACGGCATCATTTACAATTTTGTTCCAAAAATCTTGTACTTTCCCAAAAATTTGCGGAAAATTACGATGAAATTTAAAATAACAATTTTTTTATTCATTACCTTGCTCTTCAAGATCTGTTGCATTCTAGCAAAAAATTTGGCCAAGAACTTTTGGATTACGTAATTTTGGATTTGTTGGTCACGAATAAACTTTTGAGTTTATCAATGGACAATATAAAAAGGGTAGAGACAAAAAAGGAACCGAAAAAGATGAAGTGGGTTACTGTAGCAGGGAAAAGTGCAAAAGAATCGCAACTTGGGAAAGGAGGAATAATTCGAAAAACAAAAAAATAATAATCGTATTTTTGAAGAGCTTGTAGACGAAAAAATTGGGGCTAAATTACAGTTGCCGTGCAAAAATTTGGGAATTCTGTTATTTACATGGGGAAATTCTCAAACAGTAACGCGTACATTAGACCCATTGTTGAAGTAAAAAAATCCATTTTTTGTTTTCTTCCAAAAATTGCATTTAACATAGATCTTCCTTACAAACAAGGAACTAAAAACCTTTTGGCCGTTTTATCATAAAACGTGACGTTGATTTGGCAATTTCCTCATATTTTACGAGAAATGCCAGAAAGATATCCTTCATGAGAACATACTAGAAAAAATGGGCTGAACGCGTTGAATTGTGACAAACCACGGAGAGCTTTGGTCTTCAAACCTTTTAAAAATATCTTTTTTTACCTAATTTTACTTCCTTAAAATACTATCGGAAAACCGATTATAGTGGTCACTGTAAAATTCGTATGTCTCAAAACAGAACGCCCTCCGGCTAATTAAGGGCACAAACAAAGAACGGGCGTTTAAATAAGGCGAGCCGTTTTGTTGGGTGGGTGTGGCCATAAGCAATGACCAATGCCAATTTGGCCAAAGAATGAAAACACTTACAGCTAACGGGAAATGGAAGTAAAATGTCTACCGTACGTTACGTAGGGGATTTAAAAGGGAAGAGTGAGAGTTCTTGAGTTCTTTCCTTCTTTCGCAACATTCGTAAAAATACTGAATATATCCGAAATAAACAGAATTCTCTGAAAAAGGTGATTAAGGACGAGCAGGTAGCTTCCTTGCGCTCCTGGCTGAACACATGCTTTTTATACAAGACAGTATTTGGATAGGAAATCTAAAAATCTCCGTCCCGCTGCTCTATGCCAATTGGCATCCTTTTTCATACGCCCCAAATATCATCCTAATTTTGCATATTCCCGAATAATCAGCAATCTATTTGCTAATCATTTTTAGACTACCGCTACGTCATTTAACCTAAAAACTTGGCTATACTGTTATCATTTTTCAATTTATCATCTACTTCGTCATCTACTTGCTGAAAATTTTCCATTGGCACAAAAAAACAATAATTGTGGCCACTTCAACTTTAATAAAAAAAACTCAAAGGTGATAAGAGCAGAGAAACATTTGCAGGAAAATAAATTTCCGAAATGAGTTCCACGCCACTAAAAATACATCTCCAATGTGTGCCAAACTAACCCACCCCCACCCGCCGACACCACACATTAATTCAAAGTTATTTTGAACACAGCCGCAACATCACAACTTTCCGCCTTCAACAGGGCCCCGTCGCGCGAAAACAAATGCCGTAGTTATGGGCTGCATCTGGTTTTATATATACTCGCCTAATTTTTCGTATTTCAAGTGTGTTCTGGAAAGTGACGCAGTGTTCAGGGAAGGTTTTCGAGTATTTTTTGGAAGACTCTGTGAATAATATTCGTTATGTCCAAGAAAGATGATGCGAGCCTGCAGCAAACGCGGTACAGTAGAGGGGTCAGGACAGAACTTTGAACGAAACAGCCGAGTACAGAGAACGTTGATGGCGTCAGGAACATTTGCATAACTAAAGTGAGGCTGCAGTTCGCTAGAACATCTTTCAATGCCGCCGACTTTCTTCACCAAGCAAAGAATTGTATTATTCGACAGGCTGAAGCTTGGGTAGAGTCTTTGCTCTGATATTTCCTTGCACTAACTTGGCTGCATACATATACCAATGTGTAAGATCAATTTTTTGAATTATGACAACCAAACGTACGCTGTGTGAAGCCGCGATTTCAAACAAAGACAATGACGTCCAGTTTGAGCCTATTTTCATCAAGTACTTATAAATCGATCCTGTAGCCCCTCGTCCTTTTAAAATTAAAATCCCTTTTTGACTTTTTTGGCAGTTTTGAAGCAAGCCCAACATCAAAACCTCCTATCATCAAAACCCACCTTCTAGCAAGTTTTTTGCAATAGTTCAAAAGACAGGCTTTCGCATTGCGATCCCCCTCAAGCGTTGATCATGTTTCAAAGCCCTTTGTATTTTGGAAGTGACCTGAAACCGGAAACTTGAATTCAAGACGCCAAAGACCCGCCAAAACTGATTTCCTTTCATATTTTATATTGCTAATAATATCTTTGAGAAAAATATGCAATAAAATTTTACTTTGGGAGATCTGAGCTGTTATGAGTCAGCAGCGTAGGAGATGAAAACTGTTTGTTAAAAAAGATGGTGGGTTATGTAAATGACATCAGTCAAATAGCAAGTAAATAGATGTTTCGAATGTATACCTTTGGAAGTTTGATTAATCTTTATAACAAACTTTGGACATGTTGGCAAAAACCTTTTCTGTAATTACTCTAATAAAACATTGTAAAAATATATTTTTTGGACAATGTGGTATTTCCGTTTACTACCCTGTACGAATTCTTGATTGAAATGTTCGGGTTCCGCCAAGGTGTGTGGCGGCTTTAATTTCTAATTACCCCCGGAATACATCAATATTTGCACTAAAGTGCAGGAGATTTACTTCTTTCTTAGAAATGACGCCGAAGAATACCGAGATATTGAAAGTGTTCCAACGCATATGTCTACGGGTCGCCGATACAAGGAACTGCGAGGAATAGAGAATTTTTAACCGCCCTTTGTTTGAGAATGATGTTATTTTGTTATAGAGTATTATAAATAGCAGGTAATGAGCGGGCGCATATTCTGGTGGACTACAGTAGTCGGAGGGAATTCCGGGAAATAGAAAGTTGTGGTCCTAATTATGTAAAATCTTGCAGTTGATTAGAACCGCTATGAATAGGCCGGCAGTGTACTATGGCCGCCGTGGATCTGCATAAACTTGTGTTTACCGCTAAATTAGCAAGCTCTTGGAATTCGATTTTCGATGATAAATTTGTATTTCAGAAACCCAGGTCTTACTGTAGCAAAACAGGGCAACTCAAAAATATGTCATTGAAAATGCACAACTGACTTCCGTGATATTTTTAGTCGGAAGGTAGAATGTCGAAGACATTATAAACTGCGCTTTTCCGTATTCTAAGTTTCATAAACTTCGACTTTGGCATTTTTAGTACGCAAAGGGAAACAACGACATTTTCAGACTTTCATAATTTCAAAAAAAAACACTTTCTTATATAACTTTCCTGCTAATTTACCACCGGCAAAAGTCAAAGAACATTTAAAAAATTCTGACGAGACAAAAGAGCAACATATCTCACATAAGGAGGCGGAAATTTACGTCAAATTCTAGCGTTATTCTTTAATCGCGGAGCCACGGTCTGGCCATATAAATCATCCCGGTCCAAAAAACCGCTCGTAATAAATACATCCGCCGTAAAGCTAAATAAATTCATATTTGTAATCGAAACATTCCGCGCAAAAACACAAGAATAGACGGCTTAAAAGGAGGCTTGTAATTGCTCTTTGAGTGTTACGTATATACGAGGATGAGAAGTTAAAGATTGGCACACATTTATAGATCAGTATGATTCATAGACTAAGTCACAGTTTTTGGAACATTGGAGTACGACGTAAAATATGAGCAGAGCAAAACGTCGGATGGGATTATTCCCTAAGGCGGAAGGTGGAGCAGTACTGTGAAATTGGGGATTTGAGTGATGGAGTTAGTCCAGTTATTATCTATGCGATTGTCTTCCCAAAACAACGGATTTGAATGCAGTTTATATTTAAAAATAGTGTGCAGAAAGTGGTTTTAATCCGGGGCAGAGTGTTTTTGAATAAAAATAAAGTTTAATTGAACGATCAAAAATCATTCTTTTGTTTATGTTAGATTTTAAGTTGGATGTCGAGTCCATGATCAAAGTCTCCGAATACCAACATGGTAATGCTAACGGCAAGCCAAATTGCCGACAAAATATTAATGCTTTTTCAAGTTTTTAGGCTTGATTTTCGATCTATTTGGACCCAACAAATCACAACAGACATTGCGCAATATCTTTCAGACCGCAACCCTCTTTCCGCCGCAGTGGAATCAGTATGCAAATCTTTCTTCGACGGTTCAAGAGCGCTTTACAACCTTCAAAAGTTGATCATTGCTCGTGCCTGTCTTTAGATGCACGTTTTTTTAGATTTTTTTATCGCATGCTGGTTGATTTGCAAAACCATTTGCAAATATATGCTCGAAAGTTTTTCTCTTACAACGCCTTTCTTGCAGATGCCCGATCCAAATGTATTCCACATCCTCCTTGCAATTTTTGTCTGTCCGGTGAGATGTTGGGAAAAATACGAAAGGTCGATGGAAGCGCCGTCAGCGGAGCAAGAAGTCTTTAAATTTGACTTTAATGTAGCGCCCACATTGTCGATGAGTGTGGAGAGAGATTACAAAAAGTTGTTTGTGGTCGATTACAACCCGGATACTGTAAGCTTATTGATCATATTACATAATCTAATGTGCCTCATTTTCAGTTGATCTGGGAAGAACGAGATAACAATCAGCTCGCCGCATGCCTGGCCAAGTTCAACCTGTCCAAAGGGCTGAACCCTCGGAATCAAACTTTTTTCAAACATCGTGATGAATTCGATACCCTCGAGCAGTTTAACGGACAGCATGTTCGCCTTCACGCAGTCAATGGCAAATCGTAATTTCTTTGTTTTCTGTTAATAATAGCACACTTAAAAAGTCAAATTTTGACGACAATATCCCCTCAGCAATTTACATATTCTCTGTTTAGGCCTGGCCCATTATTGATGACAAATTATGGTTCGGTGATGACGATCAGAGTGACCAACAGTATTCTGCTCGACGGACTGACAATGAGAGTTTACGGGCTAGATACTGAGTGGTTCAACGATGGGGTTCCTTATCTCCAGCAATGCCCCATACCTCCAAAAAGTGTTTTCACGTACAGATATGAAATTAATCGGCAAGGAACACATATCTACAGGTAAAGAACCTACTTTTCTTTAACAACTAACAATAACTCATTTATCATTTCTTTTGTTGCTCTGATTATGCATTGTAACACTACGTAAAACGCGATTTCAGATCCACTCAGCCTCATTTCCGACCAGACGGATTCTCCGGCCTTATGGTCTCAAAGAAACCCGAAGAAATGCTGGCAACTCCAGCCGGTGGACGAGTGAATATATCGACGGAGTACCAACTAGCAATTCAAGACTGGCCGTTCGTCGAAGCGAGTCAACAACGGCAATCCGGTCTCTCTCATGGCCTCTCTAAATGGGGACATGGCCTAGACAGAGAGGATAAACAGTGTGCGAGGCCTGGAGTTTACCACAATCAAACTGTCCAAGCGTCAGTAGCTCCATTTTCTATCTTGATTAATAGCAAAGGGTGGTATAATCAAAAAGATATCCTAACCAGGCCTTCGAGGATACCATTAACGACATTCACGATTACAAAAGGTTAGAATTTGAACTTTTATGCGATTTGGATGACTTTCCTTTTTACTTATGGCTGTTTTAGACGGGTATCATCTCTTTCGAGTCGGCCATTTAGGCTTTGAAAGGGCCTTGAAGATCTCCGTTGAAGACCACGAAATAGTTCTGGTCATTGTTGATGGAGCCCATATCAAGCCAGCAGTTGCTCAATCACTTGTAGTTATGCCAGGAGACGTCTTCAACTTTTATATTCACGGTAAAAGCGACCCAGAAAAAAAGATTTACCGGATGATTGTGGAGACACTGCATGCGTATTCGTACGGGGAAACACGGCAGCCGATTTATGGGCTGGCTAACATCGAATATACGGATGTTGAAGACAAAGGGCAAGACCTGGATCAAGGTAGGGCCTTTAAGTTTTTTGCATGGAACCTGAATGTTTATAAGGCAGAATGTGAAATTGGTATTTTTAGTTGACTTCTCCCATAACCGCTGCAAGAAACAAGTTTGCGTCGTTCTCAACTGCCCATCCAACCCATTATATTCCAAAGGGAACTACCGTTGTATCAAGGCCGATGAATTCCAAGACCCGGATCCAAACGATGACTCTGATATGCTCCAAACAAGATCTTATTCTTCTTCTGAGTACGAGGAACACTTTATCTCAATGAATGCCTTGACTGGAGTGGATGGTTACAGTTACATTCCGCCAAAATCAATTCCGTATTTTAATGAGGATATTGAGTCATGTTCCGATTTCTTGTGCAACAAGAAGAACGTAGCGTTGGGCAAATCACAATGCAAATGCTTTCATTACAAGAAATTGGGATACAATAAGATGATTCAGGTAAGAAATCTCACGATATTGGTTTGCGTGAAGTCCTTTCGTAACATGTATATATATTTTAGCTAACACTATACAATATGGGGCCTTCTGGACCAAGAAATGTTGGTCTGGCTATGCCGGTTCATATCCCCAGCACTCACGTGTACGTTCTTAAAATGGGCTTCCCAACATACCACGCCAATCAAACCGTCAAAGACTTCAATTTTGATTTGATTTGTGACCAGAAGCAGGTAAGTAGAGGAGATTTCGCATGGAAGGCTTGTTTCAAAATCACTTTCAGTTAGGTTGTTTTGATGCGACGTGGCGTAATTCAACCTGGATGAATGGAAATCTTCCGTTTGAGAATAGAGAGCCAAGTTATGTCACCAACGTCCTCGTGCCTTATGGCGGATATACAGTCATACGATTTAGAAGCAAAAAAGCCGGCTGGTATTTAGTTGAAAGTATGAGATTGTCTGAGAGAGAAAATGGAGTAGCCTTTGCGATAAAAATTGGAGAAAAGGAGGACATGCCAGCGCCTCCGGAAGATTTTCCAAAGGACTGCGGCGACTTCGAAGCTCCACCGGTAGGTTGAAGATGTGAGAGTTGTCATGGTCTCTTTGCTTTCAGATCCCGACATTCGTTCGAGAAAATTTAGCAAAAGGAGCCGTGCCTTCGATGTGAAGCCATAATGTCTTGATGTATTTATTTAAATGATCTGTTGATTTTATCGTCCGATAAAATGCTTTTAAAGCCTTTTTTATATTGAAGGTGAAACATCAAGGAGCATTTCACAATTGAGGTCTAAAGAGCGTGTAACAGCAGAGATGTCATATATATCGGAACGGATTCCCAATGTATAAGCTAGCCTTTAAATTTTATTTTCAAAGCCCGTTACGCCATCCTTTCCTTGTCCGCGGCCTTAACGGCAGATAATCAGTATGCAAATCTCAGGACTTTTATCGAAGTTTTCAAGAGCGTTTTACAATGCAGTTATACCAACGTAGTTTTGTTCCTCCTCTTGTATCATCTAAACAGCACGTTTTTTGGTTTTCTGTGCGTAATTCAAGTTGAATGTTTCAGACATTGATGCTTAGCACAAACCTATTTTACACATTTTTTGCGTCTTTCATACTCTCGATCAAATGTTGGGAACAATACGAACAGTCAATGGAACTGCCGCCACCTGGCCAAGAACTTTTTAAATACGATTTTAATGTAGCGGCAAAACTGTCGATGAGTGTTGAAAGGGATTACAAGAAGTTGTTTGTTGTTGATTACAATCCGGACACTGTAAGTGAAACAGAGTCAAAGTGCCGTTCCACTATATGATTTTATAAATTGCAGCATTACTTTAGCTAGAATGGGAGGAGAGAGATAACAATCAGCTTGCCGCATGCCTGGCCAAGTTCAACCTGTCGAGGGGCCTGAATCCCCGGAATCAATCTTTTTTTGATCATCGCGACGACTTTGACAGCCTCGAGCAATTCAACGGACAACACGTTCGACTTCACGCTGTCAATGGCAAATCGTAAGTCCCCTCTAAATTTAGCCCTAATTGTCTCTTTTTAGGCCCGGCCCATTGCTAATGACAAACTATGGGGCGGTAATGTTAATAAAGGTAACTAATGGGGCTCTCCTGGATGGACTCACAATGAGGTTCTATGCGCTCGACACTGAATGGTACAACGATGGTGTTCCTTATCTTCAACAATGCCCTATCCCACCGAAGAGCTCCTTCACCTATCGGTATATTGTCAACCGGCACGGAACACATGTTTATAGGCAAGAAAAACTTCGAAAATAATTTTCCTTTGCCAATAAAACGTTAATTCAGAAATCGTTCAGGTCTACCCACCCTCATTTCCGACCCGACGGATTCGTCGGCCTTATGGTTTCCAAGAAATCGCAGGAAACGCTGGCAACTCCAGATGGAAGAAGGGTCAATATAGCGACAGAATATCAGGTTGCACTTCAAGACTTCCCATTTGTTGAGGCCACTCAACAACGACAATCCGGCCTAACGCACGGTCTCTCCAAATGGGGATATGGTCTGAACAGGGATGACAAACAGTGTGCAAGCCCGGGAGTCTATCACAACCAGGTTGACAAAGAATCAGTGACTCCTTTTGCAATTTTGATCAATGATAAAGGATGGTATAACCAGACGGATATCTTAACCAGGCCTTCGAGAATACCGCTGACAACATTCAGGGTTACTCAAGGTAAGGGTTAAAATCAACCTCTCAAAGTCAGCATAATAGACAAAGCACTCAAAAATGGACGATCTTTTCAGACGGCTACAATCTCTTCCGAGTTGCCCATATTGGATTCGAGAGGGCGTTGAGGATCTCCGTTGAGGACCATGAGATAGTTCTAGTCATTTCGGATGGCGCTCATGTCAGACCTTTGGCTGCACAATCGCTCGTAGTCCTGCCTGGCAAGATATTCAATTTTTATGTCCACAGTAAAACCAATCCAGAAAAGAAAGTTTATAGGATGATTGTGGAGACATTGCATGACTATTTGCATGAAGGAAGGCAGCAGCCGGTTTATGGGCTGGCGAATATCGAATATATGGACGTTGAGGACAAAGGGCAGAATCTGGATCAAGGTAAAGCCCAAGGCATCGTAGAAAGTGTACAAGGCAACGTAAAACTATTTTTTAGTTGACTTCTCCCACAACCGCTGCGACGAGGAAGATTGCATCGTTCTTAACTGCCCATTCAACCCGTTATATCCCAACGAGAATTATCGCTGCATTACCACGGACAAATTTCAATTCCCAGACAAACATAATGACTGGGATATGCTCCAAACAAGATCTTATTCCTCTTCTGAGTACGAGGAACACTTTATCTCAATGAATGCCTTGACTGGAGTCGATGGCTACAGTTATATTCCGCCAAAATCAATTCCGTATTTTCATGAGGATATTGAGTCATGTTCCGATTTCTTGTGCAACAAGAAGAACGTAGCCTTGGGCAAATCAAAATGCAAATGCTTTCATTACAAGAAATTGGGCTATCGTAAGACTATACAGGCAAGTTCACCTTGATTTGTTGGTTTACAGGCCCGTATGCAAGACCTTTATACCCAACAACCGCTATTTTAGCTTACAATATATAACATGGGGCCTTCTCGACCAGGCCACGTTGGCTTGGCCATGCCAGTTCATATCCCAAGCACTCATGTTTATGTCGTTCGAGTGGGTTTCCCGACGTATCATGCCAACCAAACCGTCAAGCAGTTTAATCAAGATTTGGTCTGTGATCAGCCTCAGGCAAGTGAAAGTTCCTAACACAAAATATGACAGAAAGCCGGCCAATTTTCAAGTATCAATATGAGTTGTTATAATACCCTAATTATTTTTAGTTTGGTTGCTTCGATGCGGTATGGAGAAACGTCACCTGGTTAAATGGAAACGTGCCGATTGAGAACGAGGAACCAAGTTATGTCACTAATCTATTAGTCCCTTATGGTGGATACACAGTGATCCGATTCAGAAGCAAAAAGGCCGGTTGGTATTTGGTGGAAAGTATGAGATTGTCTGAAAGAGAAAATGGGGTAGCCTTTGCGATCAAAATCGGAGAAAAGAAGGACATGCCAGCGCCTCCGGAAGATTTTCCAAAGGATTGTGGAGAGTTTGAGCCCCCACCGGTAAGTTTGATGATGGCAGAGAGGTTGTGGTCCGGAGGTTACAAGTAACTTTAATTGTACCGGGAAAAAAATCTTAAAATGCTTTTATACGAGTACTTAAAAATAAGTGTTGCAGAAAGAATAAGATTTTAAAAAATTAGAATTCATAGTCTTTGCAGATGGTGTTAAAGGAAGGAAACTTTGAAATCTTCCCCCAAAAATCCAATTTTTAGCCTAGAGATTGCTGTCGTCTTCACAATATTTCCCAAACGACAAGAAAGCTTATTATTTATCATTTTATTCCAGATCCCCAGTTTTGTACGGGAAGGTCTCGCAGAAGGTCCAGTGCCCTCTATGTAACCTCAAACAATTCTTTATGACTATTATGATCTTTTTTCCTGACATTGCAATAAACTTTACTTGAAATCTTGATTAAACCTTGAGCTGTAAAACTTTGATTAAACCGCAATGCTTTTTTTACAATGACCAACTTGAGTGAGGCAGTGTTAACGTCGAAAAACGGAAAAACAACGAAGTAGAAGGGTCTGGGCTATCCCAGCAAGTCTCTGTGAAACGGATACTTGATGCGGCTGCGCCGGAGGGTGATTCGAATCGACAATCTCTACAAGCACTTAAACCTCACGTTCAAGGCTAACCATGCTCTCTAATTTGGGCCGGATGGGCTCAAAGTTGGCGATCAGGCGTTCGATAAGCTTGCGTTTCCTCCACGGATCGGTCTGTTTGAGGGCTTCCATGGTCAGGAAATTGGCCGCGAATATACATTCATGCGGATAATGAAACATGTAGATTTCGCGGAGCTAAAAAAACTACTTCTTAGGTCAGGGACCCATATTTCACACTTCAAAACAACTTTTATTGCCTCAAACTCACTTTATCCAGCGAGAAATCGGGCGTCATCCCTTGTCGTCGATATTCCGTCCATAATTTCTCATAATAAACGCGAAGGAACCGATCTGTACACATCTTCTGAATACTGGCCGAAGTGCTGATCAGGATGAACCGGACCAGGTCATTGATTCCAGTACCTTTTATAACCTAATAATAGACCTATTTACATACCTATGTGGACCGCCTGCCAATCAATAAAAGCGTAGACTTTGTTGGAAATATGACCATGTTCATCCTTTTCAAATAAGATATTATTGGCCCAAAGGTCGCCATGAGAGATCACGGGTTTGATTCCTAAAGTTTAGAGGATCTAAGATTACCTTTGACCAAATTGTATGAGGTATGAGCCGTTTTGTGTAATGTTACTCACCAAAATCAGTGTGTGGTTGATAAGGCTGAGCATAAGCAGACTCCAGCAGTGTCCTATAAGCTCGTTCGTGTTTGATAAAGTAGCTTTCATTCAATCCCAAGATCCTTTTCCATATATACAACTCATCATCGTGTAGTTGAAGGCGATGATTTCCACTGAGCTGTCTCATAATCTCCTCCGAGTTATTCATGCATCGAGAGTATGCATGAAAACGAGCCAACTCTTCCACAACATGACAGCATTGCTCGATTGAGAGACCTTGAACAACATCCGGCATTATGGCCCGATCATTTAGACTCTCCAGCAAGATACGTCCATGTCTTCGGGTCTCCATATCGCTGTCTTCATATCCAAACATTCGAGGGAAATGCAAGTACGGGTAATTTGGCGCCACTAGAGTGTAGAATAAGACTTCGTGGTTGTGGTAATAGATGAGACCATTGGCCATTTGGTCGATAAAGCCGTAAAGAGACTTGTTTTCGCCGAGAACTTTAAATTTATTCATACAGGGAGCCTAAAATGATGTTTTGATGACTAAAAAAGTTAATTACCTTGAGGTAGAAGGTGAATGGAGCAAGAAATGAGCTAAAATAGATATCAACTTTGGCCACGTTAGACAAATATCCGCCACTGATGATTTCATAGGTGATCTGGAACGATCACGCAATTATTTATAACCACAAGCATTTTTATGTCAAAAAAATTTTTTATTACATAAATCGTGTAACTTTGGATCCAAAACAAATTCCTCTATAATAAAAAAGAATAAATGCCCTTACCCGACTAATTTTCTTTCTTTCCTTCCTCAATTTGTCCCACCTCTTGTCTTTCCCGTCCAATTGCTCCACAATCCATTCGAATGTTACATCCGTCGGCTCAACGTACTGACTCAAATTTACCATTGTCATATCAAACAAACAAGTAAACAAGCAGCGCCATGTCTCGGTTGTAAACCTTTGTTTCAACGATTTTTTTTTTGGGGTTTCGAGTTTTTGTATTTTTTCGTTTTATCCGCCCGGATTTATGGAGCCGTTTCGCTTCGTTGAGGGCTGACAAAATCCGAGAAACAAAAAAAAGAGTGCGGGAAACGATCAATTGCCTGCGGGAATGATCTGAATATTAGAGCGGGACTAGCCACAGCCAAATTTCAAAAAATTTCTAAAATCGAAATCTAACCTCACAAAGGATGACGGCCATGAAAAAGTCACATCTTTCCCCGAAGATCTCAAGAATTCCAAACAGCGCTTGTTATTTATTTTCGAGATTTATCCATTTAGCTATGTATAATATAAGAATAAACATTCGTATGAATTGAAGATATAAAATGCTCATTTCTCTATTAAATCTAATGCATTGAGACTCATTCGATCTTCTGAGCGCGCCGTCTGGTTGGAGGTGTCCTTCGTAGATCGCCTAAAGGTTTTTCATTTATTTGAGCGGCTGGTTCCACTCCATTGGCTGTTCCATTCTTAACCACTCCGTTTTTGAGTCCATTCTTGATTTCGCCGTTCTTTAATCCATTCGTAAGCCCGCCATTTTTGACTCCATTAGTGAGACCATCCTCCTTTTTGGCCTTGTATCGATTGTTAGGCCTTAGATATGCCTTGTAGAAAAAGTGACAGAATAATAAAAAGTATGAGAAGTAGATGGTGAAAGAGAAGTAGAGGTTCTCGTCCGTCTGCTGGCAAGGTCGACCCGAGGACTTTATGTTAAAGACTCTGTAGCCAATATAGACGCCCATCACCATTTGGGCAATTTGAAGGACGGTGACGGTCATAGCTCCGACCCGAGGGACTGAGATCTGGGCTGCTCGGAGAGCGTAGTACGAGTACATGAGAGCGTGGACCTGAAAATGGCACCCGAGTTAAGCAATACTTGGCCTCATAAAAAGTTTTGATTAAAACTTATCAGCGATTATAACTTGAAACAACTAACCAAAGGTATTTACACCAGACGCCCCTAGAAAGTGCTCCCCTAAAGGTTGCTTGGGAAGAAAAGTCATCCAGAAAGCAACTCGAAGAAATTTCAATACTTCGGCTAGCGATTTGAACGATTTGACTTCCAATTAAACTTTTTATAACAGAAATTTATGTCATTAAATCAACCCTTATTTACAACCGTGTCTCACAATCCATGTTTTTTGTCTCATCCAAATTTCAAAACGGAGATTCAAGTTTACCATCCCTTCACACACAACGACCTTACTCTTTATATCCTCAACTTACACCATAATTCATCCAGATGAACCATCGCCCACTGGCTGTGTGATCTTTATAAGCATGCCATGTGTAGATCAGGACGGTGACATGATGATACCAATGCAAGAAGATTAGTGGCTTCTTCCGCAGAACTATAAACCATGTATCCACGAATTCAAGCACCTTCGACATGGCAAACATTTCAGTCCAGAAGCCCGTAACTCCCTGAGCAAATGAAGCAGTGCAGATTGAATATTCGAAAGAGTTGGAACCAACAGCCCAGAACATTTCTGGGGTCATTCGAATGAAACCAAAAAGTGAAAATATTGCCAAGAAAAGGTTCCAATAGAACAATGGACCCTCAAGTAGAAATGGTTTGCGCCCTTCCATGATCTAAAAAATATCATATTGCAATTTTTCCAGAAATACCACAAACATTATTCAAATGACAAAAAGTAATAGTATCCATCATAATTTTAGGTAACATTTGCCATTGTCAAAACCCACTTTTTGTCCAGCATACAATGAAATAATGTAGAGGGCCGAGAATGACACTGAATGATGCCAATTCTCCTGCATCCATAACGTTGAAGCGACCGAATCGAAAGATGTCTCCATGGGTATCACAAAGGAGTAATTCTCGATCCCATATCGCGGATGATAGTCGTACTGCGCCATTGATGACCCGACTTAACCCTAAAACAATGTCCTGTAAATCTCGAGACACTTAATCTAATCCAAAAATAGGATAAACTCGGTGAGAAAATAATAAAAAAAGTATAAAATGAATAATTTAGGCCAAATCGTAACAAAAGTCGAAACTATAAAAAAAGATGCTAAAGCATCTGCGGATGGTTGAATGGGAGGTCTAAAGTCCACTGATTCAGAAAAGTCAACATAGCATCGAAAGTCGCACCCATAACTGACAATTTGCATGGCGCTTTCTCCGAGAATCTAAAGTCAGCAAAAAATAGCTAAAGATCAAAAAACGAACCACCGTCTGCTGCTGGCCAATCAGAAAGCCGAACAGGCCAGAAACCACTCGAATTTTGAAGAGATTTTCGAGTAATTTATGGCGGCAAGAAGCAAACATCATCCTACGTTATTTTCATCTAATGTAATGAATATCGTCTAATCCAAAATTTTACCGATTTCTCTGTCTTGGAACACTGCCAAAACAACGCCCTATGAATCTTCTGAATCTCACGTAGATCTAAAGAACGCGTAAATCTAGATAAGATAAAGTTTAAAACTCCGCCCATATGATCCCCCAATCCCTCAATATTTACTTTGTTCTTCGAATAAACGAAGAAAATATTTTTCACCGCAAAAAAAAACTTTTTACCACATTCAATCGGAAAAAATATAAATTGCACCTCTTGGATTGAACCCAACAAAAACACAAAAGTGACCTCTGTTGCAGACAAGGGGCAGGGGCGTTCGTCTTTCCCGTTTCCGTCCATTAAATAAAATTTAACGCTACAGGTTCATAAATAATCAACGGAAAGCCCTCTGGCTGTTAAGAGAATAAGCAAATAGCCACAAAATTCCCACAGAATATCGGAGAACACAAACTAACGAAATGATACGCCCAAATTCGAGGCATTTAACCAAACCAATTTCCACGAAACCCTAAAATGGACATCTTATTGCTAGGATACCGATTATTTAGCAGAATCCCGCCCAAGGTACATGAAATCCGCTTCTTTTTTGGCGACAAACTCGAAACAAACGCAGCTCTCAGAGTCTCACGCATACATTTGCATCCTAAAGAAAAAAGTCTTTGGACCAAAAATGCGCATTCGAAGCAGACGAATGTCCACAAATGGCAAGCAGATGGACTTCGGACAGCCTTCCGAAAAAAAAGTAATTTCTCCGCTCGGGAGGAAGACTAAAGCCAGTATTGGAGTGACCTTTACACTCCGTACGGAAGTCTAGAATATAATGAATACGTTCCGAAAACGGTAAATATGGAGGTTACGAATTAAATTTAAAAATGAAAACGGAGAAGGGGGAGGTACCGAAATATTTGCACCTCCATTTACGTTAGATTAAAGAACAATTAGATAATGGAAAATTAAGATAATCAGTCCTCGTTCGTTTAGTCTTCATTTTGTAAAAAAATTAATTCGACCGCCCGATCAAAATTTAATACCGCCAGGAATCTTCAAGCCGTGATAACAAAAAGGAACGCCGATGAATCACAAAAAACGATTTTAAACTTGCCAACGTCGTCAAAAAAGGGTGTGCACATGGCGTCATCAAAAGACAACAGTGAAGAAATCAAGAAGAGCTCAACACATGGCAAAGAGCGATATGAGGACAATCTAAGTTTAGAAAACAAAGATCTGACAGAAACGACATCCGAGGAAAATATAAACCTGGCCAGGACAACCGAGGAAAAAATCGCTCGCAACTAAGCGACCGGCGGAAAAAGTCGACAACCACAGAACTCGAAGAACAATATTTGACAAGCCCAAAATCCGAAGGAACATAGCTGACGAGAACGGAATCAGACAATTTCTTGGAAAGAAACCAAACAAAAGCCACTTTTAACCATAAACTCGTCAAATACAAAAAGAAGATTACAAGACGAACACCGAAGCACTATTCCAAACCATCTGTAAGCCATGAAATCCTTTTTAAACCCTTGTAAATCCTCTTCCGCCAATGCAAAATGGATTGAAAGCCTTCGAAACCACCGAGTTTCCCTCTCGTGTTCACCTGATTTCCAGCCGCGCAAGAGGCAACTTATTCACACAAAAAAGCGTTCGAAAACCGATGAAAGTGTAATATAATAAAATCCAGTTTCGCCTCAAAAAAGGTTCCGCGCGAAAAATGGTCGAGGATTGAATAACTTGTGGAGAAGGGACACTCTTTTAAGAAACCGTTGAATCTGCCTCAAACCCCTCTTCCAGATCCCTGGAAGATAATCATATCAAGCGAGGTCACAGTTCGGAGTTCCAATTATATATTGTTTTAGATGGAAACAGTCGTAAAAATAACAAACGCGAAAACCGTCAACCATGTCATGAGTAATATAAAAATTCTGTATACACAATTTGGTAGCCCGAAATGGATGAGTAATTTATAAAGTGTGAGCTGTAAAAATGTGAATCAGGGTAATATTACTTATAGGTTAATCCTATTTTCAAAAAAAAAATTAAATTCCTTACCGCGAGTTGCATCGAATGTCAAGATAAACCCTCATGCGACAGAAATACAGAATTTTCGCTGCTACTAAAAGTTACGGTATGTACTCAAAAAAAAAAAAAAACCATAGAGGCAGAGGTCATTATTTGAAAGATTAGATTACGACACAAAACATAACTTTTTCGGGTTGTACTTGCGTGTAATTTCCGCAAAATTTCCTTTCCACCCTCATCTTTTCGGAAGGCCAAAGGTTTTCGCGGTATTGTTTTCGTGGCGGGACCATAATTATAATAATAATTTTTTTGAGCCGAGAAAATAATTTTCATGACAAATTTCAACGCTTCCGGAGAGTTAGCTCCATCCGTCTTTCCTGCTGCAAGTTGTAATTAACCCTCTACTCCAATCAACGACACCAATGGATACATTTGAAGCAATAAAAGAATTGTACGAAGAAGAATTGTATGAAGATGTGCTGTACTATGCTCAAGTCAGACTGCAAATGAACAATATTGACAGCGTGTTGGATCCAATCAACTTGGTCATGTTGTTCAAATATTTGGGAGACTCCAATTTTCATCTGGATCAGTTTGCACCATCTTTGAAGGTAAGAGAATATAATTTTTTCGTATCTTCATTTTCAGTTCTACGACAACGCCTTGCTCTTCGTCCAGCCTGGCCTGAAGCTGCCGAAGGTAGGAAAGTTTTTCTTTGTATGATTCTCTTTTTAGGCATTTACTTCGATTGAAATCAAGTACATGAAATATCGAGCGCTCTGTCGATTAAAAAGATTTGACACTGCGTTTGATATGCTCTCAGCTATTCCAAAGACCGAGCATGTCCCTAAAACACGGCTAGCGATGGCTAAGCTTCACAGCACTCGTCTTTCTTACAGCCGGAACGGCCTGAGTCCGAGACCGTGTAAGGATATGACAGAAATGGTCAATTTCTACGATGGAGTTGTGGCTCAATGTCCGAATGCTTATCACTGTGTCAATAAGCTCTACTTTTTTGGTACAGGTCCAAGTATGGACTTGACCTATGATAATGATGACACGGCACAATTGTTATTCAAAGCTAAAGAGTTGAGGTCATTATTACTACCAGTTGAAGCGATTGAAGTGCTCAAAAAAGCCGACCAGCGTAATGTCCAGTAAGTTTGTTTCTTTTTATTTGTATCTTTTAGTTTTAGGTGGATATATTGAATTTATCGTTTACACTTTCTTCAGAGTTGTCCTTGAGATGGCTGAATTGTACAATATCGTGGGGAACTATCCTAAAGCAAAGTACGAACTGGAAAGGTTGTTGACGTTGAATCCTCACGGAGTACTTGGACTTGATTTTCTTGCCAGGATATATAACAAGTTGGAAAAGGTAATAAAATTTTACTTTTATTTATATACTTTAACATGATAAATTTTTTGTTTGTTTTCCAGGTCTTACATTTAGTATTTTCTAGGACAAAGAGAAAGAACGGCTGGAGAAACTTTTACACCATTGCCTCAACTGTGATGAACGCGCTCCGGAGACGTATGTTATCCTAGGTTTTATGGCTCGCGGTCGACGAGATGATACTGCTCAGACGTTTGTCTCCAAGGCGCTGAGCACATACATGTGTGGACCAGACCGAGTCAATGCCTTGATCTTGAAAGCTAACCTGCATTTGGACAGTCAACGGAAAAATTGGGCTGATGAATGCCTCCGACATGTCTTAACATACGATCATCGAAATGTGGACGCCATGGAAATGCTGGTTAAACTGGTCGTGCTGAGGGTATGGGATGTTTGATCAATGTCAGAACGATTATCAGTTCCTTTTTATCCAGTTAATATAAACTTTTTTCAGAAAACGGCAACCGAAGTCCGTTTGATCGCCGAAACTGTGAAGAAGAATTTAGGCACATCTAATCCCCGAGCTCAATATATATATGCCCATACTTTCACTCATTTTAAGCCCACCAAGCCAGAATATGAAAATATGTTGGATGAGATTGTTAACAAAGCGCCTTACATGTTTACAGCTGTGATGGATTATGCCAATCTCCTGGAGGAGCGGGGGGATATCAAGAAAGCCATAAATATCTTGAGACGAGGATGCGAGGTAAGAATTTAAAGTGCCCTTATTTATAGTGCCCAAATTTATATAATTTGAGCAAACAAATGATAATATATGTTCGAAACTACTCGTTGGATGTAAAGAAACATAGTTTTAGGCCTGTCCAACCCTTGAGCTAAAGGAGACCCTATCAATTTTGGAGGAGAAAATTGCAAATGACTCCCAAGTAATAACTGAATTCAAGTTGTTGAGTCCGAAGAATGAGCCGTTTGATGAACCGACTTCCTCCAGCAATATTCTCAATCCTTCGAGGAATCCCAACGCTACAGAACGAAATACAACTCCAGTCTCAACGCAGGCTCCATCCGCTCAAAGAACTCGACCGCCAGCTGCGCCGAGACGACAAAGACAAGCCAATTTCCGATCAGTGGCTTTGGAGTTTATCCAAGAACCATTGGAATTTCAGGACGAGCCCGAGGCAATGCCGAATGTAGGAGAATTAATCTATGCAGACGATGTGGAGGAAGAGCCCATGGACGAGGCAGAACTTGATGCCATAATGGATGACGACAATGGAGATCCGGGGGAACCCATTATGGAAGATGTGGGCGATAGTCACAGTGAGCACTCACTTTCCGATAATTAGTCAGTAAAACTGAAGGAAAATTTGGTTTTATTTAAGAATTTAGGAGGTTTTTGTTGGTTTAATGTTATCTCATTACTCATTGCTGCGATTATTCATAAGTTTATCGTCTAATTAGCTCGGTTCTTTAGGTCTTTATACGTGTTGTTACAATTGTTTGTAATACTTTTATCGCTCTTTTTTCAAAAATTTTCATGTTTAACATAACGACCTCATAACAATGATCTTCAAATTATGTCCGCATCTTATTAACTCACATATTTAAAATAAAATTTGATTAACTGATTTTTTTGGAGCTTTGAAATGTTTGTTTTTTGCAAAACAATTTTTATGCAATGGCACCCGCAGTTCTAAAAAAGTGCACTCGGGCCCGGGGGTTCCGCCTCCTAACAGAATATGGAGATTCCCAATCAGACAATAAAGAACTCAAGCGTCAATCGTAATGACAATACACATATTTATTTAGATGCGCTTAATATTAATAAATATTTCTTTCTGATCATAACAAAATATAGTACATTCTTCAATTAGATTCACTGGACAGGGCGAGGGGTAGGAGGAGCCGAGCTCAGGGCCACAGTTCCGAATCTTTTGTCCATCAGAGTCTGGAATTCCTCTTGCTTGAGGACCTTATCCAACGGGTCTTTGCTCGATTTTGAGAGAAACCATTTTTTCAGCAAGTCCTGAAAAATATTTTATACATATTTTACTGACCATTCTCACCTCTTTATCACCCATGAAGATCTCAATAAAGGCCGACTTTTTCTTTTCCACCATTTTCAAGATGTCACATTCCAGATCCAGGGACAGAATCGATTTCAATTCTTTGTCCACTTTTCTGATCAAAAGCAGAATGAAACCAGCATGGGTAGCAGCGTCGTATTCAGAGTGCAGGACCAATCCAAACACATTATTCATAACCTTCATGAATATCCTGTTCGATAACAAAACAAGATCAACTGGGCGGAGAAACTTAAAAGACTGTAACATTGTGAGTCCTCTTACCTGCTTCATGCGTAAGATGACTTGCTTTAATTTACTGTACACAATGGCAAACTCATCCGTATCTCCATCCAACCATGCACAGAGAGCGTTGGACGAGAAGGCCAAGTGCTGGTTGGCCAAGAACTCCACCTCTTCTTCGATTACTTTCTTTCTCTCAGACGTGATTCGCTGCAACTGAGCTGGGAAATTCGGATATTTAGGGTTCCTTTTGCACAGCAGCAGCAGGACATGGGTAAGGAACAAACAATCATTGGAGTAACGAAACACATCCCCCATATTGATGGTGCGGGGACGACAGCAAGCGAAGAACAAGTCCAAAATGACCTGGACTTGAACGGAATTGCCTTTCGTGCTCTTGATGCGGTCGTAAACGCAGAAGGCATGATTACTGCAAAAATAATAAAAGATAAACAAACACCACCTACCTGATCAAGTATGCCGGCTCCTGGGCATTATTCTTTAGGCTGTTCGTGGGTCGTCCACCTTCCAGAAGATCCAAATCCTCCCGACTTAACACTCTCAAATTCTAAAATCAAACCTTTTCATTGCAAAGCAAAAATTCCAGCCCACAACAATCGGGCTTTTTTATGGCACACACCTAACCTGAGGCCCTATTTCAAACGAATATGAAGTAAATTATAAAAAAAACCTCCTTACATGCACAAATTTAAGAGCAGGTTCGGACAACATCTTCTTCAACTTATCCATTTGCTCATTTTCGTCGGACGTGACCACTGGGGCGGACTTCGCCACTTTCGCCTTTGCTTTGTCAAGGATAGAAACACGTGAAGATTTGTTTTGAAGTTGTAAGGTAAAGGCCGCCTTATCAAAAATCGACTCCATAACCTGGAATTCCACCTTGTTTTCGGCTTCCAAAAGATGAGACTTCAAGGGTTCGAGAGAAAGCGGAACTTTAACATAATACTGGGGATTATGCATATTTCTGAAAGTAAAATTTTAGATACAAAATTCAGAAAACGTATCAGCGTCTGAAACGGTAAAGTTCGGCCATTCCAAAACTCCGCAACCATCATAACTGGAGAAAAACTCACCGATAATTCAAGTCCACCTTCTGCAGAGTTTCGATGCAAACCTTGGCCCGCTTCAGACGGCTTGATACCTCTCGGATCTTCTGCTGAACCTCTTCGTCTAAATTCCCCGCATCTGTTTTGACATCCCGCAGAATTTCTTCTGCAAAAACGGCTTCATCCTGAGCGAGTTCCATTCTTTCAGCTACGTCATAATGATGGGCCTTCCGATCGAGGGCTTCGGAGAGCCAAACGAATACTAAATTCAAGATTACACAAGTGGGATCAATGAAACACATCTATTATATGAGTTTCTATGAAAACAAAACAAACGTACTTTTCGAAGACCGCCTGTCCACATCCTCCAAGACAGATAAAACGTCGGCAGTACCTTCAGATGCCATTTCTGAAGTAAACTATTAACAAAAAACAAAGCTGGAAAGAAAATAACGGGCAGGATTCTTGGAAATCTTCAAATCAAATCGAGGCGATAAAAAAATGAAATTTTTTCCACAAAATAAGTTCGAAAAGAATTTTCGCGCCCGGGAGCGACATTTTATACGACGAAACCTGCTGGAAAGCGACAGTAAAATGAAAGAAAAAGGACGTTTCGTCGGCGGCCGGAGCGATAACATTGTGGGCAGCCTTTCGGATGGTTTTTACAAAGTTAATTCTTTGGCTTGTCTTTTTTATGCCACTCCAAATCTTCTCCCAGTCCTTTTTAGGCCAACGGATTATAATCGACGCTTATTGGCCAAAAACGCCCAATGGATCATATAGCCAGGATTCAAGTGTACCACGTGTTTGTCAGATGCTTGAATCTCATAACAGCTGCCCGAATGTGATGTCTTGCGACGCAGATCTCTGGTTTTGAGATTAATCCAAGTTACGGTGCGAAGGAAGTACAGCATGTTGCTGATATAGCAGGACGGTCAGAAAAAAAAAACAAAACGGAATTCGGCCATGTGATCAATCCAAGAACATTGCCGCGCATGGTGTCTGGGATTGATGAAATCTGAACGGAACGTCTGCCGCAAACTTCCTCAAAAGATGCCGGTTAGATAAAACATAACGCAATCAGTAATATGGACGATCAGGACGTGGTTCTCCGTGGGCTTAGAACCTATCTACTTTTTATTTCTATAGGTGTGTAAACATTATCACTCGCATCAATTCAAACTTGAGATCCTTTGGTGGACAAATCGTATCCTTTCGGGAACGGGTAATTAAATATTTTGTAATCAAAATAGTAGAGGTCGACTAGAATCTTCAGCAAGTCGGGTCTCGCCATTATTTTGGCTTTAAATTTGGATCTCATCGAAGAGCCAGTAGTAGTATGTGGGGAGTTCTTGGTGGTCATTGATTCCATGATATGATCTATCTTGTCTTGAGGCACATCTCTTTCTCTGAGGGTGTCTTTGAAGTCAGCAAGGAATTTCTCATAACCAGGGGTCCCTTTGGGCGCATATTTGTAATATTTGAACTTGTTAAGATAGTTCCTCATGTCGCATGTCCTAGAATATGGAGTAAAGGGAGAGTCGGTTCTTACCAAGTCATCGGCATGACGTGCCAATCCATGACATTCATGGCATGGGTTCCTTTTACAACTCCCCATAATCTTTTATGCATCTGTTTGATAAAACATTCCAAATCATCGCCACAACCGACTTCTTGACATACCGTCTTTTCGTAGGTCACGCGTTTCGCTTCACTGGGATACAAATGATTTTTAGGATTTGTTGAAGACTTACTAATAGCATTTATCTGTAAAAGCAGCTAAAAATCGATCGATGGGGTCGCGAACGACGGTCATGAATTTGAACTTCTTTTCTTGATTATAGAGCCTTTCGAAGACGTACATCCGATATCGTTCGATCTCAAGACCGCAGAATCTGTAATTTGGTGCGATTATAATCCGATAATTTCAAACAGTATGTCATAGCCGGTCTCTCGAAATCTTGAATTGCCTCTTAACCACTTCCTCCATTTTTCTCAATGGTTTTGACTCTAAGAGCCGTCACTCGAGATCAAGTAATAAATTGCTTGCCGACTGTGGGGTCTCTGATTATCGGTTACGCGGGGCAGAATAATGCCTGATTTTAATTCCTTAGGGCATTTTTTTATCCGTTTGTTATTTCAAAATCCTTATCTCCATCTTGAAATGCGACTGGTTCCAAGTTTTTTCAGGCAAAAGAAACTTTTATTCGTTCGGATGATTACCCGATTGGTTTGCGATCATAAGTTACAGTATTCTATAACAAAGTGGTCAGATAATTTGAAGAGAACAGAAAATACGGTAAACTTGCCTCCAAGCATATTGCTCTGTTTCAATTTTCCTTCCAGCTTTTTCAAACTCCGTTGAATTTTGCAAATAGCACAAGACTCCCGTCAGTATTGTTGACATTACCTTGGGGATCGAGCAAATCGCAAGATTGTACTTTTTCGAGAACTGAAAATAGCGCGAATCACTTTCAAAATCAAGGTGAAAACTTGAACTCGGGCTAAGAAGTATTCCTTACAATCAGGTGAGTGTAGTTTCCCACAAATGGAGGCAAAATTCCCGGAGGATTGACTTCAATCCGAGGTTCTACGGTCACCGCAGACAGAGCAGAGGGATTTCGTTTATCTGGCATGTCAAAGACAATGAAGCCCTTGGCTCTCGCCGCTAACGCCTCGGTTTCGTTATATAAATCGGGCGCTACAGTAATCTCAACTGGCATTTTACTCTGGCGGAAATAGACAAATGTTATAGCCAAGAACAACAGTAATGTCAACGCGAAAAGTTTCCGGAAGAGGAGCATCTCCGTTTTGCAGCAAGAGGTTGTTGACAACTTCTAGACACTCCACTCACTAAATCTATGAACTGAAGGGATGCCCGGCGGCGTTTACTGGTTCCAGATTCCTATCTGCCATGAGGGCTGTGGCTTCGGTTGGCGTGTACTTGAACTGCGTCTGATTTGTGATGGAGTCTTATGAAGCTTTAGATGATGTTTTCGAAACGTCGCAGATAAGATTTGTACTTACAATGGAAAAATTAAAGATTTGTCGACTTTCCTATACATAAAAACTTCTTTCGCTGGTGCTCACTTCTGATTGTGAGAAAAGTAGCAGTAGAATTTCGAGAAGTGGACTATGCAGTATGTATAAAAAAACACATAAATTCATTTTTTGTCAAAGAAGTGATGTTGTCATTGTCTCCTTATGCATGAAGCTTCGTTTTTCAAAATGCTCAAAAAACATACTAACTTTTGCTTCAAAAAATCACAGCAAAAAATATTCAAGCGGACTTTGTTGACCCCTCAATCAGACAGAGATCTTGCGCACCGTTAATTTTTGACCTAAAACCTCAAAGATCGGCTGTTGAGAGAGTCGCAGGAGGTTGTTACAGCGACAAGGTACCTTCAGTTCTCTTTGAAGATAAAGATCAGCACCCTGCACTTGGATCAAATTAAAGTCAAGGTACGCATATGTCACGCTGAGGTTTGAATTGAAATCATTTTTTATGTTTTACGACAAAGATATGAAGGATAACACCGTGCGAAATGCTGCAGAATAATCTTAAACTGGATCAGCTGCTTGCCGAAACCTGAAGCACATCTCGAGAAAGTTGCGTGGTGTTTGAAACTAGTTATTCCAATATTTTTTTATGCATGTATCGCTGCATCACTACCTGTGAAACGCAGCCACAATTTTTTACTTTTCCGGAGCTGCAATGGGGAATATACAGGGTGGGCCACTCGAAACTCCCAACCTCTTTTCAATTATTTCTCCGCCAATAATGCACCAATTTCTATAAAATTTATAGTAAAAGTTTTCTACTACAACTTTTAATAAGGCTAAGTGTATCTCAACTTAGCTATCTACGGTGGATCTTGAACCCTAGTAAAGGTTCAGGATTAACTAGACTATATATAAGTTAACTTATTACTAGTGAACAAATTCCAAAGTCACTAAGTATCAAAAAGGTTTATCGCGCAAAAATGGTACAATCTCGATAAATAATAGTCGACAATAAAAATAAAGCAGATCTCACGATCTCGGACCGGTCCTTCTTTGAATTCTGAGCTCCCCGTCTCCATCCCTTGATCCCCTTTTATACTCCTGCCGCAGGCGGTTGATTGGCCCTTTTTGGTTTCATAATTCTTTCGTAATTATGAACCGGCCTGATTTGCATAAGAAATCGGCCCGCGAGTCTTGAGATCTCTGATCAGCCTTTTCTCTTTGGATTTTGTAATCGCCAAAAAATCCGAAGAGAGATTGAAAACAAAAAGAGCCAAGCTCTTTTACTCCTCCACATCTTCATCTTTGAAAAGTGTAGACAAAGGGAGTCGGCTGCAGACGTTGTCGACGTTGAATGTAGATTGTAGAATTTGCGCGACCTTCCTTGATACCTCCCTGGCCCTTTGTGTTTTCCAGGGTTTTGTAGAAAAATGTTGACCAAATATGTGTGTTGACGGGGAGAGCGGAGCATTTTGAATGCTCTCCCCGGAACTTAAATGAACTTTAGAGTTCATTTAAGTCCAGAAGCTGGGCCAGCTCATAGGAGCAGGCCTTAATATAAGGCCTGCTGCCAATAACGTAGAGGCCGTCGCGACCCCTGGTCAGAGCGACGGTCACTCGCTGGCCGAGCGTGGCAAACGATGGGCCTGCATTTGATGGCAGGCTTTTGATCGTCACATAGATGGCGTAGTCGGCCTCTCTTCCTTGTAACTGGTCCACCGTGCCACTAATGATGTTGGCACGATGGTACTTCTCCTGTAGTTCTCGAAGCAGCGGCTGCGTTTCTCTCAATGCCGCCTGGTAAGGCACCAGCACCATCACTGATTTGTTGCCTCTTCTGAGATTTTCCATCTCCATGAACATCAGCTCGACCAATTCTACCGCCACCAATATTTGATTAGTGTTGCTCCACGACGTGCCCACTTTCCTCTCGACTCCATTCACATGGAGGAAGCCGACCGGCGCATAAGCTGACATATTTGGCATGGTGGCAGCAAATCCTGGATCCTCAATTCGGCCCAGCGGCCATTGCAGTTCATCCGCATAACATAATGTAGAGATTAGACTGGCCAATCTTGGAGCGAATCTGTATGTGATCTTTAAACAGATCTTCTTGATGCTTTGATGACTGTGACCCAGAAGTGTTGATAACAGACTTTTCAGGCCATACTTCTCCAGGCATTGAATCGGCGCTGGCAGCGGACAATTCAACTGCATCAAATCTCCAGCGGCGAGAAGACGATGGACCGGCTTTTCGAGTCCACACAACAGTCCAAAGATCTCTGTAGAGGTCACCATCCCCGCTTCGTCGAGTAAGATTCCAGCGATCTCATTGTGGATACTTGCCGTTAATCGTTGAATCATGGACACGGTACCAATTACGATCAAATTCTTCTGCTTCTCCAGGACCATCCTTCCCATTAAAGTTTCATCGGTGGGGGAAGGCGTATATCTCTTGTGGCTTTTGAGGAGATCGCGGAATCCAATTGAGAGCTGGCATCCAGAAGCTTCAAGTCTCACCATGTGATTCAGTGTTGAGGTACTGGAACTATTTCTCTGTCTCTGGTTCTTTCTGAGCTTTGCTGATGAAGATTGGAGAGTCAAGACATCCGTGGATGGAACTCCTGTTGCCAATACCGCTTCCTCGGCATTGCGCACTGCTTCGTTGCTGAGTGTCGCAATGATGACCATCTTTTTCTCCTCCAGCCGATGAAGAGCCGCCGCCGCGTTGGCCAAGGTTCGGGTCTTCCCTGTGCCGGCCGGTGCCTGTAGTACAACGCAGCTGGGAATGTTGCAGAACTCTTGAACAGCTCGTTGTTGTTCTGCATTTAAACTTTCATCAAAATGGAGTCGACTGGGGTCGACTTGCTCCTTGGGCTGCGGGTCGTCCCATAAGTTGGCGACAGCCAGCAGTGGGAGTGGATGAGGCTGACAGGGGTCTCCATAACGATGTATTCGGCATTTCGGATGTTCCAGGACCATTGCAACCTTGGAATAATCGGTGAGGGATGCTGTCTTGAGGTTGTCTTCACTTGCAGGCTGTACTGAGACAGCTTGAAGACCAATCATTTGCTTGGAGATCTCTACTTGGCTGGAATCCAGCTGAATCCACGATTCCACGCCAAATTCGTTGACATCATGAACCTCCGGTCGATCTTTTGGCATTCTGATCCTGTAGATAGTTAGGCCCAGCTTGCCTGGTGTACAAGCTTGGACACAGAATGTCCCGATTGTTCTCTCTTCGGTGGATAGCTTCACCAATTTTCCCGGAACCAGCCAGCCATGTTGATTGAATTTCTCCGTGGGATTTGGCTGGAGAGTTAGAACGGTTGGGTCGTCTGAGACGCCCAAGAATCCAGTTATTGTGCTGGTTTCTGGATTCTTTTGAAGGAAATACTGGCGGAGCCGGAGCGGCGCCAGTCTTGCCTTCCAAAAATATTCTGGGTGGTCGATTTCTGCCAGATCAAGAATGTGAAGCGGCTTATCCGGGAAGGCTTGGTCGATTTCATCTTCAGACAGAAGCCTTACTCTCGAGATGAATGAGAGCACCCTATCCTCTGGGGGATCCGCCAATCCTCCATCCGAATACGGGCAGCTTTGGTTGACCGTCAGTGGGATGTAGCCAGTTTTTATGCCTTGATGTTCGATCAGAATGGCATCGGTGGGGCACGTCGTTGTGTCGATAGTCAGCCAGGGAGATCTTGGCAGTGCTCGAGATGGACAAATGGGCCAGAAGACATTTAGTAAGTCGACTGGGTTCGGATCTGTTCCGATCATGACGGAGAATGTCCCCTTGACTGGCGACGGCGGTGTGACCAGTAGGCCCACTTGGCTGGAATCGGTGACTTCTTCGGGAATGACCTCGAAGGTAATGCACAATTCTGAGAACAAAAGAATCCCTCTGTCTGTTGCAACATCTTGATCGGCCGTACAGGCTTCCAATCCACCAACATGGAAAAATTGGTCGGGCCGGATCAGATCGCCCACACATACGGTCAGATACTGTGACAGCGAACATGCGATCGGGGACGGGACTCTTGAGAACTCTCGATTGTCTTCTACATCTTGGATGATAGCCACCGCGAGATCTCCTGTGGTTTGGCACACCCGGTATACCAGGTTTTCAGGTCGATATTGCGAGGTGGTGACCGATCTGTCTTGGAGAAACCACGGCAATGGTACTGAGTTCATTGTCTTTTGCGTGATCGTTTGTAGACTAAAAAGAACAACAGATGGCCTCACAACAAAGGAAACTTAAGAAGCGAAATTCACGGCAAGAACAAAAACTCTCAGCATACAAACAAAGGCAACAAAAACAACATAAAAAAAGTTGCTAAGAAAAAATCAAAGTGCCGGATCGGCCACGCCGCGGGCATAAATTAATATTCAAAAAACAAATCGGGGTTGGGAGTCTGTGCTTCCCCGCGGAAAATATAAACTCGAAAATACGACAAAGATCAAAGTGAAGAATCCTTGTTGTTCTCAGGGTCTAGCTGAAAACGGTAGGCCGAACAAAATCAGAAGGGGGCTGTGGACTTAAAGTTGACTGCGAAAGAAGTTTGTCACTAAAATACAATCACTCCGAAAATAAAACTACCGTAAGAAAAGAGAATAAAAAGCGAGAAAAATAAATCCAAACCGCTCTCGAAAGAGGAGTTTCTTGCAACTGGATAAAAAAGTTGCTTCTTCCTTCCTTGGGATTTTGAAACCCAACATTCTTGTGCAAGACGATCCAAACTGTTTTTAAGTGAAATATAAATCCGACTTGGCGGCGGCGCCTTGTCTTTGAATTTCATCAGCCAATGATTAGGGATATTGCGCACTGTACAACACAAAAGGGCAGGTGAAGTCCAATGTTTTTATCCACTTTTCCTTTTGGTGTGCCGCCTGCAGGAACCGTAAAATATCACTGATTCTGAAAGAGACCATCGACGATACCAGCCCAGTTGGTTGGAATGATCCTTGGCCCAGGTGAAGCTATCCGAGAGCTTCCTGTAATCACCTCCTCTCTGTTTTTGTTCTGGGATTTTGCTGCATTTGTGAATTTCGGAATCAAAAAAATGGATTTCCAATTATTCCGAAACCGTATCCCCACTGCTCTGCCAGGCTTAACATACGAGTACGGTATGTTTCTGATTTCCATCCGTTTTCTTTCGAATCTTGTCCCAATTTTGGTAACTCGGTGATGCTTTTAGTGGACGTTCATGTCCGGTATGATCAACTGGGCCGAAATCTCTTCATCTCCGGAACAGTCTCTTGTAAGATTCGGTGTATTTCAATTCCAATTACGTGCACTTTCAGTTGGCGATTACGTAGTTCAACGGAACCCCATAAGTTGGATTGATTCCCACAATTGCAGCTTGTTTGATGCCGCGGGGGCCCGGTTTGATTTGTGGATCGGGAACGGGGCAAACGTATTTCCTACGTTTCAAGTGTGGAGTCTAAGCAGATGGGTAGGGTGTTGATTCTTTCAAAAATTATTCGGCAATTCGAATTGTAGATGAACCTGAACCCCATGCCGGATTGGGGAGTTCCTGGATTCTCATACTCGGCCGCCGACCACCCCTACAACGCGGTGGCAGATTTTGTTGCCGCGGGGCTGGTGGAGCCGGATCCAGATGGTAGGCTTTGTTTTTCGGCTTTTCTTTTGCTGTGTAGTTGTGATTGGGGTTACTCTGGTTTCCCTGCTTTTAGAGCCGAGCGGTCCACCGACTCCCAACTCCATGGACTGAGCAAATTCAGCAAATTCCGGAGACTGCAGAATTATTTGTTGATCAAACCTTATATTAAAGTTTGATTCTTATCTGCTTTCGGCCATGTTTTGGTGATGGTGGTTTGATTCCTTTTTACGCGCAGCTCCTTGGCCTTTCCATTTGAAGCGGGCGCGGTGTCGTCAAAACTTTGTGCGTCCTTTCTGTTGACATCCCGTAGGAATCTGGCCTTGCAATCAGGTCTTTGTGGTGACTGTATACCGTTTCGGCAGTTTCTTCTCCAATTTTGCAGGGACGGCCTCGTCTTCCGCTGCTTTAATTTTGGCCTCTAAGCCCTGTTTTTGAATCTTGTATACCCGCTTCGAAATGAAGGGATGGGCTGGAGAAGGGGCCAAATTTTCTTCGAGCTGACGATTCGATTTGAGCTGTGAAGAAACGAGGGGTCTTGCATTTTATTTCGGAGATTTTGGTCATTATACCAGTCGTAAGTGACTGAGGGCCAAGATCCCGTCATTATTGGGTGACATTGGGTCGATTTGCGAGTCGTTCATATGGATCCTCTCCACATGATTATGTCGTTGTTGGGTTTACCAAATCTTTTCTGGTACTTGTGCGCGTTTGTTTGTTGAATTTTGGTTGATTTTCATTGATGAAATTGGGGTTTGGTGGGATTACATTTCCATGTTGTTAATTTCGTTGATTTCGGGGACGTAGGTTATAACGCCGTTGCACTGTTGATTTCTGCTCGCTCTCATTTCGCATTTTCCGTGTTTTCGGGCTCTTTTGTCTCTCTGGGTCGCTCTGTGGGATTTGTTTTTCTGGAGGTGGTGTATGAGGAGGTAAAATCTGTCCATAATAGGGTTTGATCTGGTCGAGATGAACTTCCTTCCCTTTTTGTGTAGCATTATCGACTGGTCGAATTATTGCATGCGGTGGGACCACCGATTCTACTCGATAGGGTCCATCAAATTTCATCCATTGTTTCCTGGAACGATTTTCACCTTCTATAAAAACTCTTTTTAACACCAGAGTTCCCGGATGGATTCGGCCAGGCTTGGATTTCTTATTATAAAATTTTTCAAACTGCTCCGCTGATCTTCGGGATTCTTCGAGTGCCCCGTTCCAGGCCAGGCGGACATTGGTCGTTAGTCGGGCTCTGAAGTCCAGGACATCATTGTCCCTAACGATCAAATGCATAGAGGGCGCCGACAGTAGAATATCAGACACGAACTGAGGGTCTCTGCCATGAGTTAAGTAAAAAGGGGTTTCCATTGTTGTCGAGTGGGAGGACGTATTATAGGCAAACGTTATGGCCGGCAGAATCTCATCAAATTGACCGCTCGGACCCATAGCTTTTGCCAATAGGGCATGATACGTCCGAAAGGACCTCTCCACGGCTCCATTTCCGGTGCTGTGATGAGGTACCGTAGTTTTATGCTCGATCCCCAATCTTTCGGTTAGCATTTGGAAAAGGTGGGCTTTAAAACACGGCCCATTGTCTGATAAGAAGGCTCGAGGCGTCCCATGAATAAAAATAAGTTTGTCCAGGATCATTTGAGATACTGTTTCGGCCGTAGCGTTGGGGATTGGTACGGAAACAATGTACTTTGTGAACATGTCGATCATGTTTAAGATGTAAAGATTTCCCTTGTCCGTTTTTGGTAGTGGGCCACAAAGATCAAGTCCAATTAATTGCATTGGACCATCATATTGCGATATCCATGGAATTACCTCGGTTCGTGACGATATTCTTGGCATCGAAAACTGTTGACATTTTTGGCACTCCTCACACCACTGTTTAATATCCTTCGCCATTTGATACCAGGCATATCTCGACATTTTCTGAATCGTTTTCTTGGCTCCAAGATGTGCTCCAATATTTGGGGAGCTGTGGACCATTGAGAACAGCGATTGCCTTATTGCTTCAGGTATCAGTGGGCGCTCTATCTCGCTGTCATTTTCCTTTGTCATTACGACCAACAAATTGTCCGCATTGATTTTGGCTTTCTCAAAAATCCAGGCCTCTTCTCCTTGTTCTGGAAGAAAATCTGGGTCTTCTCCATTCAAACCTTTTCGAATCTTTGCCAGCATCAAATCCTCATTTTGTGCACTTTTGAGTTCAAAACTTTTCGTCCAATCGATACTAAGACAAAAGGGATACTCAACATTGTCATCCAGTTCGCTCGCCGGGGGGTAATTCTCTTCTGATTGTTCCTCCGGGATTCTCGAAAGGGCATCCGCTACCACGTTGTCTTGACCCCGAACGTGAACAAGTTCAAGGTCATATTGTTGTAGTTCGACTGCCCAGCGTTGTAAATGAGGGTGAACTGTCCGTTTCTGGTCCAAAAAGCTGAGCGGTTTGTGGTCGCTGTGAACAATTATTTTGCAGTTGTAGATAAATGGCCTTAAGGTGCGTAGGGACCAAATGATTGCTGCCAATTCAATCTGAACCGCTGGCCACTTTCTTTCGTTCAAGGCCAGTGTTCTACTGACATGCGCAATAGGACGAAAACTGCCGTCAATTAATTGCATTAGTGAAGCTCCCATTGCCACTTGTGAACCATCAACAAAAAGGTGAAAGGGCTTGTCATAAGTCGGAAATGTGAGAACACTGTCACTAACTAGAGCTTCTTTTATGGCTTCGAATGCCTTTTGCTGATCCGATTCCCAATGAAATTTTGTCTTATCCCGCAAAAGTCGATACATTGGTTCCGCGATTTGCGCAAAATTCGGGATAAATTTGTGATAAAATCCCGCCATTCCTAAAAACCTCCTTACCTGTTTAACTGTAGTAGGTCGCGGATATTTCTCGACAGCTTGAACGTGCGATTTTTCCGGTCGGTATCCATCTTTGTCTAAGGTGTGTCCCAGAAATGATAACGATTTTGTCGCTAGTCTGCACTTCTTTGGTGATAATTTGAGTCCATACGACCTAAATCTGTCAAAAACCGTTTTGAGATCCGCAATGTGATCTTCTAAGTCCTCACTTTTTGTGAAAACGAGAACGTCGTCCACATAACTTATTGCCTGATCTAATCCCGTTAAAACTGACGTCATTACCCTTGAGAAAATACTAGTCGCATTTACAAGGCCAAAGGGCATTCTAGTCATTTCATAAACTCCTTTTGCCGTAATCACGCCACATTTTCGTGAAGCATTCTCCGTTAGCGGAATTTGCCAAAACCCACTCGCTAAATCAAGCGAAGAGTACCACGTACAGCCACCAACACTGGTTAAAACATCCTCTATTGTAGGCATAGGGAACCTGTCTGGTATTGTCACTGCGTTTAACTTCCGGAAATCGATACATGGCCTCAATGTTCCATCTTTCTTCCTTACCATAACGACTGGACTCACCCATGGAGTCTGTGAGGGTTTCATTGCTCCTGATTGCAGTAATTTCTGTATGTGCTGATCAAATTCATTTTTCATTTGATAAGGCACCCTATGAGGCTTGGAAAAGACCGGAACCTCCGTGGTGGTGTGAATATCTTGCGGTTCCACTTTTGCACGTCCGAGATCATATTGATTTTTGGCAAACACATCCGGAAATTCTTCGAGTAATTTCTGTAGCTTCCTTTTCCCATTTTCATCAGTTGCGGATGTTGTCAAATCTACAAAATAATCAGGATCATTCTGATTGGTTTTGCCTTCCTTCTGGGTTCTTAGCTGTGTTCCCAGCGAGGAAACTGTTGGTCCACATAAGCTTGATCTCATCGCCGTGGGTTGGGCTGAGTTAGATAAGGTTTGTCCCGCAAAAAGTTGAACTTGAGCTCGAGTCGGATTTGATATTAAGACCGTAGGCTCACTCTTTGAGATCAATGTCGGAGGTATTTCCAGTCCGCTATCTTGTAATTTCTGCGTGAGTTCGTCGATGAACAGATCAAAATTCTCTGGCATGTCTCTCAATAAAGCCGCGCATTGTACAGTGATCGCTGATTGTGGTGGGATCAAAATGTTTGACAGAATCTGCAACTTTCGGGGTCTCGTCGTCATCTGTTCTGGAGTCATCAACGCAATTTTACAATTTCCGAATTGTACTGTTCTCGATGCCATGTCTATCGAAAAAGACGGGAATTTAGCTAGGGCATCACATCCCAGAATTACATCATACGAAGTTTTGTCACGGAAGTGCTCGTTGCTTGTAAACGATACCAAAATTTGGCGTGTAATATTTCCAATTTTTGCCGTTACTTCTGCCTTTCCTTCCATTATTAACGCATGCCCACTGGCTGAAGTTGCTGGTTGAACGTAAGACTCCTCCAATTCCACTCCCAATAATGGTGCAAAGCTTACTGACATTACGGTCATTGAAGCTCCAGTGTCAAGGAGCGCAGACATTTCTAGTCCATTTAAAGTTACCGGTAATTGAGTGTAAATGTGCTTGGTATCCAGAGTCGAGACTACAGCGGGAGGCCAATTTGTTACCGAAATCTCTTCTGCCGTTCTCGCTCTTCTCCTTTTTGGGAAATTCCCCTCTACAAATGCCCAAATCAGGCCCAATTGAGCTTCGAAATACATTCTTAAGAATGTCACCAAAGTATGTAATGTGACAATAGCGGCGCAACTATAAAGCCAAATGTCGCTGATGGGCCACTTAGGTAGCATCAGACTCAAAATCGAGTGCTTCTTTAATTCGGGGAAGAATCCTTCTTCATTGGGCCTTTGCCGGCTCGACTCTGTTTCTATAGTAGGCTTATGGAGAGCCTGCCAATGTTGGAACTCAAAAGAGTCCGAAAAATTTGCTAAATCGGTCGCTGAGAAGACTATCAACGGTACCCCAGACATCATCTTTGGCCCTGTCCTTAATTCAGTCATCGTTAAAACAGCTGATTGATTAATTTCCTTTGTCTTTCCACTGCGCGGATCTATTTCCAAAAAATCTTTTCCTCTAGGCAATATATAGGATCCCATAATATTACAAGGTATTGATGGGCTCTCGTCCGTAATAATCAATGTACTTGGATCCAAAAAGGCTTCTCTGTTCGTATAGTGAATTGTTGGGTCCGCAACCGCAATCGGTAAGTATTGGGTACACCGTTTCTCTCTCAAAGGTTGGGGCCAAATAGAGTGGAAGAAGACTGGGCGACAGGGAAATACTTCCAGAACATCTGGTGTTAACATCCGAGCATGAAGTAGCTGATTTTTCATTAGCTGTCTGATTGTCGCAGTCGGATTGGCTACTGCTAAACTTTTCCATTGTTGTGAGGTCCAAGCTTGGTTCCGACAAGTTTGTTCTAAGACTTGACTGAACTGATGATGAAGTAGCCTCACAATCCCTTCTCTGAGTGCTTGCATTGAAGTTGCTAACATTCCAGGCGATATTTGTTTTGCATCTCTTTGATGTCTTATTTTTCTCCGGCCGACTGCATAGCCTTGAGGGGTTAATTCCAGTTCCTTTCCACATGAACTTGTCATCTTGTTGTTGTCTAACAATGTCAGCGCAAACTCGCTATTGTTCGAAAGCCAGACATTCCCCATAATTCTCCCGTCAAAGTTCCCAAGAAACTTGAATGGGCACAATTTTGTAATCTCTGGCGTCCATACAATGGCTGATCCATCTTCCAGATGACTATACCCATCCCTGTACGTGCCGTTGACAACTCTACCCGCGTTTGATGTAACTTCCTGGCTTCTCGTGTCGATTTGAACTGTCGCATTAAAAGTCATACAGTTGTAAATTTCCTCTGTGGTCCACGAAAAACTTCCCAACACAGGCCAGGGGTAGTTCCGTTCAAACTTGTTCTCTGTTATCCAACCGTCATGTTTAGCTACCATTCCACCATGCCTGCATGTTCGCGTAGCAATCATTTGCTGGCATTCTTCTTTGCTTACTTCCATTGCGGTTGGGTGTGCGGCCTGCTCAACCTTGACTCCCGTTAGCGTCGTAAAGTACCTTATTTGACTTTTCGATATTTGACAAACTTGAGCTGGCGTGTTAATCAGTGGAGCATTGTGCTGAAAAATCTCTATCTCCATTCGCTTGGGTTTACTGTCGTTGAGCAGCGACAACTTAGGGCAGTCCGGTGGTCCCGGAAGCTTGACTAATCTTCTTCCAAATTTGTTCTGGCAGATCATAGGGTATTGTGCCATTGTTATCGGTGTAAAAAGCATCATCATCAGCATAAGAATCCACCACGCATGAGTTCTTTCAGGCCATCTTTGGCTCACCGGCTCGTTGTTTCTTAGCGCTAGTACAGTTGGAATATTCTGGCTACGCAGTAATCGTTCGCGTTTCTCCTTCCAGATTTTCATTGCTTTTTCCTTTTCTGCTTGCCTGGGATGGTCCTCTACGGATGTGTTCAAAGATGTGACCACATGATCGTTCCTTGGTCGTTGATTCCTGAATCTCTCATTGTTTTTCCAGCGATTATTGCTCGAACCTTGCCCCCTTATCCCGCTAGAATAGCTTTGCCTGGAAGCTGAACCTCGGAATCCACCACGGTTTTGCTGATATTTCTGCCGATCAAACATTTTCGTGCGACAATCCCTCGCAAAGTGCCCCATTTTATGGCAGTAAAAACATTCCACTTGTTGGCTACCTCTCTCGTTATTTTCTCGCGCTTTCTCTTGCTGAGCTTTCATGTTTTCTGAAATTGTTGCCATAGTTTGCACGGCATGAACCAGCGTTTCCGTCAGGGCATCTTGTCTTGCCAGTTTCTTGGCGGCTTGAATGCTTTCTAAAGCTAACGCTTTGGCTCGCGCTTGCTCAAGATTTTCGGGAATCGATAGCCGAAGAGGTTCAGCAATCTCATCGCAAACCTTGGACATAAATTCCTCAAAAACCCGTTTTTCTCGTGCTGTTGTGGTCGCATCTGGATCTAATCGCGCAACTAATTTCGCCAATCTTTCCAAAAAGGCCGAAATAGTCTCGTCACGTCGCTGCCGAGTCACTGATAACTCAGATCTGGCTATCGCCTGGCCGCCATCTTTTGTATAAGAGTCGAGTAGATCCTTTCTCACATCAGCATACTTTCTGAATTTTTCTTCCCCGGGTTCTGCTGTAGGGTCTAGTGCGTACTTCAAGAGTCTTTCCCTCGCATCTCCATTTAAGTACAACTTTAATTTCTTCAATGTGACGTCATCACTCCATTTCTCTTTCTGTTGATCTCTAAAATCCTCAAATTTCGTAAGCCATTCGGGAAAAGTCATGTCCGCGGTTGACGTGAAAGGCCTTATCAACGGGTTGTAATCAAGGCTAGCTACTTGTCCGTGCTCTTCATCTTCACCATCGTTTTGCAAGTCACTGCTTTCTGAGGTGCCCCTTTCATCGGATTTTCCAGCCTGTCGTTTCTCCTCATGCTTTGAGCCTGTTGCTGTTTTCGCAGTCTCCTTTTTGGTAATGTGCAATTTTTGCATTTGTTCTTCGATGGATTCGTCGATTAACTCCGGGCCTTCAAACGGTAGATTTTGCAAGATTTCAATGTCGCCTTCTATTTTCTTCAGTCGATTTTCCCATCCGTTGATTTTGTCCCACATTTGTTCGTGCGACTTCTTGCAAGTTTCAAGTTCATTCCAAAGTTCCGCCCTTGATTTTTCATCTCCCGCGTGCCTTTCTACAAGTCCTCGAACTTCTTTTACCAGTTCATCCTGTTTTTGCAGGGCCTCCGTGACCTCTGTTGACCACACTGACAATTTTCGACCTCCTAAATTCATCGAATTAAATTTTGTCTTCAGAGCTTCAATGTTTTGTGAAATTAAAATTTTATCCTCCATCCATTTCTTCTCGTTACTAGTTCGGTGCCTTGTATCCCTTGCCACTGTTTGAGCCAATGTTCTGCAGTCCTTTATGATATGCTCGAAGATTTTCTTCGAGTCTGAAGGGCTTGGTGGCATTGCTAAGTATGTGTCCATGTAAGCTGCAAATAGTTTCTGAATTGATCCCAAATCTCCACTCTCCCCTGTCTGTCCTGCCATGTTCTGAACTATGCCCTGAAACGTTTCTAAAAAATAGGTTAGGCAGTAAAAATTAATTTGACGCGTCAAAAATATATATAATGCAGCTTTTGTATGTGTTCTCCTCTCCCTCAAAAAAAATCTAGTCTAGTAAAATTGAAATATTACCCACTCGGTTTTGCAACTATTCGATTTTTCAACCACTCGCTGCTACCAGTAAAAGTTTTCTACTACAACTTTTAATAAGGCTAAGTGTATCTCAACTTAGCTATCTACGGTGGATCTTGAACCCTAGTAAAGGTTCAGGATTAACTAGACTATATATAAGTTAACTTATTACTAGTGAACAAATTCCAAAGTCACTAAGTATCAAAAGGTTTATCGCGCAAAAATGGTACAATCTCGATAAATAATAGTCGACAATAAAAATAAAGCAGATCTCACGATCTCGGACCGGTCCTTCTTTGAATTCTGAGCTCCCCGTCTCCATCCCTTGATCCCCTTTTATACTCCTGCCGCAGGCGGTTGATTGGCCCTTTTTGGTTTCATAATTCTTTCGTAATTATGAACCGGCCTGATTTGCATAAGAAATCGGCCCGCGAGTCTTGAGATCTCTGATCAGCCTTTTCTCTTTGGATTTTGTAATCGCCAAAAAATCCGAAGAGAGATTGAAAACAAAAAGAGCCAAGCTCTTTTACTTTATATCAAATTGAAGCTGAGACACCCCATTTCTTGTCCACCAAATATGGCCCGTCTAGCTTCACGGAGGCACCCGCACTGACCTTTTATATTTTTATTCCAAATTTTAGACCCCGAAATCGGTGAAACTTAGAATTTTTTTTGGAATGATTTTCAATTGAGTTTCTCGGACTTAGAAAATTTTTGGATTACCGGCAAGAAAAAAGTCGACAAATTCGCGGGAAAAAATTTAAAACATTAAAGTTTACGTCCGTACCAAGTGTGTTAAACCCATATTTCAATCAAGTGGGGTACCAATTTGGGCGAATGAGAACAAAAGCTGTTTTCTTGGGCACTTTAAGCCTGGAAAGTTTCTATGCATCTTCGGGGTGGATGTCGTCATGCATGTAGACAGTTTCGCCAATTTTTTAACATTTTGAAAATTTTCGAATAATTAAGCCTATCGCCTTAGAACACAAAAGCAACCTTGAAGAATAATTTTGACTATTCCGTTGAAAGCCACAATTTTTTTCTGGTGCTTATAAGAGTTTTATTTACAGGGGAAGTACTTCAAGTGTGACGCTCAGATTTCCTTTAAATTTTGCACACACATCGGGTATGGACTAAATATCAATTCCTGAAAGTTTTAGCTCGCGCTTTGCGGGCGCCGCCGAGATATTGAACGATTTTTGCCGCCGAGAGAGCACGCTCAACGTGGAGAGCGGTCAGAGAGAAAACCGCTTTTTGGCCATAACTTTGGCAGTTTCGTGCGGAAAAATTTGATTTTTTGTAGAAACATTATTCTTTACGGTTGAAATAGGCATGAAACTTTTCGTGCCGAAATTCGGCAAAAAGTCCCAAATTTTCGCCGACTTTCGATCTAAAAATCTCGGTTGTTTCTGCAAAGCGCGAGCTAGGATTCCCGCATATATCTTAGAAAAAATTATTCTAAATTTGTGCCAAGTTTCATCAAAATCTGAGCGTCACACTTCAAGTACTTCCCTTGTTAGTCAAAAGCGCGAACATTTTCCAATTCCGAGAAACTCAACTGGAAATCATTTCAAAATTTTCCAAGTTTCACCGATTTCGGGTTACAAAATTTGGAATGAAAATGTAAAAGGTCAGTACGGGTGCCTCCGTGAAGTTAGACGGGCCATATTTGGTGGACAAGAAATGGGGTGCCTCAGCTTCAATTTGATATAAATTTTATAGAAATTGGTGCATTATTGGCCGAGAAATACTTGAAAAGAGGTTGGGAGTTTCGAGTGGCCCACCCTGTATTTATCTATAGATGCCAGAAGCGACATTTGCAACGTCGCCGAAAATTTTTAACGAAATTTTTGTTTGTAGTGAGTAATGGTATATGTATGTAATGGAGGAAAAGATATGCGTGTTTGCCCTTAGCGTATAAAATTTTAAAACTACGGATAATTGTGCTCCATAGAATTCCTTTTAGAAGTTTAAGTTGAGCTCGAGAAAGTAAGTAATTCAATTACTCTCATGTCATGGAGTCGCATAAAACAGTCATATATTTGATAGAAGCCTTTTATACTTCTTATTTACCATGGATGCCCATGCAATTCTGCGGCTAATTACAGTAGGCGAGATCCTTTTCCATATCCCGACCATTTCGCTGACTATTTACCTTGTAATTTTGTGTAATCGGCTATCAACGTTCAGCGCCAATTTTAAGTTAATAATTGTAAGGACATACACAGGTGAGATAGCAAAAGTTTTCAGACAGTTGTCGTCCTTTCACAAAGCGTTGTCACCGTGTTACAACCCTTGGAACTTTACGTTCCATCGTCCATCTACAGCGTTGAGGAAGGCCATGTTATCCCGGCGGTTATTTTTTATACGGCAGCCGTAATTCGAACATTTGTTTCTGGGTTCTTTGTCTTGAAATATTTGTTGCTAGCCGTCGAAAGGTCCGTCGCTTTCAAGCAACGAGGGTCGTACGAGGACAGGGGATATGGATTAGCAATAAAATGCTTGGGTACTTCTGTGAGTTAGCCAGAAAAACATTTGAATGCATAAATCTTTCGATTTTAGTCGATGCTTTCCATACTTTTTATTTTGGTTAAAACATTCAACTTCTACAACTCTTCAAAGGGCATGACTTTGGACAGACGTCTTCGTTACATCTTTCTTATTCAGTACGATCTCTTTGGCTTCTTATGGATCTATAATGTGGCTGCCCTTACAACTGTTATTGCCGGACTTGTAAGTGATTTACTGCCTACGTATTTTTTTGCGTTCCAGATGTTTCTGCGACTGCATATGGCAGTAAAGCAACATAAGTTTGCTTTTTCCTTATCCGAGAGATACGAAATCCGCCGAACCAAATACGTAATCAGCTACATGCGAAGGCTTATGTCAGCATTCGTTGTGCTTCTAATTGTATGCGCAACTTGTTTGTCCTATCTGTTTTATCTGAAATACTGGCTCGGCTATAGCGAAGAAGACGATCTGATGAAAATATTTTTGACGGTAACTATGCTTCCGTAGCGTGGAATTCAGTATTTTTCAGATCATTAACTTCTCTGCATGCGTGTATAATTTTGTGACAACCCTTTATATGGTCGCGGAGTTTCCGCAGTTGGCAAGAGCTATGCACGACAAGATACCATTTATAATTCCGAAAGGCAAGGATGTTACTGTTGCACCTCGTCAAATGGGGGCCATTAAGGAAGCTGAAGAGTATTTCCGGCAGCTTACAGATGCTTGGAAATGACACGTTTAAGATGAAACATTGTGCTAATTCTATATCATTGAAGTTGCAATAAATTCGATGGTATTTTGGCAAGGCATCTTTGAGCAAAAAACACATATTACAGTCAGCAAATCCGTCATGAACACTCTTTTAATAATCGTCAAAATCGTCATTGGTCTTCCTTTTTTAGCCCCCTTTCTGCCCGCGCAAACCTTTCTCAAGAATATCATTGACTTATAAACTTCAAAAGACCCTTATTCCCGATCTCCCACGTTAGATCGTCTCTTTCTTTCAAACGATGGAAAGAAATCATTCTGTCAGGTTTTCAACGAACAGGCCAGTTGAGCATCAAGTCCGTGCCAACTACCCCTCCGATGATGCGTTGGAAAAGCTCTTGGCTATGCCAAAGGCTGAGCCCGTAGAGGATAAGAAATTCGATCGAATGGATTTTTTCACTGCCGCTAGTTTAGATGTAGGTCATTTTCCGTTGGATTGGGCTTCGGCTATGAGTCAAATTCTTTCCAAGTTTAGATGTTCAACCCACGGACTGGTGAGAAGTTTAATTTTGGAGAGGCGGAAGCGAATCGAAGGAATTGGGCAGGTTGGACTCCACTCATGTATGCTATATATCTTGGGCATGAGGCTACTGCAACTGTTTTGATAAAGCAAGGAGCAGATGTTGAAGCCAAGAATCAGAAAGGGCAAACGCCGCTGATTTTAGCTGCTGGATGCAATTCAGAGAAAATGGTTGGGACTTTTAAATTCTTGCCGGCTCAGAGATAGGTTCAAAAATTACGTAACCTTCAGGTAGATCTCCTTCTCCGTCACGACGCCAGAATCGATGCCGTAGACGTTGATGGGAGGTCGGCGCTTCATTATGCTTCTCTTTATGATCAGGAAGCTGTTGTTTTTCTACTGTTAAATCATGGATCAGATCCAAATTTGGCTGATAGAAAAAGTGGAACTACTCCGTTGTTGATGGCTTGTGAGGGTGGGAAGACCAAAATCATCCATGAAATGCTAATGCATGTAAGGGAAATTTTTTGTATGATCTATTTAAGGAGATACTCACCTTTTTTTACCATCACATCTATCTTAGGGAGGAGATCCAAAGATCCGTAACTTACGCAATGACTCTGGAGAAGAATTAGTTCAGCATACCGAGCACAAAGAAGCAATCAATCTGGTCAAACAGGTATAAACACCCCATAAATTTGCTATTTTTAGCACATCAATATTTACGAAGCCCTAAGGCAGGAAGGATTGGAGAAGTACATTCCAAACTTTCAAGCGCAGAACACAACTTGGAAGAAGTTTTTGCGAATGGGGAATCAGGAATTTGACATGCTCGGAATCGACTTACTCGGACCGAAAAAGAAGTTGGAAAATATTAGGAAAGGATATTTAAGTCGGTATAACCTGAAGGACCCTGGACAAGGTGGAGTAGTCTTACAGCAGGTAAGCCGCCTCCAAACGATAAATATCTTTTTAAGGCTCCTGTCCAACCCCCTCCAGCCCCATTAAGACCGGTGGTTGAGACGCCCGGTGAAGTGGAGAATGACAACGTACGTTTCTTCGACTTATTGTGCACTTGTAGATGGCCAAATTAAGGATTATCCAGCGACAATTGATTGGGGTCCATCAGAAGCTCAGTGACTTTCTCAGTGCTCAAAGATCGATTTCGGAGTCTGATTTGAGATCCGTCATCAACACAGTGGACGAGATCAATAGTAGAATCTCTCAGTTGTTATAGACCGTATTTGTGAATGAGAATAAATTTTATTATAATTTGGGAACTGGTCATTCCTTGAAAGTTTGGCTATTCAACGGTTTTTGTGGAAAGTTTCATATTTCTTCATATTCATATTTCTCAGAAAACTTAAGCTAAATTTCTGCGAATCGCTTCAAAGTCGGGGCCTCGTGTTTTAATCATCTACCTTATGAAAAGATGATAAATTAGCCAGTGAAAAAAACGACCTTATTATCAATCATTCAAGGCTAATGGTTTCCTTTTTTCATGCCTGAAATTCCATTGTGTTTATGTTTTTTTTGCGGCCAATACTCTTTTCCAATTAAAAAGCCCCATTCCGTGCTCTTTAGGCGAGTAATTTCCGTTGTTTTGGCCAACTGTTTTTTGCTTTTTCCTCTTTGTAAAGTACATGTTTCATTTTTTCGCGTCTTCAAGATGAATTGTCTTTACGTGATCCGGGCTTTCCGAAAATCCGGGCCGGATCAATGTCCTCGAGGCACGTGTTTTGTAAACCGAGAGGGATTTGTTGTAGGAGAAAAACGAGTTGTCCAGTGCGGAGGTGAAGACAAATTGTTATCTTGTACATACTTTATTATTGATAAGTGTGGAGGTCAACAAGTATTTTTCTGGGGACTCTGGGTCGTTGCACAAGTGTTGGCGAGGGGGAGGAGGGGTTTGGGTTCCGGGTCAAAACACGTCATTTTCCGGGGGTTTTAGTGGCAATTTGAGTGGTTTCACTAGGTCAAACCCGCATATATAATGCGACGTTTAGCTCATTCGTGGTTGTGTACGTTGGGTGGACCGTTGTAGTGGAGAGAAGGTTTAGTCGGACGGCACTTTGAGGTCTTCCTTGACTCATTCATTTTCAGGCTGTTACTCCTAATTTTCTGTAGCCTTTTTTCAGCAAATGTTGCAGAATAACGCTTAGTATCATGCTCGGGTTAAACACCCCGACAATTCATTTACGGGCCATGATTGTTAAACCCCACCATTTGTGCCGTCGATCGATCAAACATTAAAACTTTTCTCCTTTTTTTGACATTTTGCACCACCTCTCATTAATCCCCCAAAATTGCACCGTTCGCGAATGTAACCCTTAATTGTATTTAGTGTCCCATGATTACGCAGTCAAAGAGTTACATTTCCATTTCATTGCGGAATGTCGCGGCTCTCTCGTTTCCGCGAACACCTTGTTCCAGACGATGTTCAAAAAACAAAGCGAGCAGAATATTCATAAAGCGAGAGCGGGGACACAAACTTTTTTGGCCAACGACGAAATGGGAATGGAAGTTCTCCGGGGCGTCGTACTTTGGGACTACGTGTTTTTATTTATTCAATGTTGTTGGGGTTATGACGATGCTTCTGTGGGGATAACTTTTAAGGAGGGCTTGAGGGAATATTGGGCAAGGTTTCTGGTAACATACGATGTGCTTAGAACAGACTGGAAGGGGTAGAAAATAAGCGTAGAGTTAACGTAATGTCCTATAGACAAGTCAAGGCATTTCAATGACCCGTCGGCTAGCATGGAATATGTTACTTAAGGTAGACTCCGCGACCTTAAATTTCCTGCGGTTGGTTTATGGGGTGGGCTAGGAAAATTCGTTCATTCCTTTATCTTCAAATTGTAAATCTGTCATGGATGTTAGACTGTTTTGATTAAACAATTCTTTTCTAATTAAATTCCTACAAATAACTTCATACATTAAATATGTTCTTTGGGTAAAATTTGAACGTACATTTCTATGACCGTCTTTAGAGCCAAAAGGCATTCTTTCATCTTCCTTTATAGCGTACTTATTTAGTCATATTCTGTTTGCTGGACCACAATTCACAGAAATCTCCTGCATTCTACAGTTGATTACTTCTCCAAGTGATTACAAATAGTTCGGGTCCATTCCATCTTGGTACCGAGCGCAGTTTGCTTAATCTATTCGGATTAATTTGGTTGCACATTTACGTCAAAAGGTTTAGCTTCATGCATTTTAATTCCAACGTGCCAGCAAAGCAATTGGGGTTCGCTTTAGTTCCAAAATACATACTCCTGCAAACATTTACTTTATTTAAAGATTGAGGAAATTACCGTAATTGAGAGAGAGGTATTAATTGGATCTAGTAGTATAAAATTTAATTTGGGTTTCGAAAGCTGTTTACAGTAAAAACAAAATTTTGAGGAGTCTCCAAGCGACCTTGTGATTTCTCTTTAATTATCTGTTGGTTGTTGTATACATATGCTTGAGTTTGTCCTGTTTGTGAAAATTCTTTGATCTGTTTGACGCTTGGTAGTTTGGATTGTTTTTCGTGATTTAGAAGTCTGTCTTCCTGGCGTCGCATTGAGATTTTTTAACCGAAAGTTTAGTTCCTAATCTTAAAAATGAGATTGATTACTTTTTGCGCTACTACAAGACGAGTAATGCCGCCTTGGGACAAAATAAAAAGACTTGTAAACTCATAATTGCCCAACCTCCAAGCATTTTGACCTTCTTTGCCGTTTAGCATCCTGCTCTCCATGCCTTTCCCCTCCAAGAAAACTCTATCTGCCTGAGGCGTTTATCCCCTGACAATTATTTCCCCATTCCCCGAACCCAACTCCCTTTGCTTTTTAGCACTTTTTTGTTGTGCTTGAAGGACTTTTTGTCATCCATGTTCCTTCTTCTCGTTTTTTGTTGCGTAATTTACCACAATATTTCTTCGCACCTTTTGTCTTTCCGTCTTTCTTTCGGCGTCTGGCGGACTCTCCTCGTCGCCCTCGCTCTGTCGGCCTTTCTCTTTATGTCGCTGGTTCTAAGCGGGGCTGCGTCTAGGCCTGGAAACGACGATGGGATGGGGGAAGCGAGGGGAAGAGCCCCAACATCCAAGCCTCGGGTTCGGCTTTTTCCGAGTTTTCTCGGCTTTTTTGCGCTTTTTTTGTCTTTGATCGTCGGAAGAGGCTTTTTTTGTTCACGCGACGATTTGTTATCACTTAATCATTTCCCGCTATTCCCGATTGTTTTCTCGTCGGTTTGGGTGCTTGGATTTCCCGGAAAGAAGAGACGTTTGAAGATATTGCGGGGATTCTTGCTGATTTCTTCAATCTTTTGTACTCAACATTGGTTTAGGCAGAGGAAAGGCTTTTCAAGATAAAATGAGCACGCTTACGTAATTTTCAGCATATTATTACAATGTAAAACACAACGAATTATCATTCAAGAGCTTCGTTTCTGTTTAATTCCATCAAAGACCTCTATTAATACTGATTATTTTTGTGCAAACTCTGTTTTTCTTTAGCCAATTCTCTCCGTTCCTCCATTGGTCTTTTGACTTCGACATTTATTAATCTTTGCGTTTAAATGCCCTGAAGGCCTTTAGCCAATTTCTTGTTCCCGAAAATTTATATGGTTAATGTAGTAATTTGCAATTCTTTCAATTCAAAATAATTTCTTCTTTAATTCATTAACACTCATAACCTTTGAGATTTTAGAATTTCAAGTCTACGCGGATGTTACAAAAATTGTGCCAACCAATTTTTTGATAATTAATAAGCGGCTGTACTCTTAAACCCTAAGGGCGGTTAAGGCTGGATACGCCTTTATAGGCTTATGTGTACATAAACAGATTTCTGGTGGCTTAGCGAAGTGGAATTTATGGCTTAAATTTTTTTTACAATCCCGTATTTCAGATATTTTTTTGTGGAAGAAGAATAAATTCTGCTGTTTCTTGAATCTTACAAATTTATATACTAAAATATTGCTAAATTCTTATGAAGGTGTGGGCCGGTGAATATCAATATCAGTTCATCACACTCTTGTCGTAAGTATGTTTTCACAAAGTACGCAAGATCAGAATCTTGCATACAAAGCCTTGGTCTAAGCTTGAGCCGAGATTCATAAAAATTTTTATGTCGTCTCTTCAGCACTTACATAATAAATGTTTTTCTGGACTCCCAAATGTTCTACTGTTTTTCATATTTCCTTAAATCTCAATTACATTTCTCTAATCCCCTTCTCCAAACTCATTAGTTTCGCATAATAATCAGCTAGAAATACATTTTCTGCAGCTCTCTGAATCTTGTGAGAAGTTTAAGAGATTATGCCTACAATAAACTCCTCTTCGAATGCCGTGACCCCACCAGGACATATATGTAGTCTTTTTTTACACCGTTTAGAGAAGCAATATAAGGGACCTAAAGTGGTCAGGTGTGGCCTCATTATGGCCTTGGTTTTTTCTGTTTCATACACTTATGCAGTAAAATTAGTTATGTTTGACATTTAAATGGGTGTCTAAAGATTGTATAGAGTTTTGCAAAAGATTTTGCAGAATTTCATGAGGAGAAAACTATTGATAAAAGAATTTTTTGAATATTTGTGGATACGAGAACATAAATTAACCTCTCTCTTTGCAAACGTTAAGGCTAGATAGAAAATGAAGACATTATGTGAATGCAAGCCGTATTTTCCAATTTGCGAACATAACATTTTTGAATTAAACATTTTACTTTTTACCGAGTTTGTTAACTTGCCTGGTAAGCCATGTATTATACTTTTTTCCCCGTTTTCTGATAACAAAATCAACTTCTGACCCCGTTTTCAGTCATCTCCTGACTTGTGATAACCCGAAGTGTCTGTTTACAACAACATTTCCAATCATTTGGCGATCACAAATGCTTATTTGCTGCTTTCGGAAATACTAAGGATTTTACAGAGGTGTTTTACCTTTGAGCGAATTGCTTTTCCGTTGCAGTTATTTTTGTAAAATGCATTGCAGCTAGACGATTTCATTATGCAATCTGAAGCCGAACGTTGACACCTCTCGATGACGCTATGAGTGTAAATATAGCCGGCCATTTATAAGTATTATTGAGTGTTTGCTCAAAGTTTTTCTTGCTGTCGCTCATGTTTTTCTTGGCATAGGGAATTACAGAAACCTTCTTTTTTTAGCCGATGATATGGAAATGCATATGTGTTCTCTGTTTGCACTGCGAGTTTGTTTGGTGTTGTCAGTTTAGTACGTAAGGATTGACGATGTAAGGTTTTCATATAGGTAGAGGAAGCTTTGGACAAGCCTCTTCTATGCCAACTATTCTTTTGTCTACTCTGAGTTTTGAGTTTGCTCTGCATCGGCTCTCAAATGACCTATAATATCTATTGTCTCTACCTCGGACGTCAAAGCTCACACTGATTCATTTTCCGGCTCTATTCTTTACAAATACCAATTCAAGTTCCTCGGTGATCTTATAATAGCATAAAAATACCGCATTTATGTCATAGCCTTCTCCTAATGGCTTCCGAAGGTCTCCTTTAATGCCCCTGGCCCCAATGTACAATATAAACCCGCGTCCTCTGACCCGTTGTGCTCTTTCGAACCGAACGATCTTTATTTCTCTCATTTTATCTTCCAGTTTTATCGGTTCTTTAACGGTCCCTGAAGTGGGGTGCGGTCCCTTCTCTCTTACTTTGTGGAATTTGCGTCAGAGTCATAAAAGAATTGTGTTAATGGCTCATTTGCATAACTCGGCAAGGAAGACTTGGCGAATGCAAATTTGATAATAAAACATTTCGGGCGGGTTTCCGGTTTCAATTCGGATCCATTTTTACAGTTTGTTTGTAGCTTACGCTGGGTGGGAGGAGAGGGTTAAGCTGGCTGATTCCAGCGAATTTACATCGAAATTTACGCCGAATGCGGTTGATTTTTAAACGAGAGTGGGTTGGAGCTTATGTGTAGTTGCATTGCTTTGTGGTTGTTTGGAGAATGTGGAGATTTTTTTGAAATTGAAAATATATTTTTTTAAGTTGCAGGAAATGGGGGAATTGACAGATTTTAAGAAATATATTATCCTGGAGGTGGTGAAAATTGAAGAATATAAATTCTGACCAACCTCGGGACAGTTTGAAGTCAGAAATTTATGAAAATTTTGTGAGATTTTAATGCGTGCATGGCCAAAAATGCCAAAAGACCAACAGGGTTTCGAATATTGATTAAAAAATTTTTTTTTGTTTGATGACTTCTCACGTTGTTAATATAAAAACAATAATCTAATTTGAGCAATTTTTCAAATTTTAAAGCTTTCTTCCTTCTAAATAAGTAAAATCTTTTGAATGAGCACTCACCTTCGTCCTTTCCATTTATCTCCAACCAGCGTTATAAAGCGTTAAAGAAACCACTTTTAAAACCGGCACATCCGGCTTGAACAGCCTGCGTGCTAAAAATAACTCTTTTAAAGGCCCGGAGGCATGAATCATGGTTTGGAATTCGGCTGGGAAATTTCTCACCGGAAATTCCGCTAGATCAAGGAAACGCCCGAGGCGAAATAAGTGATTTTATTCGAATTCTTAATCGATTCGGAAAAGAGATTTTTTATTTTCAAATTATTTTAAAATTTATGGTCACCTGTTCTTGAGAAAATGAAGGGAGGTGCTTTTTGCGTGCGCCTATAATATTGAGCATCACAAATTGTGGCGAGGGCAGTCGAAGATAATTTTTTAAATTATTTTGCTTTGATAATAAAAATATTTTTTTTATTGTTTGTTTATATTTATTTTTGAGTCATATAAACACATAGAAACTTGGCAGTTATCAAAAAATGAATCAGCCTATAGTTGGATTGAAAAGCGAGGTTTAACTTGTAATGAATGTGCTTGTGACGCCTGGTTTCTGATTCATGAAGGATTGCTCTCAATGGGGTTCTAGTCATTTTTAAAAGTGATGTAACCAAAATAAGCTCCTAAACTAGGCAGAGGATCGAGGGAGAACGATTTTGTGTAGTTTGAAAGTATTGTTTTTCGCGCAATCCAAGATTTGGTCTTTTGCACGGTGGTGACAAAAAAATTTTTTGTTGCACTGTGCACCCATTTCTAATCCAAAATTGGCCCCAAAGCAAAGATTATATTCTTCTTTTCTCCCAAGATTTTTTAATTTTTTCCACCAATCCTGTGTAAATACGTTATCTCTTCTCTGCAAACGTTTCAAAGTGAAACAAAAACGAAATTCTTGGCCCTTGGCCTTAACTTCAAGTGGACCGCCATGCACTTGTATTGTGGCGGATCACGTCTTCCACAGTCTTTGGAAAAGTTTTAAACAAGCTACAGATTTTAGCAAACACTTTTTTATGTTTTAGCAGCTGAAAATGATGTTTTTTGTACAAGAATGTTTACTTTGGATATTGTTTGTGGGAAGATAATATGACACTAGTCAGAACTTTGCAAAAAAGCGCTTACTTTTTGTGATCTTCTGTGCAACACTTTCCCTCTTTAGGTTTTGTAATCTTGGCCGGAAAATTACGGTAAAATTCGGGTTTTAGTTCGCGAGAGAACCGGAAAATTGATTGCAAACCGTTTTGTAATGTTTTTTTATTTCGATTCAACCATATGATATCCATTTGCAAATACATTTGGCAACTTTTTATCGTCTTTGTTTGCGTGATAAGTTATTCCGCGTACAAAGTATACATAACCGCTACTTTTTGCCCCACATGCAACTGTAATACTATTTAAAGAAGGTACCAAAACGACTTCACTCAATACACAAAATCTTCCAAGTTCCTGTTGATGAACCCAACAGGCGCTTATCAACTCACAATCTTGGCCAACTTCCTTCTCGTTTAAACCCTCCGCTTCAACGATTCTAGCTACCAGTCCAGCGCAGTTGGGCGCGTCCAGCCCAACACGGCCCAGCGGGTTCGGCTCGTTGGGGCGAAAGGCCGGAAAACGAGAGAAGAAAACGACGAATGGCCCCATGAATTCGGCCCAATCTCCCAGCCCCACGTTGGGCAGGACCCGGCCTATGCGGATATATGGCGGGGAATCGAGCGATTCGTCGTCGCAGATGCGGCACAGCACCTCTAGCTCGCCGTTAACACCGTTGTCGGCAGGATTGAGCAGTAGTATGCATGGCTTTGGCAACACTCTACTTGGTAGGTCGATTTTGGATTCAGTTTTCGGCGTCTAGGTGATTTGTAATGCTGAGCATACGGTCTAGAGACTTATCGTGAAAAAAAGGCATCAGTAAAAAGCTACCACAAGCAAGAACTTGCGGTATCAAGCGGGCAAAATTCTGAAATGAAGCTTTTCAATCAAGAATTTGCATTTTTTTATTCTCTCGGATCTTACAACTTTTCCTAAAAAATAACCGAAGATAAGATGATATTTTTTGAGAGCTGTTTGCATGAGAATATAATACAATACTGTGTTGGGATTAATTATGGAACTTACTTCTTTCAGAAAAGCACACCCGCTCCTCCCTCTCATCCTCAAGCACGACAGCCCCATTGTCAGCCGAGGGTACCAACTCTCCTCGTCTCGGAGAAGGTCACCTTATCCTTCTTCATCTCCCATTTGGACAACACTCCAAAGCTAATGTTCGATCTGGAGTCTCAGCTCGCGATGCAATCGCTGTCGTTCTACGGAAGCGGAACATAGTCCCAGAGACTTGCACTGTATGTGTTGATGCTGATCCCATGAGTCCGCAAATCGACTTGCAAGCTGATTTGGGAGAACTGGCGGCTCAGCTGGTCAGGAATGAGCTGTGGGTACATTCGGAATGCATGGAGTTGTTCAACTCGATCCATCATGAATTCGTTCCCAAGACTTTTAGCGTGTTGAGTGTGGCCAATTGCGGAGTCTGCAGGAAGATTATACTTGTCAATGTGAGTTCATAGACGAATGTTTTGGATTTGTATGTATAATTTTCGACGGAAATTTCATTGAAGTTTGAGAAAAAATAATTCTAGATTAATTAAAAATAGGAGTAATATAATTCTCGGTATTTCCAGGGCTACCGCTGCAATCGCTGTCAATTCACTTTCCACAAGAAATGCTGGGGCCAAGTGCCCGCCCTCTGCGAGCCCGATCAAATCCCATATGATATCCACAAGGCCAATCAACTCCGAGATGTTTGTGCCAAATACCAAGGACCTCACGCGGCCATGGCGGCCGATATCCTCGACTCTCTCTTACCCACGGATTCGCCGAGTAAGTTGTGATCTACGAACAAGGATTTTGAATTCATTAAAAGTTCTAGTAACTCAATTATTCGTCCGCTGTAATGTTATTGAAGCGTAATTTAATATTATAATATGTTATGAAATTCCAGACGAAAGACCGGTGAAATCTCGAGAAAACTTCCGCCAAACGACGGACGAGAGCTCCACTCCTCGAGAGCAATCAGAATCTCCGTATCCCCGTGACCGATCATCATCAGCCCCCAACATTAACATCATCAAGGACGACTTTTCCTTGTCCGAGCTTCAGTCCCTTAAGATCACTTCGAATTCGCTGCATTCGGGCAGCCAACAATATTCAAGTAAGCACCGGATTTTTTGGAATTTTTATCACGGTTTTAGACGATGCTTTGCCTGCGGGTTCTACCTCAACCGTTCATTCGTTGGGAACAGCTTTGACGCCTCCGCAATCAGCACCGCCGCAAAAAACGGCGCAGATTTTCTTCACGGAGCAGCAACGAATGAGGAGTAAGAGTGAGTTTACAAAACATTTTTCTCTTTTCAAGTTACGGGGAGTGATTTTGATGAAACTTGGCGCAAAATAATATGAGATCTTTAACCGCGTGCGAAAATTGAGCTAATGCTATGCAGAAAATAGATGCTGAGGTACTGAGGTCAAAAACGGCCAAAATTCGAAGATTTTTTTGTGATTTGTCCGTACTAACAATTGGAATTCTGTAGATAGCGTAGAGTTTAAGCTTCCCACCAAAAACATTACTGTTCCGCATTATTTTTGCAATACCATTTCGGTTTATGCCACCAATTCTCCAATAAAAATTCCTGTGCGTAACGGACCCTCTCTCTAATCTTGTAGACCCCAAATTGGTCCTTATTACACTCAAAGACCTCTGTCGAACAGTGTTCGTAATCTTTGGATTCGCGAGATTTACGAAGCTATATATAGTCGGCGATATTTATATTAATCCTGGCTGTTTTTTCCAAGAATTTCCCTCAGGGGATTTATGGGATTGACGTAGGGATATCATGCATATTATTTACATTTTCGGTTCTCCGAAGGTTTGGTTTGAAGTAGTGGTAAACTGGCCGTTAAAGCGTCGTACTGAAGTTTGCGAAAATAAAGGTAAAGTGCGTCAAAGGTCACACCTTTTTTTATGAACTCTAATGTAATAGAATGCCAGGTCTAATTCGATTTTTATGCACACCTTGTCCAAAATTTTCTTGCTCTTAGTTTCAAAGTGCATAATCTCGGCGTGGCCTAATTTACTCGCCAGTTTTTTGATATTTAAAATAAAGGTGAAGGGATTTGGACATAATTCTGTGGGATTATCAGAGGAATCCCCGAATATTTAGTCGGCTTTCTGCCTCTGGTTCATTTTGGAAATTAAAATGGGCCCTTCACATGGGATGGACTTTTCAGACATCTGTTTTCGTAGTTGTATAGAGAGACATTGTATTGTAGAGGGAATGGTTTCTGAATTATGCTCTTTGCTGCAAGCTATCGATTTCTTAAGCAAAAAATATTCAAAAAAGTGCAATTATCTTTCTAAAAACCTCTGCGGTTTCTGCATAACGCGACCGAATGATCTTACATACGTTTTCCGTAATTATGTTCTTGTTTTGCTCAAAATTTTCTAAAAGTCGTAGCATCACAAGCACGCCCCCTTTAATTTTGTACCTAGAGCCCCTTACCTTCCCCCCAAAGCCTGTTCATTCACTACATCTTCCCGAATATTTCTCGTCTGCTCACATGAATTAATGTCTAATGAATCCTGCATGGAAACCCTCCGTTTTCCGCTCGATGCCAATGCCTGTTTCATTTTATTTACAAACTCCGTACACCGAGACTATGTAAACTTTTGGCTTTCCCGTTTCCCTCTGCTCTCCACAAACATGCATATTACCTGTTCTCCACCTCTAAATGGGTAATAAATAATCCCTCGCCGCATTCGCACCTTGTCTTCGTGATGTACACACCGAAATGTTATCGAAAAGTGGGGGGCTCCAAAAACGGTCTCAAATCCCCCCGCTGGCGGCGAGGAGTTTTCGCGTCTGGAAATGTCCTCTTTTTTGTCCCCCAAAAGATGAACAAGTTACTTGGTGGCCGTCTCCTTCATAACGCAGATTTGTTTGGTCTGTGTCCCCTTTAATTCCGTGTGTTTCATTTTTCGCTTTTTGTGCAAACATTTTTTGCCCCGGGTTTGGGTCCGCGGAAAAGTTCGCCGAAAGTCTCTGGGGCCAAGCTTCGCACGGTTATGCCGTTTTGATGAATTTTTTGCACTTAGACTGTCTCTCGAAGCCTTGGTGGTCTTTAAACTTCCAACTCATCTTGCCCTTTTCAACCCCGGCTTTTTCCAGCTTCTTAAAGTGCTCAACAAAGCGCTGCGCCGAATGCGATTGTTGTTCCGCTGATGCGTGCGGGAATTAAGTGCAAAAAATATTTTTTCAAAAAATTACAAGTGCTTTATTTTTCCGTAGCAAAATGGTGATGTTTTCCAGGGAAGGCTTATTCAGGTGAATTCGGAATTTTAAAGTTGCGTGGGTTCTAAATGGCGCTTTTGGTGGAATTCTTCGGAATATTTACAAAGTTATTCCCAACGTATGTTGTGAATGACTTATCGGCCTGAAAGATTATAAGTCAATTTTCTCTGCAAATAATTACATTGCAAAAAAAAAGTATTAACCTACAGGTGGAATTGCAAGGAAAAAATAAACCAAAAACATAAACTTTACTTCGGAAGTTTCAATTACAAATATTCCGAAGTTTGTCCAAAACTGCAGAATTTAAAATTTCGGACTTTTCTCACAATTCCAATTGTGTTTTCCTTAAACGTTGTCTTGTATCTGCTCACTACATTACTTTACATACAATTTCTGATGCTTCCAGTTTCACAATTTTACATTTTGCAGGTCCCGGTGAGGCGCGTCTCTCATCGCCCGGTTCCAACAGTGCCGCGAAGATCGAATCCGCCGGCTCGGCGGCTTCTCTGCTCACGGTGGAGGGCGGGTCGCGCTACGAGATAACGCGCCGCGGCGGCGAGCGTTTCAATCGACGTCGCGCGACGGTCGAGGATTGGGAGATCAGCCACGACAAGGTCATCTTCAAGGAGCAGATCGGGAATGGATCTTTTGGCACGGTGTACAAGGCCTATTACTTTGGTAAGATTTTTACTTTTATTGTTTGAGAAGGATTTAGGTGGGAGTAGAGAAAGTGAATGGGAAAAGAACATGAGAAAGATGACTGTTAGTTGAAGACGCACTTTGCTAAAAAAATAAAGGATTTGAAGCCTTACACACTTCATAATTGTTCATTTCCAGGCGCTGTGGCCGTGAAAAAGCTGAATATCCGAAGTCCAGGTCCAGAATTGTTGGCTGCCTTCAAGAACGAGGTGACTGTCCTCAAGAAGGCTCGTCATGGCAACGTCCTCAACTTCCTTGGAGTCATCAGAGAGCCCGAACTAGCCATTGTCACCCAATGGTGTCAGGGGTCAAGTCTCTATCGGCATATTCATGTCATCGAACCAAAAGTTGAGTTTGAAATGCAGACCATCCTCGAGATCTGCAAACAAATCTCACAAGGGATGAATTACCTGCACAGTAAGAATGTGATTCATCGGGATCTGAAGACCAACAACATCTTCCTGACGGAGGGAACGACTGTCAAGATTGGTGACTTTGGACTGGCGACAGTCAAGACGAGATTCGACGACACTACTCACGGCGTTGTCCCGAATCCGAATCCGACCGGCTCCATTCTCTGGATGGCTCCGGAAGTTATTCGCATGACTTCAACCAACCCGTACAGCACTAGGTCCGACGTCTACTCGTTTGGCGTCTGTTTATACGAGTTGTTGAGTTCGATGTTACCGTATGATGACATCAAAAATCGAGACCAGATCTTGTTCATGGTGGGAAGCGGAATTCTGCGGCCGAATCTGGGGAATCTGAGGAATGACACGCCGAAACAGTTTAGAACACTGCTGGAGGAGTGCATCAAGTTCAAACCGGATGAACGGCCGGAGTTCAGATATGTAAGTCCCTTGTAAAATAGGGAAAGGATAATTTTTTAATCAGAAGACGCGACGGTTAGATTTTTGTTTGAACTTTGCAAGTGCGGTTAATTCAAGACAAAAATCAAAAATTTTGGCTTTACATCCTGAACGTCCATTTACTCGTTAATAAACCCTCAAAAAAGTTCCATTTTCAAAAGTCCATTATTTTATTTTATTTTTTTTCAGATCTACGGCGTCCTCGACAATATCCGCCTCCCAAAGCTCAAGAAGTCGGCCAGCGAGCCCAATCTGCACTCTCGACATCACAACCGGTCAGGGTTCAATTCCTGAAAAATCCTAAATCTCCGGGTTCTACATTTCTTAGTTTTCGTCGTCTGGAAGATCCCTAAAATATTTGTTTCCCTAATGTCCAGACGACCTCTATCCGAATATCACTATCATTTCTATTGGATTTGGAACATTCCCGTTCTTAGCCCCGCACTTACATTTCTGTGAGTCCATTAGGTACTTGTAAATTATTGTATATTATGTCTCTTGGTCATTTTTCAAAAATTACTTACTTACGGGTTATTCAAATGGTTAATAAATTTTTTGTCCATGAAAGTTGCAATAATTAATTTTAGGGAGATTCTTGGGGCGAAAAATTTGCATATTTAAAATTTTCTTTCTGTGGATTCAATATGTAGACCATTCCAAACACCAATGGGCTCTGTTTCGTAGAAACAAAGGGGTTATGCAAATTTAACAAAATACTCTAGGCAAATTTATTCAAATTAAAATTGAGCGTGTTCATCGATAGATTGTACCAAAATGAGATCAAGAAAGCGTGTGTAGAAGAAAGGCGGTAATTAGAACTACTAGATTTATCTGCAGATTACACCCTGAGTCTTTGTCACCGGTTTGTTGAGGCTGTTTTTCCAAGACATGTTCTCCCGAACCTTCTGACTCTTCTTTTTCAACTTTTGAAGCTCCAGAATCCTCTTCAGCGCCACCCAATTCTTTACTATCAGTTCCAGAGGATTCCGTTGAGGTCGGCACAAATGTCTTAGGCTTATCGACATTGAATTTATGTGGGTAAATGCTGATTGGTGGGCCTTTGGTTGTAATAGTCACAGGTCGTCGAGTTGTCGATGTTAGACGATGATGAACAGGCAAGGTTGTGGGGACTTGGAAGCGGTCAGATGGCTTGGTTTCGGTTTTTGGCAAGGGTTTCAGCTTGGTGGATTTGTTGCGATGGCGGGCTCGTTCGGCTGAAAATTGGTGTTTAGATAACAAGAATGGTATTTATATGTCATAAATGATGCCTAACCAAGACAAACTTACAAAACTTCGGCAATTTGACATTATTTAGATAATTCAAAACATCCTTTGAGATGATTCCAATTGACGCCTGATACGGTAGATGTAAAAGACAAGTGGCTGTCATCTTTTTCCTCCGATCAATGAGGAAAACTCTGCTCCGGTTTTTGTTGTCTCCCTAAAGGAAATAAACAATGATATCAATTGCATAATGTGCACTTACTCTCGGTTCAAACTCTGTGTACAAACTGATATTTACATCCGAAGAAAAAGAGTTTATCCGTTGAAGATGGGCATGTTGATGATGCCGAATCAAATGGCGCCGATGAACTTTAGCTCTGTGGGGTCTGGAAAAATATGAACAGATGTCGTATTTTAAAACCAAATCCGTGATTTTCACTTACCTGAATAGCAGATCATAAGAGCATGTGCTTGACAAGTCTTTGTCTCTCTTGTGAACTGCATATAATTTACTTCTTTCTGAATCCAAGTCCATTAGAAATTCACCCGCCATCCGACTCGAGAACCCGCTTTCTAAAAGATCAATTGTTAATTTACATATAAACTCCGCCATAATGACATGCGTATGATGGATTACTTGCCTTCAGCAAAATTCTTGATTACAAAAGGTTCCATTGCCTGTAAGTATCCCTGATAAGTGATCCTAAACTGCCGCACACTCCAGAAAGCGCCAGCAGATTGTGGATCAACGAAATACATGACATCGGAGAAAGTGGAGTCCATGAAAGAGAGATCTACAATAAAAGTATGGTAAGTTACGATAATTCAAATTTTGATGTAAATAAATATCCCACCTGGTTCCAGGACAAAACTTGAGTTATTCATATACGAACAAGTGGCAAAAGTCATCGAGTTCAACAAGGAATAGCTGGAATTGCTGTTACTTTCAAATAAAACATAGTGAAGCAGCGGGAAGGACGAAATACAACGTAAGCATTGCGGCAAGCAACAATAAATGTGTGGTTGAACTTACCTAAAGACTGAATATCCTGCCATTGCATTTTCGGCCGGAAAATCAACCGGCAACAGGCAAATTTGATGTTGACCGCGTTTAAAAATCAACTGAAATCCAACCTTCCCATTGTTGTAAACATCTCGAATATGAAGCTGGACGTTCGACGGGAGACAATAATTCAAGTCTCGGTGAACTTCTAGATACCGTTGAAGTTCGTTAAGTTGATCAGCTCGAGCAAAGACCAGCTGACAATCCTGAGTTAAAACATATACGTAATAGGTCTGGTTTGTGTCAGAAATGGTCTCTTGAAGTCGTCGATGATCGCACTCACTGTGAAATCCCGATGATATGTAGGGTATCACCAATAATACAACTACTACAGCCTCCGCAAAACTGCTTAGCATCTCGCCAAAAGTAATGCAAAGACCTTTAGATACCGCTCCAAATCTAGTCAGGAGCTGGAGAACAGATTGACATAGCTGAAAGGGTTCCTTATAATCTCATAAAATAATAATTGGTAGAAAAAATACAATTCCAGGGCGATAAAAACGACTTATCACTCGGAGCGTGGGGAAGTGTCAATCAAAAAAAGAGGGCGACAAATAATATTGTTTTATCATAAAGAGTCATTAGAACTTCAAAGGGTCATCAAATTTGACGGAGAGAAATTAAAAATTGGAGGAAAATCTCATGAAAATCTCAAATTGAAAAGGGATTCGCAAAGGAAAAAATAATTTATCGTGTTTTGAAAGTCAAACCCTCGAAATGTCCTCTATGACAAGTACAAGATCAACCAAAAAAATTGAGCAAAGGAACGTTCGTTTGGTCGTTCCGTGGCCAGATGACTGATCATATGTCAATGTCACGATTTTAGGGTAGATTTTTGACTAATTACACATAACTCTAAACTTTTGGAGTGTCTGCAGTAAAGTAAGGCTGAGTTTAAAAAATGGCCAAAGAGGACAAAAGTTGACTGAAATTTGGCAAAGTGCTTTCAAAGACATATGCAAGACACCTAACCTGTGCAAAAAATTCATTCATCAAAAGTTAGTTATCTAAAGACTGCCAGCTTCTTCGGTTACTAGAGCCACAGGTGATGCCCTTACAAAGCAATCAAAACTATCCAGGCAAAACGAAAAATATTTTTTGTTTTTATGTTTTCACTCGCAAATAACAATCTCGGTTGGCGCTGAAAAGTTCCGGCAAAGCTTTTCAGAAATGATTTATGACCATTTTTAAACCCATAGCCAAAATTTCTGTCATTCTGAATGTAACACCTGAACGAATTCTTGCTGACAATAAATATCATGCTTCTTGAAAAACCGCAAGGATTTGCTATATACACCCTGGCTAAAAAACAACAACGAATTTCGTTGTAGTGACACACACACAATCATAAATGTAAACGCTCTTCTTTTGTCTACATCAGATAAAATTCCGGGAGAGAGAAGCCGGAGGCATCAAGTTATGGTTTTTGCGCGTTCTGACAGCCCTCTGACTTAATATGCTATGATTTTACGAACTCACTTTTGTCTTCAAAAGCTGTCAGAACACATTAAATTCATTGTTTCGGGAGGGACTATGCTTACAAGGTCATACAAGATGTTCTCAGATAGTAAATTAGATAAAGCCGAGGTAAATTGTGATTTTAAAGTGGACTTGAAAGCATTTTGAAGAATTTATGGGATGTGAAAGATAGCTGAAAACAATTTGCAAAATGTGAAGGGCAAACTGCGATATAGAAATATGAAATTCCATCGTTCCGTGTTGTTACATGATCTATAAAAAGACAAATGAAGAGATGAAATAAAAACTTATGTTATACTTGACCAAAAACGACTTCTTGGTCGACTTTCCTAGTGTAAGAAATACAGATGCTTACAAAACACGAGTCCCCAGAACCATCGCGAAATCGTATTTCATCCCTATAACTCAATCTTCCCCTCGCACGTGACAGCCATATAATAAAACTACTTGGAACTCCATAATAATCAAAAATGTAAACAAACAGTGGCATCGTATTGTTCCGCCCGAAGACTTTGAATGGCCCGGGAAATGGACGAATGATTGATAAAAACGAAAATTCCCCTCTGGGGAAAAACTCTGGCTGCTTAAAAAGGCGTTATAAAGAGGGTTCTGTGGCCAAGATGAACGGGAAACGGAGCGTGCTGAAGAGTTGCGGAAAACGGAGTAGAAATGGAGAGGAATGCGGAGGAGACGCTTACAATCTTGTAGAAATTAGAAACTGTCGCCAAAAAAATGCGCTTTGGTTCAAATTGACGCGTCGGTCGAGAAAAAAACAGTTTTTATCGATAACTTTCGCCTCATAAGCTTGTTTTTTTTTATGGAATATCGTAGCCAAGCCTAAATGTTACAACTCTAAAGCTTTAAATACATTAGGACGTATTTTTAAAGTTGAAGAAACCCGTATCCCCTCATTTTATAAATTCAAGTCCCAAATTCTTCGTGTCTTCCTCAATGAAAACTCAGATGTCCTACAACAAACCTTATAGCAAACCTTATGACTTTATAACGTGCTCCTCAAGTGTTTCCATAAATGGCCGGCAAACCCATAAACCAAAAAAGTAAGTATTCAAAAATAAAAGTTTTGTTCGCGTTTTTTTACGCCGTCGGCAGAAAGTCGATTTCTCGGCCAAATATGGAAATCTAATTTGAGCGAAAAAAACGATTGGCCGAAATTTGCATATTTGATGAGAAAATAAGCTTCGATCTTCCTCAAACTATAGCCGCATAAAAGTAATAGTAATGAAGTGGAATGCAGAAATATGACAAGAACAAGTGGATACATCGTATTTTAAAAAAAATTATCATGCAAAAATCGTGTCTCCCATGATGACATAACAGGGTATTTCAAATCTTTATATGGTTATGTCGACATTCCCAATCCCGGCCTAATGCCCCAAAGCTTGAAAAAATTTTAGGGTCGCATTTAAAAATCTGAATGGGTTTCCAATGTCCTGAACGTCTTCCCAATAGAATTCGCCGGCTTAAAACTGTTTGGAAAACGAAAAATTCCGTTGAAGAGGGCGGAAAAGAATGGGACAAAAACAGCCTAATATAATAGTTGGAACAACGTTCTTTTTCCACTTGAGACTTGTAGAATGGAGGGTAAAATGGGGCATGACAACAAGCATCAATAGAGGTGGCGTCACGACAGGTATCGAGTTCATGAAAATTTGGTGAAATTTTTAAAAAATCTAAAAACAGTAGTGCAGATTATTATAGTCATCATGAAAATCTAGGAAGAAGTTAAGAATTTAACGATTAAAGAAAAGATGACTTATTTTTTCGATATTCAGCCAGATAGTATTCAAAAAACACGTTCTTTCTCTAATTGCCTCTACTTATTCTTCACGTACCAACAGAACTTTCCTCGAAAATAACATCAAAACCAGTGTTTGACCCTCTCAAAAAATATGGAAACATTTCCGTCGTCTTTCTGAACTCTTGACCAATCCTCCAACACATAATCGTAAATCTTGTCGCATCCCCGAGAAAATACGAAAAACGGTGCCAAAGAGTCTTATGAAAACAAAACAAACCCTCCCTTTTCCGGAGGTCCAATTGTTTTTTTTTGTTTCCCGGAATACACTTTCCAGAATCTTGATAGGGAACGTCGAGGACACTATTCTTCGCTAATCCAGGACAGTACGTAACAAAAAGGGCTGGGTCAAAGAAAGTCAATCAATTCTCCCAAGAACACGTAAATGATTCCAAGGATTACCGAGAGAATCTTTGAACTTTTAAATATCAAATTTCCAGGGTTTGGTTAGCAACAATAATATTTGCAACAAGGAAGCAAATTGCGACATTTTAATGCGCGTGGTCACTCAAAAAACAACGAGAAATGAAATTGTGGCAAAAAACAAAACTCGGCTTCTTGGCCAGGATATTGTCCATTACCGAAACATCCTGGAAAGCCATCTAATGGCCACTTGCTTTCCCGCAACGCGCTGCAAAACAAGGGGCGCGCGGATTTGAGCATAATCCAATCAGCTTATTGTTTTTAGCGAGTGCGCCGTTTTGTTTCGGCAGAACACGATAATTATGGGCTGTAGGAATAAAAAGGGTAGTAATGGGAGATCACTTTGTTTGGGAAAATTTTGTTTTTTGATAATTTATTGATTCTTCAGAAAAAGTGATTTGAGTCTTCATAAAGCGGTAAAATATAGAGGAACTAAGGATACCAAAAAATCTGCATACCATTTATACCCTCTCGCACTTGTTTTGACCCCAAATTTTTACGGATTTCCAATGCCCATGATCCATCTAAGATTAATCCCCAAAAATCTGAATATGTTGCCAATTCGCACTCACCAATCTCCCCCGAAATCCGAAAACGGAAGGCGCGCAAAGACGTTGGCTCAAAGCTGGGATTTCCGTTTGCGCGCTCCGTTTCTTCAACGCTTCCGTCGTAGAAGGAATTTTAAATTCGCATCAATTTGTTTATTCATCACAATATTTACAGGACAACGATTTGTATCGAAGACATCACAACCACATTTGAATTACTTTTTATATTTTTCCAATTCCGACATCCTCGGAACTCCGTAAGTATTAATCATTTTACCTATGAGAATGGATTCCCGAAGCATTATGGAAAGCTCTTCGATATCCCGGAGGATGCAGCATATCAAACCGAAGCGAGTCTTGTAGTCTCTTTCACCAATTTTTTGTTTCTCATACCACAACAGTTCGGAGAGAATTTTATCGACAATGTTGCTGTAACGGTAGTCGTTGAAGTAGTAATGGACTAAAAAAACAAATTTGTTAGGGCTTTCGTGGCTATGTCCAAAGTTTTGAAATATTTAGGAACTCTAATTTATATAAAAAAATTCAGCGCAAACCTCAATGAAAGCACAAGGTAACTCGTAGCAAAAGGAAAACGCCTCAAAGGTGTCCGCTCAGTTTTGATTTTCCTTCAAGCAAAATGTTCGCAAAAATTATGAAAATATTTTTTTTTTAACCAAAAGCCACAAGAAATTCTTTTGTGACAATCTTTCGATTTCAATCAATAGAAATTGGGCAAATCTTCAGACTGGAGATCAAGCCTACTATATTATTCAAACTTTTTTATTACCTTCTTTCCACATTATCAGCCCTGCCATTGCCACGACCTCGACTTCGTCCACCTTCATTCTTTTGAATTTGGCGGAGATTGTAAAAAGCCGTGTTTGGGTTTCGATCAAAGTCCTGTAAATGTTTGGGTTACCTTCTATTCTCCCGTTTGTTACCTTAACTTACCGGTAGCTTTGCTTCGGATCAGTGTCATGTCTGAAAAAGCTCTCCTGATTGTCCTTGTCCACATATCGCCCGTAATGCGTTACAAGTCTATTAAGGTCGTCAGGGAAATACAACGTATTCAAATGAAACATGTGCAGCTTCGAAAATCGGAATTCAAAACTTCGAAAAATCTTTTTCTAAAATTATATTACTCTGACTTTTTCGGATAGTTTTCTCAGCTCACTTTATCCTCTTCATCAATATTTCTGAATGGATGAAAATAATTTACGGCCATTTCCAGTATGTACACCAATTGGGCCCGGTTCAGTACAATGTACTCGACGGTTGTTCCGGGTTTAAAAACTTTGCCTTCCGAGAATAATTCTTCGGGATTGCACACAAAAAACAGTTTCTTAGCTTCATCGACAAACTTCTGGTAGCCTTCTAACATCTTACTGATCAGTGGAGTGGGCGAGGCCGTCGGAACGAGGGATAAATGTGAGGTAGATGGCGCGGGATCTTTCGGGGTCGCTTTGTCATAGTTTATGTTTATATCTGTAAGTGAATATACGGAGTTATTACAGCTTTGCAAATATTTCTTACTGTTCCGGGACATCCCAAGATTGAGACATTTTTGGAAGCGACAATGAGAACATATTGAACGGATATCTGAAATATGATAGATACGACTTTTGGACGTTGAAAAGAGCAAGCTCACAAGAATATAGGGAGTTCAGGCTAACAAGTTTGAAGTACAATACGAAAACTTTGCCTGGCGTATTGTCTATTTTTGAAATTTTGGCAAAGAAAATTTTTAGCCCATTACAGTCCAGCGGTATAATAAAGCGCTATTTCCCGCCCACCCGTTTTCTAAACAGCAATAATTTATAGCCTTAGCATGGTGATCATCGATTTGTTTCTTCACTGCCTTCAAGGTCACTCCCAAGGACGTGAGACGGTCATGGCCGCGGTATTTTTGCAACTTGAAACGGCTGATCGCTTTTTGTCGAGTAAACACGTTTCAGCGTTTCTCTGCCGTAAATTCTTCGCTTACCAAAGTACTAATCCAAAAAATGGCTTGTTGCTTGGAAGAGAAGATTAATTTTAATTAATTAGAACAGACGAAGGGTCGCAGTAATTACAGTTTTTTAAAGGACTGACTTACTTTTATTGATTGGGCAAGCCCCTTTCAGTTTACATACAAAATTCCGATTGAGGACAACAGTTCGACGGAAGAAGGCGCTGCCTGAAAATGGAATAATTATAACGTGGAAAATTAAACTTATCGAAATTTTAATATTTAGTTCTAGGCTGTTTCAGAAGGCTTCCGCTACAACAATTACACCAATTTTCCAAGTAAAGCATCATTTAAAAAGCTATTTTTTTTTGGCGTTTTTTCATTCTCTCCGTGTCTAGAAAAAAATTCGCAAAAGCGCCCGAGGCCTTACAAAAGAATAAAATAGAAAGTAACATTAAAAATTTTGCGATAACGACGAAATGTAATGTTGAAAAATGTAACTTGCACGGTCGACAAGACACCACTTCAAAATGATTTCCAGCCGGAGTCGCGCCACAAACTTGGCACACCTTTTCCTCCTGTTGCCCATTAAAATCAACGGTCAGGTAGTCATTACTGCTGCTACAAGGCGGCGAGCTCATTGTCTGAATGGAATGCATCGCTCCAGTTTCTTCGTGGAAACAAAAAACCGATTGGGGATCACTGAGAAGGAAAAAGCGCCACACTAAAGAAATGCGCGGCCTTGATAAGAACACGATTCAGATTTTTATCGGCTTCGCGGCATCTTGCGCAATGGGACAAATGAACCCGTCTTCAGGCTGATTTCAAAGCAGCGATGGCAACCTAAAATGAAACAAAAATTTCCTCAAAAGGTCTAGTCTCAATTTGTGTAAACTCTCGTCTCATTCGAACGCGTTATTCTAAATTATGCATTACCACTTTTCCCGTTAATTAAATCACTTTTTTTCAAGGTTGCAAACCGTTTTGTTGTAACAAAATAAAATTCCTTTCGTCAAAAGCGATTCGAAAGGGGTAACAAATCCGAGCACAGAGATCCCTCTCTTTTGTGACCCACCTATGTAATAGCCCCAATTTTTTTCTGACCAGCGATTGTTTAATACGGAAACAAGTGTGCTGCGTGGATCGAATTCCCTCCGTTTTCAAGGCTGATGCAACTGGTTAAACACAGACTGCACTCGCCCAAAACACTAGGCGTGGGTGCAGGTTGAGGTCAAGAGATCATGACACATAAACCGAGGGTTATTCCAGTGGAGTGAGAAAAAATATATGTATGAGTTTGTGACTTCAAAAATGACCTTTACAGAGCCAGAGATTAAAGAAGAGTGACTCTTGACTGGAGTCGAAACAAAAGGGATTTTGACTTTTTGAGAGGGGTAACTTAAAGTTTTCCTTCCATTTAAAAATCAAGGACTCTACGGCTTTCTAATATTGACTACTCTTCGTCTATGAAAGCTTCGATCCATGAGAGATTTGCAAAACAAAAATGGCCTAATTTTCGTAGAAATCCTTTATATCATCACTATGTTAAATATGATCCACCGCCTGTAAAATGAATTTAAAAGCGAATATTTGGTTATTTCAATAGTCGATTTGCATAAAAATATATTTTTATTGATTCCGAGAAATATAATTCCAAAACCAGGGACCAATTTACTAATACATTGGAAATACATTCCACAAATACATTTCATGCAAATTTGAGAGATTTGGGAATTGGCTCATTTTGAGGGAAAATTATTTTGTTGAACGGCGGCGAGTCGCTGGCAAAATAGAAGAAGAAATGTCGCCAAATTTGGCAAAGTTTTGCAAAATAAATACTTCTTAGTTATCGTATGTGGCTAATTTCACTCGACATTGAAAGGAGGTTGGCTGGCCGCTCTCAGAGAGCTTTGCTTCAAACAAAAAGACGCAATAGAGGAGTTATAAACCTGAAAAGCACACTTAAAATTTGCACAAATACAAGAATTAAGTTTATTTGAAGTCATGAACAAAATCCCCTGGGGGTTTGGTGACCTTTTCCACAAATGAGGAAAAATTATCCGAAAAAAAGGTATCACAATTCTTTATGAGTGGTTTTCTTCCAGGATTGAGACGAAATTTTCATTATCGTGACCAGTAAGGCACATGCTTATGTTAGAATCTTTTAATTGGAAAAATCCACGGGTTTCTTGAGTCCAATATACAGAAATCTACATGACAGTGATTGCAGCAAGTTTAAAGCTTCGTAAAACCACCCTCCTCAGATTTATAATTGTTATTGTGTCATTTATGGTTTGTTTGGAAGGATGTTCCCTACTTTTTTCAATATTTTGACGACTGATAACAAAAGAGATTTATGCATGTAAAAGTCAAGAACGAGGTTTTACAAATTACCTTGTAAAGAGTAATCACAAACCTAAAGAACGAAAATTTAGACGCGTCATGACCTCGGCGTGGTAAAAAAAGTCACAAAATTACTCCACACGATATGTCTGGTGTAAAAAAATGCGGTTCATTAACTGAAAATATTTGATGACAACAAGGAGTACTTATTGACAAATTTCAAGTGTGCTTTTCAGGTTTATAACTCCTCTATTGGGCCTTTTTTTTGAAGCAAAGCTCTCTGAGAGCGGCCAGCCAACCTCCTATGTGAAGAAATGTCATCCAATTATTTTGTTTTGGGTTGCCCAGCCTGTCGAGTCAATCTCGGCTATTCACATTGTTACATTATAACATTTGCTTTGATAGAAGTGAGGAAAATGAAAAACCACAGTATCTAATCTGTGATAAACACGAAATCTATCCTTTATCCCGAGTCGATACGAATTCCTTGGAGCTCCAGAACGATGTCGAGCAAAATTAGCCACATACGATAACTAAGAAGTATTTATTTGGCAAAACTTTGCCAAATTTGGCGAAATTTCTTCTTCTATTTTGCCAGCGACTCGCCGCCGTTCAACAAAATAATTTTCCCTCAAAATGAGCCAATTCCCAAATTTCTCAAATTTGCATGAAATGTATTTGTGGAATGTATTTCCAATGTATTAGTAAATTGGTCCCAGGGCCCAGTTTAGTATCGACCTTCAAATCCTTCCTTTAGTGCAACATTTGAATAAAACCCGAATTTTGCTCATTTATGGGAAATTTTCATTCTGAGGGAGGTCGGTTGACCGCTCTTTCAGAGATCTAAAAAATCTAAATTTTGGGTGAAAAAGAGTTGCGAAGTTATGAAACAATTCGTAAATGGCACAATAACCGTAATAAATGTGAAAAATACGAGATGCTTGATATTTAACACAATCGCTTTCATTCAGATTACCTCTCTTTACAATTCAAACTTATATAAACTTCATTTATCATAGTTCGCCTTAAAAATGCGTTGGTTTTGCAAATAAAAAGTGTCTAATATGCCTGTATCCTGTCAATCACGAAAATGTAATCTCAACCAGAGCAAAAAACCCACTAAGAAATTGTGGTACCCTCTTTTTCGTGGAATATTATAGTTCATTTATTGAAAATGTCAGAGAACCCCCAGGAGATGTTGTTCGTGACCTCAGGTATACTTAACATTTGTTTTTTATTTGTATTTACAATTTTTTCTGAAGATCGAAAAATCTTCAGAGCTCTGAGAGAGCAGTCAACCGCCCTCACCCAGAATGAAAATTTCCCATAAATGAGCAAAATTCGGGTTTTATTCAAATGTTGCACTAAAGGAAGGATTTGAAGGTCGATACTAAACTGGGCCCAGGTCCACTAAAAAAAGATATTGACTCTTTTTTTCTATGAGTTTATTCAAAATTTAACAAATAACTTATTTATAACAGTGCGGTGATAAAAAATACATTTATTTGGCGTATTTAATGCGCATTTCTCATCTTCTGCCTCTGCATCTCCAGAAATCCAGGATCTCCGAACTTGGTCAGAAACATTTTGAAATGCCTCGCTACTTTCATGACCAACACGAGCTCCTCGATATTTCGTAAAATTGAACAGATTTGGCCCATTCGGACCGCTCCTTTCTTTTCGCCGTGCTTGTTTTTCTCATACCAAGACAGCTCAGCGAGAAGATGGTCCGAGTTCATGATGTAGCGGGAGTCCCCAAAGAATTGGTTGGCTGAAAGCGACTTGAATATTTAGCGGCTTGAATTACCTTCCATCCACATTATGAGCCCTGATAAAGCCACCACTTCGAATTCGTCGACTCTGAGTTTTCTAAACTTCGAGACTGTGCTGAATACGTGGCGCTGGATTGGCATTAGCATCCTGAAATGAGCCTGGGTAGAGCCATATATTATTTTGTTATGCTTACCGTTCACTCTCTTTTGGATCAATCTCAGTTCTGAAAAAGATGTCATGCTTATGCCTGTCGACATAGCGCCCGAAATGCGTTACAACTCGGTTAGCATTGTCAACAAAGTACATTGTATTCAGATGGAATACCCGGAGCCTTGCAAAGCGGAATGAGTAGCTTCTAAAAATAAGTTTCTTAAAAAAAAGATAGAAAAGTTGAATTCTGAACACACCCTGGCTTCCGTCTCAATATCCTTAAAGTCGGGGTAATAGTTCATGGCCATTTCAAGAATATAGACCGACTGTGATCTGTGGTACACCAGGTTTTCATATATAGTGTCGGGTTTGAACATCTCCTCTTCCGATGAAAACAACTCCTCTGGATTACAAACAAAAAATAGTTTCCGACTTTCTTCATCGAATAAACGATAGCCTTCAATCATTTTGTCCATAACCGGAGTGGGTGAGATCTTGGGAGCTGCAGTTAAAGAGGTTTGGGAGATCTTGGGCGATGCCTTGTCATAATTTACGTTTATGTCTAGAAATATAAAAAGTGACATCATCAGTCACTTACTGTGGGTATTCATTCCAAGGAAAATACATTTCTTGAAACGGCAGTGAGAGCATATTGAGCGGATATCTGAAAGATTTGTAATCAAAAGTTCAGTTTTGCCGTTTACACCAAATGAAGTTGAGCTCGCCGAAATTACACCAAAAAATTGCACTTACTTTTATTTATCGGGCAGTTTCCTCTTAGTTTGCATGTGAAATTTCTCTGCAAAACCACTGTGCGACGAAAAAAGGCGCTACCTGTAAGTTTCGGTTAAAAATATGCAAGTAAACATATTTTAATTTAAGATTGAAGGCAACAAAGAAGAGGTTGTATTTTACCAGCTGGTTATTTGAGCTTGCACCAAACGAAAAGGATAATAAAGTCATCAATACTCTATTGTTGGAATCAAACATCAAAAAAGCGTTTTTACTGCTAGAACTTTCCATTTTAGATTGTCCCGATAATACAAAAGTCAAAAATTTTCCATTAACCGATAAACTTTTTTTTTAAATCAAAACCAATACACAAAAACATGTCTAAGATGTAACAAAAATTTCCAAACTTACAAGGTCGGCAAGAAATAACATTGAAATGATTTCCAGCCGGAGTTGCGCCACAAATCTGGCAAACGTTTTCTTTATCACCGGCACTAAAATCGACGATCAAATAGTCGACACTACTCGTTTCGGGAAGATCCATTCTCTCAAATTGGACCACCAACACCCTTGTCAAAAGCAAAAAAAGAGCAAATAAGGAAGGGCGGGGAAAAGGAATGTTCTCTTTAGCCTCCGCTGAGCAATACAACTGAAAAACACCAATTCAAGGTGGTGATTTCGGTTTTTTTGTCAAAATAAAACCGTTTGAAACAGAAAAGCAATGAAATATCTGCAGTCTTTGTTGGTTACAGTAAACTAACCAGAAATTCAATATTAGGGCAATCGTAAAAAATAGTAAATTTAGGAATGTTGCTTCTCAAAAGGTGAAAAAATGAAATGGATACGTAGCAATGGTATTCGACGGAAAACATGGTACGGCGCGCCTTTCTATGAATCATGAAACATAATAGACCATTTAATCCTCTCGCGCAACTGTGATCAGCCACAAAACAAGTACAGATTAAGGCAACATTTAGTGGTACAATACATGCCCTAGAACTTAACTGGTGCCCTCCTGAAAAACTGGTCTTTGTTGATATACGTATATAGGATACCCGTTGAAGATGACGTTTACATTGATAATTTGGGTTTTGCATTAATGTTGACGGTTAGACTTGACTTTGAAAATGGCTACAACATATTTTTGGAGGATCCTCCCCAGATCCTCTTCGCTCGATGGGAGTTTTGTCGTCTTAATTGAACAACTGAGTACACAAACCGACCTATCAAGCAAGGAATTTTGCAGAAATACACCCAAATTTAATAAGCCACCATGTTGGAGCACTTGGCGATTCCTATATATTTATATGTATATCCTATATATTTATAAAGACACATAAAGCTGGTCTTGGTCTACATCGCCGAGATTGGGTGCAAACTGACTCCAATTTGACCTGAATTTGGGTCGATTTGGAAACCTTGCCATTGTTGAGCGTTTTAATATTTAATATTATTAATATTAACAATAGAACAATATTTTATGAGATACCCATATCATTATCAAATCGCAGGCCAGCTGCCGAACCAAATTGCATGCATTTTTAACTTCACTGATTACTTATGTGACCTCCTTTTTGTACTTCTCCAGTGCCCCCAATCGTGGCACTCCATAATTACTCAAGAACATCCCAAGGAACCTCGCTTCGAGCATTGTTAACGCCAGTTCTTCAATGTCCCGTAAAATACAACATAACTGGCCGACTCGAACTTGGCCTTTCGTCTCTCCATGGTTCTTTTTTGCATGGTATGTAAGCTCGGAAAGGAGTTGGTCAATTAGGAAACTGTATCGCGAGTCCTGGTAGTACCAATTGGCTGAAAAAGTGATGGTTGAGCAAGGTCTTGTAATTTGAAAGAATTACCTTCCTTCCATAAGAGCAGACCGGATAAAGCGACAACCTCGAACTCATCAACTTTTAGTGTCCTGAATTTTGAAGCCAACTGGAACATGTGGATCTGGATTGGCATGAGGATTCTGAAAATATAATATAAATGCTTACTTCACCTGATTTTAAACTTAGAGTATGCAAGATGCGTTTTTCTTTTGTAACGTCCGTTCATAATACAGTAGACATGGCACGCAACTAACCGCCTGTCGCACTTACCTCATGCTTTGCTTCGGGTCAATTTCTGTCCGAAAGAACTCCTCCTGATTATGTTTGTCCACATATCTCCCATAATGAGTGACCAGTCTGTCATGGTTATCAGGGAAATATTGCGTGTTCAGCGCAAACGTTCTCAGCTTTGTAAAACGAAACCCAAAACTTTGGAATATTGTCGTCTAAAAGTAAAAAAATCATCCATTAATTTGCAAGGCAATTTTAATTAAAGAAAATTTTAACTGACCCTGTCTTTGTCAACAATATCCTTGAAAGGCGGATAGTGATTCGTAGCCATTTCCCAGATGTAGACATTCTGAGAGCGATTAAATACCATGTATTCGAATACTGTCCCTGGCTTGAAGACCTTGTCGCCCGAGAACAGTTCTTCTGGATTACAAACAAAAAATAATTTTTTGCTGTCGTCGTCGAACTTCTTGTAGCCTTCCAGCATCTGATCGATCAGTGGGGTGGCTGAGATCTTTAGGGAAATCGTTGAGTTGCGTGAGGATTCCTTTGGAGTCGCCTTGTCGTAGTTTGCATTGATATCTAAACACGTATAACAGCAGCTGTGATGATTACTTACTGTGTTTGCTCATCCCAAGACTGACGCATTTTTTGAAACGGCAATGCGAGCATATTGAGCGAATATCTGAAAATTGTAAGTTAAAAATGGGCCCCACGTCGTATACTACGAGAAAAAGGTAGTGAAATTTGTTCTTCAGAACATAATTTACAAAGTTACAGAAATTACAAAAGTAAAAGCAATTCAATCAAGAGTACGTTTTTTCCTAATATAACCGAAAATATTTATACAATTACACGTCGCAACTCGCTCCCCTGACACATTGACCGAAGCAACATTCTAACCAAGGTCAACTTACTTTTATTTATTGGGCAATTTCCTTTCAATTTGCAGGTAAAATTCCTCTTCAGCACCACGGTCCGACGGAAGAAAGCGCTGCCTAGAAAACAGTAATATTATTATCTTTATAATGACCTTTCACAAAAAGAAATTTGAACGGAGAAATGAGCAATTAAAATCGATGACATATCAGCATGTGACACACAATACATAAAGAGCCGGAAACAATATTTTTCGAAAAGAAATCTGTTTACATATGACGTCAATTGCAGCAAAGAGCTTTCTGAATTTCTGATTTGTGCTGGGAATTGAACAGCGTGTTATAAGCCCTAATAGATAACCGTTGCTTTTGGACTTTTTTTGTTGAGTAAGCAGCTTGAAAAATCAGTTTCTGAGGGGCACACCTACGTTAACTCAACAGATTGTAGCCTTTCAGGGCAAAGATAAGGGATCATGAAGAAAGATTTTTACATTACTTGAATATGTTTTCATGGACCAAAAAATAATTCTTGGTTTATTTAAATTATTAATTCTAGTGCTTCGCGGATCACATGATTTCCATTTTATTCAAAAATTTCTTTTTCATGTTTCCTTTAAACCTCTCTTTTTTAAAGCACCAACTCTTTTTAACCTTTTAGCCACGCGACAAACGATCATTCCTATTCCCAAAAGCGCCCTAAAAGTGGTTGAAAACAAGACTTACAGGGTCGACAAGACACCACATCGAAATGATTTCCAGCCGGAGTCGCTCCACAGACCTGGCAAACCTTGGCCTTGTCGTCTCCACTAAAGTCGATAGTCAAGTAGTCGTTGCTGCTACAACTTTCCGGCGAACTCATTTTAAGAATGGAACAAATCGGTCTATTTTCCACATAAAAGAAGAGACATAAACTTCAAATGAGTGGAGGTGGAAAAAAGAGCAAATTCTCGGTCTTGATAAGGGCGCGGGAGAAGCGGCGTTAAGTTGGTTGTTCTCTTGTCGTTGTTAGAATTATTTGCCAAGGAATAGAAGTTTGGGGAAATCTGAAAAGTATTTGACATAAGATTTTGAGATAATGTAGAAAAATAAATATCCCGGAGAACCGAAAAACTCATTTCTTTATGTTAAATAATACAGCTATAAAGATAAAAAATCAGAGCTCAAAAAATTATATAAAGTTTAAAAATAGACTGGAAACCAGGTCATCATTTTTTGTAGGGTGCCTTATCGAAGTTTTAAAAAATCATTCAAACATTTCTTCTTGGCAAATAATCAGAAACCACGCCCTTAAAATTATCTACAAATCTCATTTCGCCTGACGAATCATTAAAAAATTTGCGAGATAAAGGGCACAAAACTGAATTTCAGAAACACTTCTAAACGCACTTTTCAAGAATCAAATTTTTAAATTTTTAGTCGAAAAATAAACCAAACAAAAGTCTGCTTACGTGTAAAGCCTACGACCCCTCGGGCCGAGACCTTTACGCAATTCAAATAATTTGGAAAATAGGCCTTTTGATTACAAAACTCTCGAAAATAAGTTGGTTCAACTACATGGACACTCCCCATGTCTATAGCGATGACGCATCGTATAATGGACCATTTAATCCGTCATATTCATTCACCGAAAAAGCTGTTCATTTATGAACATCATCCCCGAGGATCGAGACTTTGTCAAAGAGAGGTTTTGTTTCAAATGAAACAACTGCGTAAACAAATTGAAAGGCAAAGTAAAAGGTTTATCTGAAGTGAGAGGCGAGGTAAACCAAATGAGGAATTGGAAATCGAATACAAATAAATGAAAAGAGAATGTGGGCGTTTGACCTTGACAGGGAATATACTGAACAGCGAGTAGTTTTGTCTGGAGATTATATTTATGAGTGATCGGAAGTCGTAGGTTGCGTTAGAGTGACATAAATACGAAAGAGAACGGAAAAAGAAGCAAGGGAAGGACAGAGAGACTGGTGATCATCATTGCCCATCAGCTTCATTGATATGCAAAGTCTTTTCAAAACGGATTGTTCCTTATATTAAGACCGTTTTTCTGGATGCAACTCCAACAAGGAAATTGAGCCTTTGTACACATAAAAAAATTTTGTTTAAATTTGCAGAGGGACGTTAAGAGGTGGCAATTGGGGTGATTTTTTGATTAAAATTGAGAAATGAAGTACATATAATAATATACCAAAATAAATAAATTACAAATACGTAGATTACATTTGTTTCCATTTACAACAAAAAACAGAACAAGTTGCAGCATTAATACGCATGTCATATTTTCTGCCCAATTTGCTTTGCAACATCATTCCGAGGAACACCATTCATTTTCTGGTTTTGATTCATATGCCTGAAGGCATCCTGTTCTACAAAGAAAGGCACGTGAAGCCCTTGTTCTTACGTCGCCAGTCTCACCACTCCGCTCTCTTTTTTCCGACAGACAATTTCTGTATTTTAACGTTGCTTTCTTTGTATCACATGTGTAGATATTCGAGTTTTACTATTGCCCTGCACATCTAAATATCCAGGAATCTAATATTGAACATTTTTTTCCGAGAATATGTCTCACGTCGCCGCTATAAATCCTCATGTTTATAGAGGCCTCAAATCTTCATGTTTGTTATTTCTTGATATATTTTTTTCGTCGTTGAGTAAACAAAGTTATCGTTGCAATTCAGAGAAGAGTCGGTAAATGTAATCACGGGAGGGAAATGTAATTTTGAGAGGAACTATTGTCCCCAAGTTGGATGATGTCTTAACGTCTGATAGAGTTAAATAAGTGCAAGTTACAAGGGACACACGTGGAGGTGTAGCCTTTGATGATGGGGTTACTTTAAGGATGATGTTTTCTGACGCTTGGTGATGGAAAAGTTTTTGTTTGAGTAACTTCTGACTTCTATTAAAAGTTAATGTTTCCTTTGTTACATCTAAAATTATGATGAAAACGCGTTATAATGAATTTTTGAATATTTCACACCGGAAGCATGATATTGTCCCACCACGAAATTTATTTTACTTTTTATGGCAACTCACCTTGTTGAATCCAACCATTTGATTTTAGTTGTTCAACTTTGCCGTTGCAAACCTAGATCAGTTTGCAACGGCAAAGATCAACTCAGCTTCCCGAAACTTCCCAAAACCCTAATCTCGATATCCTTATAAGGCGGATTTCCCCTTTCTCCTCTCAACTTTCCCCTTTTCATAAATAAATGAAGCAATCTTCAGCCAGGGATTTCCCAAGGCGCCTCGAATGACCCACATTGCCGGAGGGGGAACAAGAGAAAGTCAGGTGAAATACCTCAATCTTCCCTCCGAAATGATTTATCGAATGGATTTCGTCGGCGAATCGTCGGTTCAATAAAAATACGAGGGAGAATACGAAAACGAAAATGTAATTTCGGAATGAAGAAAGCGTTGGATCATTATCGCCGCCGAAAGCGAAATTTAAATGGGATTTTACTGAGGGAAGAGGTTTTCCACTTGCCGGAGGAACTAGACATGGTCGGTGTTCGCGGGGGATCTGGGGGGCAGCCTGAGGGTCAAGCGCCTTCTTTGGCTGGCTGCAGGCATGTTGGGCATTTTTTTAGAGATTTCATAAATGACATCTATATTTTTTTAAAATTTTGAGGAAGACTAGGTTTTCTGAATTTCTTTTTCAGCAATATGGGCCATAAATCGAGGAAATCATCCAAACGTATATGACTTCTCCTGAAAAATTCTTTTTTCTCACAGTAAGAGTTTGGCCGTTGTTCTTGCTTATTTTTTGTAATTGATGACATAAAGCCGTTCAATTATTGGCCTGATTTTGAATTTTCGCCTGACATGAGTAATGATCTTCCATAATATGTAGGATACTCTGTCAAAAATATAATTTTGGATATGTTCGCATGGAATAGTCAAAATTGATGTTTCTTTTGCTTTCGGTATTTCCTTTATCCAATTTTAAGGTTTTAACACGATGATTTTTAATGCTTGTTTTTCCCCAAACTCCTTCCGATTTGTCCGCTGTTTTTTCAAGAATATTCATACTGGATAATCAAATTCGAAATTCCCGCGTGCTCGACAGACAAAAAGTTGACCAAAGTTTCTTGCTCCTTTATGATGAATCGACCCCGCGGCTAACAGGATTTGGCCGCGCGGCTTGCGAGAAATCTCACTCCTTCTGATTCGCCGAAACTTGAAATGTAAAAAAAAGATGAAGCGCCGTGATCTACTGCAAGTTCTGGATCGGGAGAGCTGTTTGGAAGTTGTTTTTTCGTCGAAAGCAGAGTCAATTACTGCGTAAACACGAGGACTGAACCATGACGGAAGATTTGGGCATAATCCTCGCGTTGAATACCTTTTTTGGAGCCTCTGCAAAGGTCGGGTACTCGATTTGACTCTTTTTTGTCAAAATTTTATTCAATCGAGAGGGGCGTTCGGAATAGGGGTGACCTTTTTCCGCGGTATTATGAATATGATTTTATTCGATATTCTTGCGCCCTGAAGCCCATTTTGGCTTACTAACCCCGTTTCTTGGCGTGAATTGTTTCTATTCTAATTTACGACCAACATTATTCTCAATATTTCGTTTTTCAGATGTTGTATGTCCTCCTTACAGTTTGTTTCTTGATCTCCACAGTATTTGCTGAAGGTAAAAATAAAAAATTAACCGTAATCTCTTCATTTTTCGTTCTTTTAGATTGCATTTACAAGAATTACTATATTGAACACAAGAATGTGGTAGAAGGAAGGAACATAGCCACATTTCCGACCAATAATCTGGACGAATGTGCAAAGAAGTGCAGCCAGGTAAGGGATTTGTATTAGTGATTTGAGAATAAGATTCTGTTTTTTATAAATTTTATGAAAAAAGATCTTGTAGCGAAAGTTTTAAGGATGTCCAGCGTTTTTTGCTGATTTTCTGATGATCGTGGATGACCTCTATGATATTAAAGGTTTCACATTTTCATTTTACCAAATGGGCAAATCTGCCCTATAAATTGTCTTTTCTGATCCGCAAACCTTTCTTCACTACTTTATTTAATTATTTCAACATCGTACATGTCCCTTTTGACCCATTGATTAAGTTATTGGTCCTCTGATCATTTCCCAAAACCCAGTTTTAGACCCACGGCTGTGACGCAGCCAATTTCCTCCTCAACGCCGAAGATGACGCGATGTGTATGTTGGTTGACACTTCGGAAGCCACCGCCAACTCGTTGACCCCTCTTCCAGCCTCCGTTGTTTATTCCCTCCGACAGTTTTGTATGGAGAAGAAGGATGATTGCATCAGACGTCAATGGGCATTCGAAAAACACGAGGGATATGACACGTTGGATGAGAAGTTTATTCTGGGCGAGTTGAGTGGACTGACCTTGGAGCAGTGTCTGAATACATGTGTTAGATCGTAGGTGGAAGGTCTCAAGTTGGTGACAATAGTTTAGGAAGCACTGTGAAGCAGCATTGTTCAACAAGGAGGCACAGACATGTCGGCTTTCAAAAGTTTCGCTGAATAATGTGAATAGTATTAAACAACACTTTGGGTTCTCAGATAACGTCGATTTGTATGAAAGCAACTGCATAAAAAGTAATTTTTTTTCTCGATTTTTCCTTCGATAATGGCTACGTACAAACAATATTTTTTAGGGCGATTCGACACACGGCATTGTGGATTTGTTCGGATAAATCAGGCCGGATTTGTTGATATTTTTGATATTCGAATCGAAAAGATCAAAGATCTCTCTCAATGCGAAAGCATTTGCTTGGATTGGAGATTCGGAGTGTGCCGAGCGTATACGTACAACAAAAAGAGCAAACAATGCTACATTAGCCATAACGGACAAAGAGCAACTGGAAGGTCAGTGTTGGAGACGATAGACGATAACTTGGCTTATGGAGAATTGGATGACTGTGTGAATTGTAAGTCGTACCGAACGTTCAACGCCTCTTTCAGTTGAGCTCGACTGTCGAGCAAAATCGGTTCGCCTCGTCGGCAACTCCTTCCGCCTATTCAAGGGATTTATTCGAACGCGAAAGGGAAAACAAACAATTTGCGAGAGGAACATTACCGAATCCTACAGTTTCGAAGCCATCTTCGGCTTTGATGAATGCGGAATTCAGAGGACAAAGAAGAGCGCAAAAATATATTCCGGGCTTATAATGATTAAAGAGGGAAGCACGGATTTAATTACGATACATGATAAAATGGTGGAAGTAAGCCTTAAACATCCCAAGCGATATGTATAATGCAATGTTTAGATCAAATGTAAAATCCACGAAGCCTATCACGACTCCCAACCAAGTGAATTACAATATCACTTCCGAATTCAAGAGCCAAATTCGAGCTTTTTATTGAGCGATGAAAAGAAGCCTAAGGCATTGTTTGAATCAGTCGACGATGAAGCCCAGTTCAGGCTAGAAGTGTTGGATAAAAATGGAGCCCCAGCTCAAGTCGTAGAGCCCGGAGAAGATGGATTTTTGCTGATTACTTTGGATGGGACGCTGAATTCTGAATCCAAGTTTATAGTCAGCGATCTTGTAGCAGAAGATGACAAAGATATGGTAAAATTGATCGATTCTGATGGGTAAGATTACCATCAAAACTTTGATGAAATTTGTTTAGATGCGTTGCAAATTCAACCCTTGTAACTTCGCTAGAACGGCCGGCTAATAATCAGCTGAGGATTGGAGTCAAATTCGGTGGTTTCCCAGAGCAATCACAGGTTACATATCATACGTTGGGCAAGATTTGCCATGCTGAATGTGACTTGCAGTGTAACAACAAATTTTATATAAAGAATAATCAGTAAGTGCACTTCCAGCATGACTTTTATTCATATTTTTGCCTACTGTCGGAGACTTTCTTAAACTTTAACTTCTTCAGGACAATTACGAATATCTCGGATATTAAATTGGGCCAGAGAAGACGTAGAGACGTCCCAAATAACATCCGAAAGTTCTCATTGGCTGAAGACGTCTACGAAGTCTATGGAAAGCATCCAGTTCGGCTACAAAGACGCGAAATCTTGCCAAATGTTCATGTTCAATTCGACAAGAATTTTGATGAAATGATGAATGATAAGGAGCTGGAAAGAGTCATCAACGAGCTGGAAGAGTCCTCAACAACCAAGCCTAAGAGCAATAAGATTGTAAGTCGCAAATTTTAATGTCGTTGGCCATGAAGCATGTCTAAAATAAAAAAAGTTTCAGCAAGCCCGGCCGCTCCCTCTGGGATGCTTTTCAGGAGATTTGAATTGCATGTTTACCATTACAATGGCTGTTCTGCAGTTCTTTCTTATGATATCTTGCACTTGCATTGTGTACAGTGTTGTCCGAGTAAGCTAGACTATAATTTTGAACCTACAACCGTCTTCAGAAATGGCTCCGTTACTACAAGAACCGAGGCCGTCGGATGTCTCAAATGCCACCAGAAATCAGTAGATTTAGCGATGCTGAACCCTCAGGCATTTCAGTCTCTCAGAGCGATCTCACAGCTCCGTCAAGTCGGCCGACTTCTTCATCGACGGTTAATCCCAATGCAATCCTTGTGACAAAGGAGAGCAAATAATCCAAGATGTACTAATAATAGGGTCAATGATACTCAGTACGTGCTCATCACTGCTTCAATTTTAATGTTAAAACAGCATATTAAATTTGTACATATGAAAACGTTGGATGTGAGCTAAGTCATAACGAACTGCAGAGTTCTTCCATTGCTATGTATTCAGGAATCTGAAAAGTGTCTTGAATAAAGAACTGGGTAGCGCCAATGCAGATAGTTTTGTTATGACGAAAAAACACATATTTCAAATTCCAACAGGCAAAATTAATGGATTATGGAAAAGGCCTAGTTATGTTACGCTTGAGGGAAATCAAAGATTAATTAGTGCTCAAGTTACAAGCTACATACAGCTCAGACAAACCCTTGATAACATCAAAAAGACGGGGCGACAAGAGTCGCCGTGTAAGATCCGCCGAGATATGAATAGCACTTTCGCTGACGAATTTTTTAAGATTCTGTTCAAAGATTTGATTATAAAGTACTTAAATTAATGAGTCAAGTTCCGTGAATAAACGAAAAAACCTCGATTTTGCATTGTTTGATCATACGAGGTTCAGACAGAAACTCCAAAAACATTTCTTTTTTCTCTTCTCTAGTTTTGGTAGCTTTGTCACGACAAAACTTCAAGTTTCCGACTTTGTTTCAGGTACGTTTCAATGGTTTTGATGTTTAGGTATTCGTTAGTCTTGGGAGGCTGACATATTATTTTTAGTGCACAAGTTGAACAGTTGATGTTAATTGAATGTCAAAAAAAGAGTTCTAGCTTATTAAACCGAAAAATGACGTTAGGCTCGCAAAATGGATTCATTTTATTGCCCTGATGACAAAAGGCTGCCTTAGGTGAAAGAGAAGAGAAAGTGATTTGGGGGAAAAACAAATCATCACTTTTAGTCAGGCAATTTTACTCTAAAAACAATAGCTTGTGAACTTTCCTTACAAAAAAATCGAAAAGGTTGCGGTTTCCATAGAAATGATGTGCCCGAAAAAACATTTACGCCGTGTAGTTGACGTAGCACTTCATTTAACTAACCGTTAGGTTCTTTTTGGTAAAACTTCACTTTTCGCGAATTTATGGTAGAGTTTGCTCCGTGGATATTGAAAAATACTCACTCTAAAAAATAAAAACCTTTTCCTCAAAAGTTGTGACAATCAAAATATCGCTGTTTTTAGTTTTTCATGGGTATGGGTCGAGACTCCCGAAGCGTCTCGATTGACGTTGTTGATATCGAACAGCCAAGCCCATCGGAGCCCGCAACAGACGCAACATGCAAAATCTGTGGGATATCTCCGGCTTCTCCGCATTTCGGAGTTGTCAGTTGTCGGCCTTGTAAGTTTCTGTTTTGTTGGCAGGAATTATATTTGTAATGTTTTAGGCGCCGCATTCTTTCGACGAACGGTTGTTTTGAAACGAAGATATCATTGCAACCTGGAAGGCTGTTGTAATGTGCATCATGGTAAGTTCTGTTAAAATTATTTATCTTCTGTTTTTAGAGAAGCGCCCAATGTGCGCATGTTGTCGATATCAGAAAACTTTGGAGGCTGGAATGTCAGTGCAAAGTAAGTGATTTATCGGACAAGCGTACTACGTAAACCCGGAAATGCCCAGTGTTTATTACGGTCTTTATGATATAATTTATCCACTTTTCTATGGTCAAGCCTATATTTTTGATATTTTACAGACATCCGTTTCCACTCTGACAAAATAGGTGCTCCAAAGAAGAAGTCACCAAGATTACAGTCAATTCCTCCGGAACCCGAACCCTCAACGTTGCTCACAGAGATGACGAAAGGCTATCGAAAATTTCTCAAAAGGACAAAGGAGCTATACTATATTGTAAACCCCGGGGCCTTATTTGAAGACAAGATTGAATATAAACCTGCGACCTTGCCAGAACACCTTATTTTCGACCGGTCTCAACTATATTATATGCGCAAAATGTTGGAAAAACATTTTCATCCATTTGGGGAGTTTTCAAAAAAGGATCGGGTAAGAAACACTTTTAGGACGCAGTATTTGCATATTTTCGATTAAAATGTGCGATGATAGTGTTTCAGGCCAAGATTTTCGAACTCTTCCAGCCGTATTTTACCCGGTTAAACATGGCGTATCTAAGTGTTGTCTGTTTTCCTCACATTCCCAAACGTGTAGCCCTTTTTTATGGAGGATATGTTGACGAATCGGCACCGGTACTGCTGTATGCTCAAGATAATGCCCCAGAGGAATCTGCTCGGTGAGGCTCAAAGCAGCATTGATTGTTTTTTGCATTTTTAGCCGGTTTTCCCCAGTATTGAAGAAGTACGTTGTGATGACGGAAAAGCTAAAGGAATTGAAGGCGGATGAGGCAGAGATTGCTGCAATAGCGGGTGTGATTTTGTGGAGAGAAGGTAAGATGGACAGTATTTGTTAAAAGGATGGTTTTTGATGTCATCTTTTAACGAGTGTATATACAGAAACCTGACAGCATAAAGCGATTACTCCAGGCATATCATTTCTGTTTTTACTCTTTTGAACACATGTACCGACGTACATGCATAATTTATGAAGTTTTCAGCCAACATCCACTTCAATACGAACAAATTCAGCGATCGAATCGATCAGATAATCGCGGAAATGTCCAAATATTGTATGGGGAAATACAGTAATCACGAAAGCCGCGTGGGGATCCTCCTATGTCTCTGCCGAGACCTGGAAGAGCTGATGATTGTGATCAGGGCATGCGTTGTTTTGGGTGAAATTATGAACGATTACACGATCCCCTACTTGCATGAGGATGTATTCAAACTGGCTGAAACCCGGACCTCGCAATAGGATCCTCGAAGAAGAGAACGAGTATTGAATACACATGTGCGTATAGACATAAATGTACATACTATATGTGAGTACCGACTATAAGATACGCAAAATAAAGATGCCTAAAAATTATGTCTTATGTATTTTTTTCAATTTGGTTAATGTTCTACATCAACAATAATGATTGACCAATTCAAGGTGCGAAACCTCATCACTCTCCCTTTTTTGTGATAAGAGTAATAAAAAATCCAGTTTGGATGAAAGGAAAATTGCGCAAACAGTCCTCAAATCCTGCAATCTGATCCTCTTGATTTGCGGTTGGAGGAGAAGGAAGAGAGGGAGGAAAGAATGAAAGGTTGGAGGGGAAAAGGAGTATGGTCTTACTTTCTTACAAACAAAAACATTTTACATGTGCTTTGAGGAGGGCATGGGAATTATGGTAACAATGAATTAATTGTTTTGTATAAATAACACTTACTTAATGTGGTAGCACGTTTAAATTGGTGTTTTACAACCCAATTTATACGCCACAGACACTTCTAGTCACAATATTGGCTAATCTTCTTCAGTCTGACCATCATCTTTCATCCAATTGATGACTTATTTCCATTTTTTCCAAATCTCTTCCCCAATTTTTCCTTGGTTTTTGGCCTTTTCCACCCACCGATCCCAGTCGCCTATCCTCTTCATAACCCCATTATTTGCTCAAGTTTTATCCCGGCGCTCTCAAAACTTTAATCTTCGCCGAGCTGTATGTTTCGCGTATAACGACGTGAACTTTGTTTGCGCCACCGCCGTTTGTTTGCGTTTTACGCCGCTTTTTCGACAATTTTCTTTATCCGCGAGGTGAATTGCAAGACAATACTTGCTCTTTCGGTCTTATACGACTTTATATTATTCTTTAAATGCCTTTGGCAAGCTATTTTCTCTCATTTCCCTGTTTTAATATTAATTTCCTTAATTCCAGACGCCTTTTTAAACAAAACAAGTTTGTTTTTACAATCTTTTGTCCAAGTTTTCAACTTTCCAGACCCTTCTTTGTCTTCTGAATCTATCAGAATTTGTTTACGATCCACCGATTTCAATGGGAAAGTATTTGAATAACCGTAAAAGCTTTCTGTTTTCCACGTAAACGAGATTCGCTCTTCTTTTATTCGCTTTTTTCGTCTTTCTAAAAATAGTTTTACGAATTCAAACGTAATTTGGCACCCATAGAAACGAGTAAACATTGGGGGATTTAGAGAAGCGTAGGGGGTAATCAACGGCCAACAAATTTGTTTTTCTGAGTGTTTTTGTAATCATCAGTCTGGCAATAGTTTTCTTGGCTTTTTTTATGAACTTCCGGGGCTATTTTAAGACCACAAGTTTTAATTTCACAAGCCTCTGTTGATTCAGAACCCATATTTGCATTTATTTTCTTTGATTTCCCCAAATCTCCGGCATTTTCCCCCTTTTACCTGTCAGTGCGCCACTTTTTTTAATCCAAAGGCACTTACCGTTTTGTAATCCCTCCCTCAAACTAGATTCTTATTATTTTTAGCACTTACCGTTGGTTTTATTAACGATTTATCCTCATTGTCAGCGTCATAACCTGTACATTTGTTGAGCGGATAGAAAAACAAAAAGGTGAATGGAGAACGACGCGTGCGAGGTGCTTTTCACCTTGACAATACTGGTTTATTTTAAGTAATAACTGTCAATCCAGGGGGTTAGTGGAGTTAGGGGTTATTAGTGGAGGTTTTAATCGATGGGAAAAATATTTTTTCTTTCCGTTGATCAAGTCTTCAGACTCTTTTATATTGCAGAGCAAGCTATTCAACGGCATTTGCAAAGGCAAAGCAAGGAAAAATTGTTTTTTGATGACTTTTGAACATCGATTTCTACGAAATACGGTATCCAATAGCTTGTTTGTTATTTTGCGCCGCTTAATTTGCAAGCTCGAGTTGCGGCGTAATCGTTTTTCGTATTTTCAAGGCTGCTGGAGCGTGTCCGCCGACCGGTTGATTCCACAATCAAAACAAGAAGCGCCATAATTTGATCGGAACAGTTTTGGAATGCCTAAAACAAGCTCGAGATGGGATGAGGTCTCGCGTTTTTAGGCGGCCCTCCTCTGCTTGATCACCGCTTAAACGAAAGCGTCGGCGTTCCGAACTCGTTGAAGTGAGTGCGCAACGGGCTCAAGAGGGCTAAGAATAGGGCTCGAGATCAGGTGTCTGAACATGGAACGGAACGAGTCGTGTCGGCGACGATCAACTTACCACCTCATGCTTCAGATGGCTAATTTGGGGAGGGGAGAGCGGGCGAAAGAAGATCGACCGCTGATAATTAAGAGACTCCGACCTGCGTCGAACACTTTTCATTGCAGAAGACGGGCTGATAAGGGGTTGAAGGATCGGGGATAAGGGCTAAAGGCTATACTGAAGTTTTCACTGATCTTATCGCAGCTATTTAACATTTATTTTCAGTCATAGAGCCATCGAAGGTGAAGCCCCTAGTCGTATTTTCCCTCTCTTTTCCCTTCAAGATATGTATTTCAAAGTTTCCGACCCTAAAGTTTACAGTAAGGCCTTTTGTTTTATACAGTCGACTCCTCTGCAAATTGCCCCTTTTTCTCTCCAAAAAAACATCGGACTCTGGAGTTTACATCGCTTTAAACTTCCGGTGTTCCCAGAATATTAACCGCACCCCGCTTTATGACCAACGAGAGACCGCTGTAAAAATAGCTGTAAATTAGGGGCCTGCAAGGAATTAATGTTTGGAATTTACGGACCTCAATGTTCTGGTGACTTTTATGTTTCTGGAGCTCCGATCATGACGACGATGGATGTCTGGGAGGATTCCTTTGGGGGATGAGTCAACTGCTCGCTGAAATCCGGCTCTCGGGATTATTTCAGAATTAGAACAGCGGTAATTTTTCCTATCGGTCAATTTTGTTGAGTCATTTTGGATCAAGGAACAAGGAAGTATGTTGAAATCCTGTCAATTACTGATTTTTCATATATGCAGTAGCTTTGACTCTATCAAGTCTATTTTCCATCAAGTTTGTCATTGTCTGATCCTCAAATTAAACGATGTGTTTTATCTGTTTCCACACACATATACCACATTTGTCTTACCTAATCCCATAATCACCACCACATCCTCTTCCTCTTACATAATCTTCAAGTTGTTGTCCAATGTATCCCGAGGTAATTACCTTTTTTTGCTAAGTGTTAAGATGTCAAGTGATGACATGAGGGTAGTGATGGGCGTTAAGAGGAAGTTACATCATGAAAAGATTACCGGAAAGACCAAAATAAAGATTTAGAGACAATAATGTTGTTTTGGAATCTTTGTTGGGATGGTGACGAATTGTTTTATTATTATGTTTCGCTGAGATTGCAAATCATTTTCCTATCAAAATGGATGAGATTTTGTTGTCAAATTTTCAGCGTTTTTAATGATTAGGCTTTTATCTGAAATCTCCACCGCCCATAGCAAAAACTATACCTTAATATATATTTGCAAATGATACCCGCAGGGATAGACTTTAATCCACCCGCTAAAAATAGCGACCGCTAACTAGCCCTGCAACGGCTTAACCTTGTTTCGGCTAACCACATCCGCTCCCGACGTCATCCCTTTTTGCTCCCTCATGCCGATCTTCTGGAGATTTCCTTGCGAAGTAGAGCCCCGCTGATGCATTCGCCGATCCTCGGCGTTCGCGTGTTTTTCATTAATCAGCCCCGACTCTCTTCAGTTCAGAACATATCCGGTTCCATTTTCAACGGCTCGATCGCAGCGCCGACAAAAACTTTCGAAATTGTTAAGAGCCCTCTGGAGATATTCCCTTCTTTTTTTTGGAAAATGTAAAATTTAATTTTTTTCCTTTGTTTTTGAAGTTTTTGAAGTCAGAAAGAACATTTGACGGACTAGAAGGCTGAGTCAAAACGTAATATTTGACTGTTTAATTAGGCTGTGTGTCCTTTATTTCGAGGGGGAATGGTTTGGGATACAGATCTGATTAGTTTTTTTAATGTTTTCCGAGAGAGCTATAAGGAAATATTTTGGGGGAAAATTCGACCATTTGATGAGATGGACAGCCGGTCAGTGGAGAAAGGGCTTTACGGAGAGGCTGATGATATTGTGGAACGTGGCTGGAGGTCTGGTTTTATTATCTTGTTTGTAATGGAGGATTTCGGGGGCTTGGAGATATCATTATTGGATAAGATGATGAGGTTTATGACCTCTGAGGAGATAAATCATTGCTTACTGTGGCTTGCATGCGATTTATAGCAAAAATGGGACGTCTGGAGACACCGCAGCTTCATTGAAAGGTTCCCATTCTTTCTTCTGATAACAACATTTCTTTATTTACCCCCAAACCAAGCGCCGCCGTATTGTTCGTGCACTGTTGACCGATTATGAATCCCATTTTTCATCAAATTAGAGCTTTTTTTCTTTTTTTCTCCAATTAACCCAAACCCATTTTTCCCGCTGGAAACCCACCAACCTTCCCACATAAACCCGCAGGAAATAAACAGTAAACCAATTCAAGGTTAGTGATGTGACGGAAACTGATATAAGAAACAAAAAAATGAGCCCATGAATTGGCTGTTTTGTTTTATGGGATTCCATGATGGCGGTGGTTGCGCAACCGACAAGTTTATGGATATCTTGGGAAAGTGGGGTGAGATTTCAGTGGGGATCAGTAGTCGATTCGAAAGCGTTCCCTCGGGTGATTGCCAGTGGGAAAAGTACGTGAGAAATTGATAGGGGAATCTCACGGTTCGAAGAGGAGTAGAGATGTGGCATTTCTAATTGTTTTTTCGCTTGTTTCCTTTAGTTAAATTCAGTTTATGATAATGAAAGCCCCAAGGGAATGCAGTCAATGGATTCGACATACACTCAAATGGACAGGCCCTTATTTGTTGGCGGTCTGACTTTTGTTTCTTCGACTTTTGGTCCTAAGTTTGTTAGAAGCGGTGTTTAAATTTAATTGTGATGTAGTCGAAAACAACGTTTTTCCATGCGTTTCT